GCCCCCCCGCCCCCCCCCCCCCCCCCCCCCCCCCCCCCCCCCCCCCCCCCCCCCCCCCCCCCCCCCCCCCCCCCCCCCCCCCCCATCATCTAGTTACTAACCTCGAATTCTATGTGAGCTTCGGCACGAGCGAGCGCAATAGCTACGTGAAAGAATATATCCCATAACTGGTCCGCAGTCTCTAGACCGAAATCCTCAAGCGCAGTTCCTGCGTCACCCAGTTCGACTACCAAGAACTTCGTGCCATCGAGATATCTGCTCGGCGACGGGTAGAACTGAAGTCTGTCGGGGTCTTGCCGTTTTAGTTTCTTGTGGAATGTCTGGTGCGTCTCCAGCAACTCTTTGCAGGCTTTCCCCTGGACTATATATCTTTCCTTGTACACGACGAAACCCGGGATGTCGGCAAGCCATTCCGAAATCTTCAATTCGCCCATCAGGTCGGATTCAGAATGAGGCTCCTCGTCCACAAGGCCTGCTTTTTGTTGAGTTTTGGTTTGGGCTTTTATCGGGGATTCCATTCGGATAACTTTGATAATGCTGGTTCCGCGTTCGTTCGTCACGCGGTAGACTTCCGCATAAGAGGCCTCCGCTATCTTGACGATCTTATCGCCTGGCGGACATATGTCGGACCAAGACAGCACTTGCAGTTCCTTCTTGGTCTCTTCATTCTTATGTTGTTCTTGTATCTTGGGTTTGGCCGGACTTATAACGGGAACCTTTCGAATTTTGGGTGTAATGGGGGTAAGGGGTGGTGGTGCCGGCGGTTTTATGAGAGCATTTTGCTCTTTTCGTCTGGGAGAACGTCTGAGTGAATCTGGCGGTGCAATGTTCTGGTCTTTTATTCCCATAGCAGATATCCCACCAACCAATTCATCCAACACCTTTTTATCCGATACATTATTATTATTGTCATCATCATTTTCATCCCCTTGTTTTTCTATCGTCTTCTGAGGCTGATTTCGCATCGGAGTTTGTGGTAGGTCGACGAATAAACGATCGGCTTTGGGCTTTTTAGATTGCTTCCCATATTTTCGTAAAGAGGGTTGTTTTGCCATTTTGTCGGTTGTTGTTTATTTAATCGGATTCTAATCGTATTCATCGTCTATTAACTTGTTGTTTAACCCTTACGTACATGCTTTGACGTCGACGGCAATAAATTATTGACATTGAACTTTAACTTTCAACCACAAGGTTGCCGGGTAACGGGTCTTTAATCGATAGGCTTGATTGGGGCCACATGTACTAATGTTGACATTGAACATACATCGAATGATTGAATGTTGAGCTTACGCCACAAAGTTAAAAAGCTTTAAGCCACAACTTATTCGGAGCTAGATATGTGGAGAAATCCCCCCCAAACCCCAACTCTTGGGTTTTGTGCACGTTCCAATTCCGTGGTTTTGAGTTTGCGATTAAGACGAAAAGTGGAACAAGTCGAAGCTCCAAATTGTTCCACGTCTCTCGAACTTACGAACCTCGAACCTCGAAACTCCACTCCTCTCTCTTCCCTCAACCTCGCCGCGCACATCAAAATTCCGCGACGAGTCTCGCAGCTATGGCGGACTTCTTAAAGAATATTGTTGGAGGTAGCAAATCTTCTGCTACTCCGGTTCCCTCCGCCGATTCAGGTAAGTACCTAAAGTTTATTATAAGTGGTTAATATCCGAGATCGCATTCGCAAGTTTCGCGATAGGAATTTGTTCATTGGGACACCTGGCCTGAAGCCCAAATCTTGACGAATAGTTACCTACCTACCTATATAATATCTATTTCAACTACCTAAGACCTCAATTCTTCTCCCAACATATTCAATTGCATACTTCGTACATAACTAACAATAAACCAACCTAGACTTCGCAGACTTTGCCGATGCTCCTTCGCCAGCACCTGTACCTTTCGAGACCGTCCCTGGCGGTGCCGGCCTCGGTGGTCCTGCGCCTACCAGCCGTCCGTACACCAAATGGTACAATATTCACGAGCGCCATAGCCTAAGTGATTTTAAAGCTGAGGGTGTCATCTTGGTGGTAATTGTCGTCATCTTCACTCTACACTTCATCGGCACGAAGCTCAACCGCGCCAAAGCTAGGGCGTGGATCAAAGCCCACGCTCCCATCCTGACCAGCGAGTTCGCGCTTGTAGGATTCGGCGGAGTACCGCAACAATCTAGCCAGGACCCTGAGAAATTGCTAAAGGCTAAGAGCTTGTTCGAGTACGCAAGTTATGCGACTGGCCGACAAAATGTCGCATTCATGGATGTCAAGTTGACCTTGAAGAAGCGCTTCAACCCGGTCATGACCGCTTTGGAAACTGTCTTAAGTTTCTTCTTCGAAAGCTTTACTGCCCCGGAAGATGCGGTCGAGGCTGTCGTCTATCCCTTTGATGGCAAGGAGGCCCAAATTGTACCGGGCCTACCAGGCGCTGCTGAACTAAGGGCCAAGGATTCCAAGAGCTCGTTTGATGGATTTGTCTGGGCCATTGTTAACAAGAACGGGATGAAGAAGCTCCGAGAAGATCGCTATGACTTGTCTATCACCTTCACCAAGGATAACTCCAAGCTGCCCATCTGGACAACGGTTATGAGCGAGAGCGCCGAGGTCACCCAGACACTACTGACCGACGAACTTGCCTCAGTCATCAAGCAGGCTGGCGACCTATTTGACTACCTCATCATCAGCGATCAACCCGTTGACAGACCTACAAAGTAAGTGTCCCCCTTTTTTTCAGTAGTCATATCTTTGGCAGACCGAAAGGATTATACATAGCCGAGACTCCGACTGCTTTTCTAGCAAGGGTTATTCCTAACCGTGGTATAGGATCGATGAAACAATTCCTCGCAAGCGCGTCTACCTACGTTACCGGCTCCCTTCGTCTAACAACTACGACGATCTTGCTCCGCTCCTAGCCTATTTTGTGCGGATCCCGGATCAGCTAGCGTCGTCGGCTCACTTCCGACCCGAAATTCTACGCAAGATCAAGGTTGTCCGCGACGAGACCATCAAGCAGATCCAGAAGGCAGCTGAAGAGGAGAAGGCCGAGGAACGACAGGCTGAGCGTGACAGGGCGAGGAAGGCCAAGCGCGACGCTGAGCTTAATGCTCTGGATGCGAAGGCGCAGAAGAAGTACCTCGAGAAGGAGAGGGAGAAGGAATTACGCAAGTCTTCAAGAAAGCAGACTGTTCGCGCGTAGTAGGCTTCCTCACGCGCGATCAGGCCGCCACGACGAAATGCAGGCGTCCATAACTCCCACAAGCGGAGGGGACAGCTGCCGGGTGGAGAGAAGCAAACACATAGTAATCGCGGCAGATTCTGATATTATTGCCGGACCAAGTAATTAATACTCGACTTGTATAGGTACCTAGTGGGAAGATGTCCGACGTGGAATATGTCAGATGTACGCCAGCAACCTGTGTTTGAATAATAAATGTATGAAAGTTGAAAGTCGGTTTATTCATCACGGCTTATAACCTTTTCTCTAAGCTATAAGGAACAGCTGACTCTCGCGTCAAAGCTAATAATCGTTGGTGCTCACGAGCTTGGAGCTTGCTTAGCCAATAGGTCCTCGACACGCTTGACTTTGTCCGCTGCCGTCTGCTTCTTGTCCGTCCTGGTGGGAGTGTTAGTTGACATGGCCGATACTATCTATATCTGGCGCGTAGATGGGAAATTGACGGTGGTATAGCTAGGCCGGATAGTTGAAGGCAAATAGACAAGATCGTATAACCCAGCCTGAAGAGCAAAGAAAAATAAAACAAGACAGAACATACCTAGTACCAACCCTCATGGACGACTGCACGCGCACAACGCCTTTGGAATGAACTACGCTGTGGGCCTGTCCGATGACTTTCATGACCTCGTCCCACGATCCCTCTACAATCGCCCCAGTTAGCATCAAGCATAGGTACCTTATAGATAGCGGAGGAAGAGGAGAGACAGATAGAGGTAGGTAATTTGAGCTAAGCTTACCGACGGTCGTCCCCGCGGAATGCATCGTGTACGTGAGTCCGCTCGCCGCGAGCAGCTTCTGCACCTCGGCGACTTCTTCCGCGACGGAGACGTTGCCTGTGCCGACCTGTATTCCATATACATATACATTAGGTACCTTACGTATGCATACACATACATGTGTTAAGCATCTAGTTTCTGCGCAAGGGGAAAGATGACGGGTGAAACAAAACGGAGGAGTGATGTGGATAGAGGTAGGTAGAAAATCGAAGAGATAAAATAGGCGGTTAGGTTATATGGAAAAAAAAAAAAAAAAAAGGTACACATGTAGGATAGTAAATGCTGCAGAGACAAAGCTAAAAACTTACGGGAATAAGACAGAAATCAGCGTAGCACCGTTCCGGCGTCGCGACGTGAGTATACTCCATATGGTCGACAAGCGATAACTACACCCAATCTACCTACCTAGGTAGGTAAATAAGCTCTTGTCCTCGGAGTAGTTTAGACGAGCAGACGATCAACAAACCTAGGCGTCCCAGGTGTTTAAATTCCTGTCTTCTGGAAGATTGGCTGTTATAAGTGAGAGTGAGTTGACGTTTTGAGGCTTTAATAAATATGTATGATAACTAGGTGTGATTGTATCAAAGTTTAACGGACGATCAGAGAAGCTCGACTAATAATAAGAAAATTCCCCCGCAACCTTAGCTACAATGGAGCTAGTACTTAGGTACATAAAGTCTATTATAGAAGACGGGTGCTATATTATAAATTCAGGGCCTAATACATCACAATATGACACAGGTACGTAACGTATAACACATAGCTGTCTGAAAAAAGGGGATTCATTGACTTTTCAATAGAAGAGCTATATACAAAAAAATCTTCTTTTCCCCAACCTTGAACGACAACGTATGCGATGAGTGATATTTATTATAAATGCCCATAGTGCGTGATGAACAACTCCTCAACTCTAGATGCCTCAGGTCTAGATACTTTAGGTACACGGCAATGCTGCGCTATGGTGATATCCTAGTATAATATCGATGTAAATGTCAATCAGGCCATGCGAACGGCGGCCGTGATGCTGCGAAATACTTCTTCAAAAAGCCAACTCCCTCAGCTTCGGTATGCCGAAAAAATAAATAAATAAAATCCCCTGAGATCCTTCTATAACCCAAGGTTCGATATTTGTTCGCAACTCGACTTGAATAGGTCGAGCGTCAATAACGGAACTGTAATGTAGATATAAATACTCCGTCATAATACAAGGCAATCGGAGATGGTCCTGGAAGCATCCATCAATGCGTCAGTAATCAACAGGACCTAATCTATAGTGATCTTAGCTTCAAGAGGACTAGTAGTCTCGTCCTCTATTCGTGTAGTGTTGGGAACGTCTAGCTCCTGCTGGTTTTGTTTATGCGTCAAAGAAGAAAACATGTCACTAACCATCTGTTGGCCTCCCATTCTAGAATCCATCGACAACATATCTTACACCGCTCTCTCACGCTCAAAGTGCCTAGGAGCTTATACTTTTCCTCTTCATTAACCGGCAGGATGCTGGCCAGCCACCAGGGGAAAAGGGTTGGGTCTGCAGGGCATTCGCCGTAGATGGACAGAATTCGAGAATTCAACCACGCAACGCTCTGTGCCCTCACCCTTCTAGCAAAGTCTACTCCGACCTCGACTAGCTCTCTAGTCGACATCGTCTCTATATCGTCCAGCGATATTAATACCGGTCGGGAGCGAATGGGTACGGCATGTTCTGGATGCGAGGGCTCGGGACTTGGTGGCGCTGTTGCTAACTCTCTTACGCCGCAAGAACGCATTGTTTCTTCTGCTTCTATAGCTTCTTCTTCCGCTACGCTTATGTCGTCGATCTTCTCGATATTACCAACAATATACCCATCTAACCACCCGTGTCTGGTCACCCGAAAGCGAGAGACGCCAACCGTTTCTATGAGGCTCCGCCCATCTGCGAAAGATTCGATATTGACTATTCGCAGTAACGTTCCAATCTCCAAAAATTCAGGCTCTCCAGGTGCACGAGATGGGTTGGCGAGCACCATACCGAATGTCCGATTGCCCTCCATGACCCGCCGGATCATTAAGCGGTATCGTGGCTCGAAAACGTGGAGAAACGTGGGCATGCGCGGATATGAAAGCGTGCAGACGAAGAGCGGGATGTCGAACCCATCCTGGTTTGCCTGTTGTTCTAGCGCATACGTCTGCGCTCGAAGGTCTACAAGATCGGCCCAGAATCCGTTAATCATTTTGCAGAGTCGATCGTTAGAAGGATAGGATTGCCGGTTAACCTGAGCCTGTATCGACAAGGGGCGTCTGCAGATGGCGCAGAGATCTGAGTGGTCCAAAATGCGGTGGAGGCAGCTCCGACAGAACGTGTGGCCGCAAGTGGTCGTTAAGGGATCCAAGAACAAGGCGTAACAGACCTGACAATCCATTTCCGGTCTAACGGATTCTTTCAACCGCGCCAACATCGTAGTATCGATCTGCTCCGCCTCATCGTCCCCTACACCTATAGAGTAATAGGATACTTCGCTCCCATAATCTAGTTTGCCCTGTTCTGCTAGCGTATATGTTGCAACAATGCGGGCCCCTTTCAATATGGAGGGTTCATCTGTCTTGTTGGCAAGCGAGGGAATTCCCGCGATATCCCAGTGATCCTGAACTGTAATGCTCGTGGAAACATGAGAGAGACCTGTAACACCTCGATCCAACTCCATAATCGATTGTATGGTGGTCAGTACTTTGTTCAAGGTGATGTCAACAGCGCAATCTCCAAGCGCGTGCTCCTTTTTGCAGTCATCGAAAGGACATTCAAAACCACGAAGCCGGTTGGCCGTTGCGGGCCATGATATATTAGGTCGGATATGCGTCTGAGGCACACATAGCTTGCAGAGACTATGACCACAGGGTAAGGTTGTTGGCTCTCGCAATATTTTAGAACAAACTTGACATTGAATAAGCCTTACGAGCTGCCTGACGTCCTTGAAGGCGTCGAGAAGCAGCTGGGAAGCCGCCAGAGGCTTCTCGGTCTTAGCAGGGCTTGACGCTAGGGTGCCATCTTTCTCAGGATAAGACTTGGAAGTTGTGCCCCTTGAGTAAGTCAAGTTCGGCGTATTCGAATTAGGCTGTATCGAGGACATGAAAGTGATTTTTTTTTATTTCATTTGGACACCAGTAGTGGACGAATGTGCTGTTTTAGGGGAAATCATCTAAGATTGTGTTCGGTCCTGATAATCATATATCTTGCTGAGACTGCGCTGCTTCGCTTGGTTGCATATTACCGTAACGAAGAGTACAGAAAATAAAGAAAAAAAAATAGATAGAACGACGATATATATGTGGCACTTGAAGTGAGGAGAGTTACAGGCGTCCGGGTGAGGTTAACCAAGGATACAAGGACCTAATGTGTGCTGGTCTGTGGCGGGTGGACGGGGAGTCTCGTGACGGTGGAGTATTCATGGGAATTCATAAGTATTTGGATTATTATGAGTGATTATTTTATATCGACTCATGGAAGCAATTATCCCGAGATTCAACGGGGGGTAAGAAGATATTAAGGCCTCAGATAAATCTCGTAGGAGAGCGGGGAGTTGGCTATTTAGTTAAAGGGGTGAGTGACATAGAAACCAAGAAGAGACGCCTGAAAGCGTAGGACTCGGAGAAGACGATAGTTAAGGGGATGACGGTATATAGAAGAGCTGTAGCATATTGTACGTTAAAAGGAAATAGAAGTCATCATACATTTCCCCCAAAATCCAAAGGCGGAACGGTAAGAATAGAATAAGTGAAGTCGGAAGAAGGCTTGAGAGGAGAAGGAAAGGGAAAAGTCTTGACGTCGTAGGGGTACTTGGATCAGTCGTGAAAGGCAGAACTGAAATATGTGATTGGTTCGTGGGACAGGCGAAGGTGGATTGATGATCTCGATGAGACAATCCAAAGTCCAATAATAATTAATTGTCGGGAAAAAGGGACCACAACTTTTTTTTTATAGTAAATATGTAGCAAGACCTAGTTGTACAGCAATACAGGTAGTGAGTGACATGTACAGGTAGCATTCCACTAGCATTCCACTAACGATAATCTTAGGTGCTAAAGACGGTGTCTAATCCCTTGTAGGAAAAGTGTGATGCTCCATGTGGGGCCAGCATGCAGGACCCTTGAGTCGCCAAAAGTCTAGACTGGGACTTCTCCGGTACTTTGATATTCGATATAGTAATAACTGGATGATCACCACTTACAATGTACAAAAGCCAACCAATAGAACTTCTTCTTACAATTTACAAGTATACCTACCTAACCTAAGGTATAGGTATATAGAATTGCGGGAAATACCTATGTAACCTTATTCTTTCTTAACTTGGATAAACCAGCTGATGAGAGGCTTGAACTATTCTTGACTCGTTGTCTTGGACTTGATAATAATATGATAATACAGACACGACGTCAACGGCGATTGGATAATATCTATCCAAACAACGTGGCGCATCAATCTCTCAATGAAGTAAAGAAATATCGAGACCTTCATCCCAGAGTGGCTGGCATAATTTAAACTCGAAGCTATCCTCACTACTTACCTACACAAGAAGCCAATCGCTGATCGATCTCGAAACGACGTAATCTGGTCCGGGAATCGACGCTACTGGAACTTTGTTAGTTATCAATTGTCTTAAACAGGCAGAATGCCGTCAAAATAAATGCCTAACACTAATATTCTTTCTACCAACCTTTTTTAGCAAATAGAAAGACAAATTAAATTTAGAAAAAATTATTTACATATAGAGCAAAATTTTATAATTATTCTAGTAGTCATTTTGATAGCCTACAAGACGATTCGGTAAAGCTATGCGGATAGCAAAATGACCTGCTTGGTAGTGGAATAGGCACTTTTTTTGACGCCATTCTGACAGGATACCAATACGGTATTAATAACCTTCACGACCCGGCATGTTGGGAGATCGTCAGCCACTAGCTATCACTTTCTAACTACACAGTAGTAACATTAGACATGGCGGGCTCAACCGCAATTACACCTTGAATAAAATGTAGGTAAACCCTCACTTATTACCTAAACTGAAAGCCATACGCTCATATTTCTCCCCTGCATAATACATAACCCTTAGGTTAGCTATTAATCAACCAGATTCTTCCCCTAACCCAGCAATACCCACAACACCACCACGGCTCTATCCAGCCTCGATCTAAACGCCAGGACAGGATACATGTTTGCCTTCAAAAGTACCCAACTAAGGTAATTTGGGTAGTATGAGGTATGTAATTAAACGAAAGCCGCCTTCGAAAAGATGATACCTACCAAAATCGAAATACCAAAAAAAAAAAATGTATGACGCCAACATACGAGAATCCCATACCCATTTTGACAGCTACCTACTAAATCTATACCTAACTTCGTAGTGTCCATTCTTAACCCTCCAGTTCTTCAGCTCCCCAGCTCCCTCGTCCCCCTCAGTGGACCCATACGTTGTCAAGTGAACAAACCCCTCCATTGAACCAACTCCCCCCCTCTTCTTCGCTAACTGGATGCCTTTTGGCGAAAACCCCCAAACTCGAGAGTGTGTTTCCGGAACTTCTCAACTGTATTGTATTATATAGTCACGAGACGAACAATTAACCCTACCTACCCTTATATTATAAACACTACACGACTAACTGGTAACTTGGGAAGTTCTGAGCTTCCAACTTGACCTATTCTTCAAGTTCTTGAAATCGAGTCATGAGGTCATATTCCAATAAATTATTCCTCCGTCTCACTTCTTCCCGTGGTCAAAAAGGTCGTACATACCTACCTAATCTACCCAAGGTAGATAGATCACGTCATGTGCCTATTCCAAGTGTTAAACCGAGAAACAAGAGAAAGGTCGTTCGATATAACAATCTCTCTCATCCTCATCCTCATCCACCTCATTCGCAATCGCATTTCACACTTTCACAGGTATGTATCATACGTATGTACCCCTTGTCTTATACCTGGTATAAAAAAACCCAGCCAAGAGCAACAACGTACTACCTCTTCCCCGGACCAACGGAAACTCACTCTACTCGAACGCGCTTCTTCGTACGAAGCCAAATGTTGTGCGTCGTATCAGAACAAACAATACTTTTACTTTACTTGGCTTGAGCTTCTTGAAGATTCCAAATAAGTCCGAACAGACGATATCTATCTAAGGTACATGCTGTGCTGTGTGCCCTCATCCGGCTTTTCCTTTTGATTCCCCTCCCCCCCCCAAATAAACCCACCAAAATCCCGATGCAAGCCCGTAAGCTCCCGAGTTGCGCCTGTAGACTCCGTAGTCCATACAAGTAGTTGTAGTAATAGTAATAGCAATAGCAGAGACAATGTTCCAAACCCAACCCCTCCCCCCCAAAATATGATCAACTAAATCGCTTCTATGGGGGGACATGACAATAACAGCTCCCCCTTCAACCGCTAGGATTTTTTTCTTCATTTGTTATGACGCTAGAACTTCTCCTTTCTGCTCCTCTTTCGTCGTGTAACGTTGCTGGTCGCTGGATAAGATAATACCATTAATATCCCTCACATATGTATCTCGCATCTGTCCCTCGGTAATTATTGTCGCTGAGCCCATCGTCCCTTCGCCACGGCACCACGGTTGACCGCCAGCCAACGCCCGATATTTCCAAAACATATGCTGCAACAGAATATAACGCTCCATAACCAGATGCCTAGAGCAATTGTCTCCTGGTTTACTCCGCCGACAGTTGTTAATTTCTGCTGCTGATCAAGATTACCAGCGCCGCCGTTCGTCGCATTACCATACTCGGGACCAAACGCCTCGTAAGCAGGTGTTGCCGCGGCTGCCGGGCTTGGTACCGCCTCCGGTGTTAGTCCCAGAAGCATCGCAGACCCGACTAGCCCGCCGAAGATTGACAGCACTAAGCCGGACATGGAACGATCTAATATATACCAGAGTACTGGGTTTACGAGAGCAAACGCGAGCGAAACTTGGAGAGTTGAACTCCACGGGAGTTTTCTCTACACATGGTTGTTAGCGAGGTGGTCGTATATTTAGGAGCGGCAGAAAAACGTACGATGGCAAAGGCGATGCCAACGAAAGCACCAATACCTCTGATTGCCAATGCCCAGTCCGTAAACGAGGCAGGCCGCTTAAATGTCTGATCTTCCACGCTTTGCTCTACAGGGGATTCAACGGCTACATCGTCGCTCCCGAAAACCCGCTCCCAGACACCGTCAAACCAAGGGAGTAAAATGCCCATTACGATCCCGCACACGCCCGAAAACGCCAGATAGCCCCAATTATAACCGCCGTCAGCGCTCCGGAGCAGGTTATGCATTTCGAGAGGCCCTACAGCCATTTGCCTGTCCCGTAACTGGACGGCCAGCATCCCGTAGAGGACGCCTAGTCCAAACAGGAGCAAGCTACGCAAACCATGGTAGAATACGCGCTGTGCGGTAGACAGCGGTGGTGGACGTACTACCGGATGTAAGGAAGATCGCCTCCGGCCCGACAGCGCCCTCTCTTTCTGTATTTTGTAGTTCGGCTCGTCTGCCCTTAGGTTCTTTGCAGGTGTATCAGCGCCTGTGCCCCAGGGCGTACCCGGCTCGTCAACTCCCATGTCAAATTTATCCTTACCCCATATGGATGGTGAGTAGATGCCTGCTAACGTCGAACCCGTCAGGTTAAGTGAGGAATCGGTGCGGCTGATAGTAGTAGACTCGGGAGTGAGGTCCGTATTCCTCATATTAAGCAACCGAGAATTGAGTGACTCGAGGTTTAATAGCGGTACGTGCCCCGGGTCGGCAGAGACTATAGGGGCGGGAGAGTCATCGTTGGGAGGTGTCGGCTCTCTGGGGATTAGGTTAAAGGGTCGTCGAGGAATAGGTCGTAATAACGGCGGACCGTCATCGTTTTGTGAGTTGGACATGATAGCAGTTGGGGTAATGGCGTAGCTGTAGCTCAGGTACCCCTATTATTTAATATAAAGGATAGGTCGAATATTTAGAAACGATAGAATAAGGATAGGTGGGTAGAGTGAGGAATCGGACGTTATATAAAGTTGGTTGCCGCGTGGGCAAGATTTTAAGGTTTCTCTATAAGACTAAGATAATCGACTTCGGCTAAACGCAGTCGACTAAAGTTATGGGAACCCTGCGGAGAGAGAGGTAGAGGTAAGAGAGACGGAGGAGGGGGGGTTTGTTGCGAAACTTTCGAGATACAATTTCCGATCTGGTAGTTAAACCGAACCTTCAGGTTTAGGTAGTTTTATGTTCTGCAGCTCTACTCTGCAGCTAAGCGTACCTAGATGCCGCGTCGGAAAATATTCCAATGCTCCAAACTAGAACTAAATAGTGTAGTTTAATCCTTATGGTAGTTAGATAAAAAAAAAAAAAGGGTGGAAGCAACCAAATTATATAGGCAAGATGAGTAACAATAATGACGATATCATGCGTTATGATTAGTGGGGAGAGAGGACGAGGAGGAGGACGAGGAGAAGAAGAAGAAGGAGAGAGGAAGCTCTTTTTTTTTTTTTTTGATATTTGGGAGAACGAGAAGCGATTGGAGTAGGTATGTTTGTTAGGTATTGTTCGAGGTCCACGAGGATTAATTCCCATGTACCTTCTCCATTACCCACGCGCATTAAAAACCCGTATAAATCGTACAATCCGTAGCATCCGGTACCTACACTCCCAGCTTACATGCATTATATACAAATGGAGCCCGTAAAAAAAGGAGTTTCTATATGGGTAAGGTGCTATTGAAGAAAATAGGTAGGTACCTTACCATATAATGCGAATGGGGAAGCAACCATTGGTCCTTACCACATGCAAATGCTAAAATGGAACTCGGCACTTGTAAAACTGCCTTTAATACACCAGGTACTTCCATGTACATCTAAGTCCGACGTAGATTTTTTTTTTTTAAAAAAAAACGTCTTTTTGTCATACCTTAAGTACCTCCTTAGGTGTCAGAAGGGGGGAGGGGATTGAGGGGGCGGTGGTTAACATTGAAACATTTAATCGTATTATTGGTCCAAGTATCTACCTCGAAATTAATTCCCGGTTGCCTAGACGTTTGCTCAGACGTACGTACATCTGATGGAGGCTTGTAAATGGCGGCCGGATGCGATGGCTAAGTAATCCGGTTCGTCTTATTAGTCATTAAGGTACCTATCGAAAAGAAGCAAAAGTGAAAAATAAATAAATCGACTAGCTGCCTTTTTCCTCTTGTGAACTAATAATATAATACCCCTTGTTTTAGAACGGGTTTAGTGCTTCACCCCTCTTTGTTAGCACTTGATTGCTTTCGGCCTATTGAAGCTGTTAATGCTGTTCTAAAGCTGCATCTACTATGTGGTGATGCAGATTCTACCTAGGTAGCTATTAGCCACATTCCTTATAAGGTACAGATTGCCTCTTCTTACTAGGTATGTAACAATGTGTTTGAAGTTAGTGCACCTAAATATAAGGTAGGTACCCTCTGCTAAAGATTGTAGGTACGAAAGTAGACCACCAATAAACCCCCCCTGTTTCGACTTGGAATCACATGTTCCGTCCATCGTGACCTCCACCGTCGTACATTTTACGACGATGCGAAATCCGCATTTTTTTTATATACGTTAAAAAAAACGAGCTTAGATTCGCCGGTTGGCTCGCAGATCCCGTTGCTACCCCGCAAACAGGCACGCATCTAGCATTTCGTGACACCATCGTGCATCTTCAAATCTGCAAATCGTATGGTCGTACATCCATCATGCCAGCCGAGCTACCTAAATCGTCAGGCATGTATGTATTGAGGAGGTATGTAATATAATATACCTAGGTAGGTATATATGCCGTGGCGCCAAAGAAAAACAAGCAAACGGCTTTTATCTATCGCTATTTTTTAATGCGGTACAACCTCCCATGCGGCATTCGCTACAAAAGAGGGTCGACGTTTCAATCAACTCCCAAGCCCGGGAACGTCTTGTATTGTAAAGCTTTAGTTTATACGGCACTTGTCTTTGGGTAACCACAGCAGCACGTGCTGTCGATAGTACATACCTAGGTCAGTTCATGAAAAGAAGCGCATGGTTGATGAAAGGAAATGTATAGGTGGGTAACTAATGGATAAGACCAAAAAAAAGGGCTTACCCCTATTTATCAGACCATGTCGTCTTTCTAGAAGGTTTACGTATATCTCCGAGATGAGAAAACCAGGTTAACTCTAATAATGGATGGGGTATTAATTATTGCCCTCCTCAGCCTCAAAACCTCCTTTCGACACCAATTGATAAGTACCTCTAACCTAGTATATCATACCTATGGTAATATAATCCTCACTTTAAATCGTACTCGGATCTCTAGCCCGGGGAGATTATTACAAGGTAGGTACCTATATTTGACAACGTGATGCGACATTCGTTATGCACGGGCTTTAATTCATTACTTCTCATCTTCATCGTCATCTTCGTTTTCCTCATCCTCCGAGCTATCCTCCGTCTCGTCTTCACTCTCCTCTACGCTCTCCGGCCGGGGTATCATTGCAAATGCCTCCACGCACGTTATCCTGTTCTGGGTCTCGTAAGTACCGAGTAATTTGCCCACGGCCTTCGTTGCCTTCGCCTTTATCGCCTCCTTGAGCTCCGCGACTGCGAGTTTGAACACGCGCAGCTTTCCATCGCTACTGCCGGCTGCTATGAATATATTATCTGCCCCATTCCCCTTCGAGGATCTTACTACGCTGAAATCCTTGATACGTCCAGAAACCCCGGCTTCCTTTCCGCCAAGCTCCGCAATCAACTTGGCTACTGGCAGTGGCGTCTTTCCCTTTCCTTCCGTAGACGATTTTCCCGGGGTGAGATCCTGGCTCTTGGTAGAGAAGAACATGATTTTCCCGTCTTCGGTCGACACGGCAAGTAGCGACGAATCGTTCGCGCCGTCTATCTCGACGTAGCGGATTTCGTGAATCTTCCTTCTCGTGTCTGGCATAACTCTGCATTTTGGCGTGCTATCCATACCGAGCACCAGCGCGTCCCTGTCAAACCCTATGCAGAATTCATCGCCGTCTTCGGTGCTACCCCAAACCACTTTCCTGCCCTCCCCTAGCGCATGTTTTCCTTCCCCAACTTCTTGCAGTATCTCTCGGGTAAAATTAAGCACACCGGCCTTCTTAGCCGTCATTAAATTCCATAGTCGCATACATCTCTCGCCTTTGCTCACGCTGATCATAAGCTTCATGCTGGGATGTACGGCGAAATCGTTGACGCCAGCCGGCGTCGCACCCAAGGCCGCCGTATCACCACTCGGTCTCCCTTGGGGCTTCGGTACAGGTACTTTAATAGTCGATAGCAGTGACCAGTCCCTCGTCCTAGTGACAGCTATGGTTGAGTCTTCGGAGGCGGAGATGAGCTTTGACTTGGTAGGAAAGGATAGCTTGGTTATTGTGGAAGAGTGATGTAATAGCGTCCCCAGCTCCCGATTTTTGGGGTTTTCTAATATCTTTCGAGGGGCAACGGAGGAAAATATATCTTGATCTTTGCGGCTGGGCGGGTGTGCCGAGATATTGTAGACATTGATACGCTCGTCGCTGCTACCCGAAGCCAGCATGACCTTCTGCAATTTGCCTGGTTCGGGCGCCGAGGGGGGTGAGAGGGCTATGCATCGTATCGCTGAGCTATGCGCATTGAAGAGAAAGGTATCAGCAAACTCTACTTCGTCGTTGGCAGAGATAGTAGCTGTCAATCCGTGAAGAATTCGATCATAGGATCCTGTAACGACCTGAATCGTCAACGGGGAAGAGCTTTCTGTTTCTGCTTGTAACGACGACTCGGTGGTTTTAGGTTTCTTGAGAATAGTAAGTTCTTGTGTTTTCCCTCCGTTAGAGGGGACATCTGTCCGCTTTCGCTTGCCCATCGCGTGTTTGGCTTTTGAATTAATTAACTAGTTGGTTTCTATAGTTTGAGTTTCGTAAGAAAATTTGGAGTTCTGAAGAGAATCGACGCAAGATAGAAAAAAAAATAAAGTGGAGAAGATAGATAGGGTGGAGACATAATGTACCTACCTAAAATGTAAACCGTACATATGTTGAGGTACGTACCTCTTACTACATTTTACCTATATCAGGTACCTACCTAAGTATGACTTCCAATACATACAGACTTACATATAGACTTACATAGACTTACATATATCTATATCATATATTTCCTAGAATCGAATGCAATTATTTATTACATATTAATATTACTAGGCAATACGTACACCAATGTCATCAAGTCGTCGTCGTCTAGCTCACGGCTTGTCTTTAATTGTATTTTTTTTCTTCTTCTTCATACGTGAATGCTATCTGCCTAAGATACGGTCATCTCTGCCAGCTAAGATAGCTGCTATTTTATTTACAAGACCCTGACCAGATAATAATCGAGGGCCGCCAAACCTTCGCAAGTTTGCCAGAGGTATCCTATGACCGCTTGGCGCTGTACCTTCCGGGTAACAATGCGTACACAACGGAGATATAGATATCAAGACCACTTAGTATAGCGTCGACTTTGTCTAGTATTGACTTCGGAATGATGACACTGTCTCGAGTATCTGCTTTAACCCTGGACTTAGGGACTCAGTATAGGACTCGCATTTATGTGAATATCTCTGCAAAGACTCCTGGACGAGATAGTTCTTCTGCCTTGTAGTGATGAGGTGGCGGACATAAATTCATCGAGGCTTGCTACTTATTATAAATCTGTGGTCCCATGCCCTTTCAAGGATTTGATCACTACCTAACCTAGGCAAACTCGAAATCTTTCAGGGCTAGTCTGAGAAGATGGGTACGGCGAGTTTGACTCGGTAGGCGCCGAATACCTTAGGATAGAGCAGAGTGTCTTTACCTCGCAAGTCCCAAGAGAAATTGATGTTAACGCTGTTAGATAGTAACACCACACTCCTTGAGTCTGAGATAGAACAATAGCTACCGCGCGGTATAAACATCACACAGTGTATTGTCGGATCTATTTTGGTATAGACGGTGTTGGCGTTGCGCTTCCGCTTGAGTTACGTTGATGCTGCTGCTGTCCTTCGTGCTGTTGTTGTGCTTGTGCTTGGGCCTGCGCTTGGGCTTGAGCTGCGGCATGGGCGGCAGCTTGTTGCTGTTGCTGAGCTCTAAGCAGCTGGGCATATTGGTGTGGCCCATTGGCGGCAGCAGCATGTCCTGTTCCTCCCGCAGCAGCGTTCATTGCAGACTGCGCGAGGTTTTGGTTATTATGGCGGTTATTCAGTAGTTGTCTTGCCATCTCGCGGACCATATCTTGTGGAGTGTTAGGATGCTGCAGTCTGATATGGCTCTCGATATGCTGAAGTTGTGAGACGTATGTCTGATGTGTTGGCTGAGCCATCGTCGCGTTTGGTCGCGGCGAGCCTGCTTGTGATGTTATGGGAAGACCCGCCGTGGGAGGGGTCGACATTCCTGGCCCATTTGTTGCGTTAAACTGGGCTATCACTGCTTGTGCTGAGGCATTGTTGAGGTAGCTCTTCTGATTTAGCCCACTCATCGCAGCAGCTCGCATAGCAGGTGGCGAACTTTGCAAAGGCATGTTCCCTTGTGGAGTTTGGGATTGCGGTTGATGCGGTTGCTGCTGCTGCTGCTGCTGCTGCTGTCGCATCTGCACTGATCGGCGTTGCTGCTCGGAGATCTGGTGGGCTTGCATCAAGAGCTGAATGTCTGGCTGTGCAGTGGGCATCGCCATCCGCGGCTGGCCATTCACTGTGGGTATCTGTACCTGAGAGGCACCGGTCATCTGCATAGGAGGGACAAGACCGCCGCTCATGTGATTGGCTGTTCCAGTGCCATTTGGAGTGGCATGCATTGGCATTCGCGGACGAGCTTGACCGTTCATCGGAATCTGGTTAGGAGCACCGACACGAGCCATAGCCGCATGGGGATGAGAGGCTGCCATCTGAGGATTAGTCTGAGGGAGTTGATTCTGGGCGGCTGCCATTTGTGCAGCCTGTCCTTGCTGTGCTCTCTGAAGGGCAGCCTATGTATATGTATTAGCATCAACTAGACAATGTTGGAAGTCGGGAAAAGGGGGGATTCATACTCTACGCTGGGCCTCATGACGTTGCTGTTGGGCCATCCTCTCCGCCAGTCTCTCGGCCATTGCCTGGTCTCGTTCGAACCGCATGATACTGTATTCTCTGGGGGTCTTCGTTGGGGCCCTTTGCTGAGGAGTTTCGGTTGGCTTTCTCGAAGCTGCAAGAGAGGCAGCGTGCTGCTGCTTTTGTATGGCTGTCTCACGCTTCTTTGCAAGTTTCCTCATCGCATCTATCATCGTCAAGTGCTTTTGGTTACGCCGTCTTTCTACCTTTAATGGGACGTTATACCGCCGCTTAGGCATCGGTGTAACGGGCCCGTTGGCATTAGCTTGCTGCGTTTGCTGTTGCTGCTGTTGCTGTTGCTGCTGCTGCTGCATCGCGTTCTGGTGTTGTCGGATGACTTGTTGTGACGATTCAATTCTGCCCTGCCATAACTTGAAATACTGTGTCTTCTGCATATCATGGGGAAGCCCTTCGAGCATAACCCAGCGCTCGAAGCATTCCCATGGCGTCCGCCTCTCAGCCCCGGAGCTGAATAAGGACTTGGAGGACAGCATACTGGATATTAGAGACCAATTATACGAATACTCGCGTACGAGACTCTTCAGTTCATCATCCTCAGACTGGATCCATTGAGAAGGACTCCGACATTCATAAAACGACTGGAATGGCATAGTATGCTCGTTTGGTGGGCGGAATTGATGCCCAGCATGTAGCCTGTCCCTAAAACTTTTGTTCTCGGGTCGGAATAGTGCTACATTAGGGTTTTCTGGTTCTAAACGGGGTTTGCTGTCGCCCTGCTGGCCGAAAATGATTCCGTCGTCTTCGTCATCCTCTTGAGCATACTTATATCGGCTACGTTTTTTGGGCGGCTCGATTGGTGTGAGTTCCATTCGACCTTCCACGAACCTGCTAAGTGGCAAAGCAGGTCGCCTCCAAGAAGCATCAGGATCGTACTCCGGCGCGGTAAGATCAGATTTTGGGACTTTGAGCGGTGACCCGTACATAGGCAGCTCTTCCAGCAGTCGATCCGCAGCAGGAGATAGATGCAATGCAAACACCACATCGTCATTCTCCAAGGCAAATATGGCAGACGGAGCTATCGTGTCGAGGATCCCTTCGTTAGGCTCATCGTCTGGTTCCATCGGAGAAAACATATCCGCGGATGGGATAAGGTCTGGCGTTAGTTGACTATCCGAACTCTGGGGATCGTGAGCATCGCCCATAGCAACTTCTCCAGCATCGGCCGACACTTTAGGAGGGATGACAGCGTTAACTTGCAAAGCCTTCCGATCCTCCATAGGAGCTGACACCCATTCGGCACAAGCATAGGCGAGGTTCCTGGCTGCTGCCATCTTCCACTTCCGCTCTTCGCGAAAATCTGTTCTCATCCATTTCATCTCGTTAAGTAGAACATCCCAGTGGCATGCCTGACGCGTAGGCTCAGGACAACGCTTCGGCTGACGCAAAGACCACTTGTTATGATGCTGCAAGTGATATACCCTTTTAAGAACCTTGCAAGCCTGATTATCAAGTATCTGAGTGTAAGAATCGGGAGTTGACAATGTTTTATGAGCCTGATGTAAAATCTGATCCAAAGGTCTCATCCATTTCGAGTTCGAGGCGAAAGCCTGAACAAAAAGAGGAGTGAAATAGTCATCACTAGCCATTTGTCCAATCTTGGACCGATTCTGAACCAAAGATTTATCCGAGTCTCCCGTGGGTTTAGGTTGTTTGCCAAACACCACTGTTGGTCGTTTACTCTTCTCTGCTAACTTAGACCTTCCCATAACGCTTTGCGAAGGCTGTCTGGATGATTGGGATGTCGGCGTTACCAATGCGTTGTCATTAGATGTCGAATCTCTCAAAAACCTCGGCGGCTCGGTAAGGATCTCAGCAACCGGCTTTTGTCGAGCAACCCCCGTAGGACTGCTACTTCGCTCGCGAACCGGTTTGTGAGATTGCGGTGGCTGGGGGGAATCTTGAGTTTCCTCGGCGTCAACTTGCGGTGTAATCGGAGCTGAGTTGACAGGAGCCACAGAACTTTCCTTCCCCATAACTTCGTTGTTGCTTGGACCGTCGATAGCACCCCTAGTATAATTATCCATACTCGCAGGTGCCATTGAAGTTGCCATTGGAGTTGCCGTTGGAGTTACCGTTGAAGTTACCGCTGATACTGATGTCGTGTTCGTGCTTCTCGTTTCGGTCGGCGGTTTGTCGTTTCTCGAATCCGGAATTGGGAATTCACGGGAATCATTCGAAGGAGACTGTTGTGCAGGCGACTGCGAAACGCTATGAATACTATTCGCAGTCTCCTCAATACTTGCGACTACATGTTTTTCAGGTTGCGGAATAGATAACGCATTGTTCAGCGGTTGTGGTTGTACTGGGTGAACATTCGGACTGGCATTAACTGGTGTCTGTGTTGCTGTGATAATGGGCGCTGGCGGCGGTTGGGGGGTTTGGTCTCTAAATAGTTTCGAGATGCTTTCAGATGTTTGAGCTACGCTAGGCTCAGATGGCGGCGTAAAGCTCAATGGATTTTGTTTCATCGACGCCACGTCTTTCATTCCCACCAGCTTAGTCTCCGTATTACTTGCAAGCAGCAAACTCTCATGAGTTGGGTTCGTGTTCTGCGTTGTATGGGAGAAAACGGGCGCCGCTGAGCTTGGAGCAGGTATACCATCAACCCTACCAATGCCTTCTATCTGAGGAGTCGTCGGAACCAGGGATACTTCCTCTTCAGGCTTCACAGCTGTGGAATCAACATCCATCGGCTCCCCAATGTGAGTCTCTCCTGGCTGCGTGCCTGTGTATTGCGCTGCATGGTGTGGTTTCTGCTGGTATTGCTGCTGCAGGTGCTGCTGCAGGGGCGGTTGTTGCTGTCGTTGTCGTTGGTCATTCACGAAATGCTGAGCCACCTGTTGTTGTGGTTGACGAATATTCACACAGGTCACGGCGGGACCTGCGGGAATCTTGGGGCTTCCATCAGGCCTGTTGTTCTGGGCCAAGTTCTCTACATGTTCACCGGAGGGAAACCTAGGTTTAATTAGGTCATTTGATAACGGAGAGGGAGGTTCGGATCTCGTCGGTCGTGCAGGAGATTGGGTCGGCCAAACTGGCTGATGTTGTTTTAATCCTGGGCTAGACGTTGGCAAGGTAGACGTTGGTAAGGTAGAGGGAGGGTTCGTTTGGCTATCGACAATTCCTGGTCGCGATTGTACGGGAGGCGGTGGCATAACAGGTCGCACGATAGCGGCGACATCTTTCTTCCTATTCTGAGGTGCATTTTCGCTCGAGGTGAAGTTCTCTCCGGGTCGAGGTAATTGAGGGTATTCGGATCGCACTCGTAGTCGAGTAGGAATATTCGACTCGTTTAATTTTCTCCCTCTAAGTTAGAGTATTAGCGTTAGTGACACGAACAATCTTAAAGACCAAATATTTTGTTTTAAAGTTTCTCGAATCTGGAAAGGGTTTTTATAATATAAACTACCCATCCAAGACGCGATTAACAACATTTAACAAAATAAAAAATAAAATAAAAATAAATAATAAAATGAAAATAAATAAATAAGAAGCAAAAAAATAAGAAGCAAAAAAATGTGAATTTCAACATACTGCAAGATATCGCAACCCTCAAGAAAATGCAACTCGGCAGCGCTGGCTGGTGGCGCGTCCGGATCGGCGAAGCTTCGCTGGGGAAGGCCATCGGTAGTCGTAGCGACCGCATACAGAACGCAGAGCTTTCTCTTCCTCGAACGAGCGATAGCACTAAAAAATATATATATTATGAGTATCGGATCAATTAGCTCTATTCATACAAATATATCACTGACCTGCATTCTGCCCGCTTTGATTGCAGAAGCTTCGTGCGGTCGGCGGGCACGACCTCAGTCATAGCATCGACCACCGCGACATCCGTTTTGCATGAAAACGGATGGCTCTCCAGTCTTAATGGGACCGCTGGAGATGGATCTGATATTATTGAAAGATGAAAACGATGGTGTTGTGTTGTATTAATTGAATTTTCTCTTCGTTATCATTTACAAGAAGTCTTTTAGATTGAATTTTTTTTTCGCCTTTTCGTAGAGGATGCCTAATAGTAGCTGTGGTACTGGCCACTTCAGCGGACGGGGACCTTCTGATAGGCCTGGTTGGATCGATACACAGCGGTGACCCATTCTACCGAGTGCTATTGCTGCTACCTAAAATTCCCCAAGGTACCTGCTGTAAGCTCTATCTGTATACATTCGACCTGCCTACAATTCAAGTACGACCAGGTTGTACCTACCGATAAGCACGGCCCCTAGTAGCCTACCTCCGTTGTCTTTACTTGCCCCTCTTCCCAAACTTGCCTCCTCATTACCTAGGTACCTTTTAGGTATATGGTTGTTTGCTGTATGGTCCGGACCTTACCTACCTCATACCTGTAGGTTTGCCCATTATGTCAGTATGTCAGTAGAAGCAACTTGGATATATCATATCATGCCTTCCGAGGCTTGCAAGAATTTATTTAGGTTAGGTAGTTTTGTAAATGTGTAAGGTACATGATCTTATTTTAGAGTCGCGTTAAGTACCTATTAGGACATCTAGTAAAAGTTCCAATTACCGAATTCGGGCACTGTTAGCATTAAAGTTACTGCACAAGCATGAACATGCAACAGCTACATTGTTCGTCTGAGTCTGATCATTCGAGTTCTTTGTACATATAAGTGGAGCTCGGTACCTAATGTCGCGTACTTTGTAGCATGCTCGCATACTAAACTTCGCCTTAAACTTACAGCGACAACTACCTAACCCTAACATAATATCTAACAGACCAAACGGGGACGCCTTATATCTCTAGCTTCGCCATCTTCATATATCTAGGGCGAATAGAAAATGCCTGAACCGGCATCGCGAATAGCGATTAAATTTGGGACATCGTCCTCCTCATCAGTCAACGGAGTTAAGAAACAGAATCATGCGCAACCATCATCGACGTTAGGCAAGCGTCACCGAGCACACGCCCTATATCATGATTCCGATTCCGGGAGCGACGATGAGACCAGTGGTCGACATGAAGCAATCACGACTATCGGCGACGACATATCCGAGTCTGAATCTAAGAGGCGAAACCTAAACACGGGTAAATCCGGACGCGCCAACGCACCATACGTGATAACAGGCCACAAGAATCGCGACTGGAAAGCAGAGTTGAAGGCTCAGAGGGGTACCGAGAACGGTACGCCATCGAGGCGGAATGAATCTGACGGCTCTGCAGAGAGAGACCCGGCCGACCAGGACAAGCAAATCAAATGGGGTCTTACAGTGACGAAGAAACCAGTACAGGATGCCGAGAATTCGGATAAGAGTCTATCAAATGACCAAGAACCTGCTACACCTGGCCGCGAAGAAATTAATCGCGATGACGAGACTGAGGCTTCTAAGCACGAAGACAAGGACGCTATAGATGCTCTCTTAGGCAAAAAACGAAAATCTGCGAAAGACCTCGTCATCGAAGGGTCAAGACATAGCACGCCCACAACCCTTTCAGAACAGGATGCCTACCGTCGTAGAATGGGAGAAGCTGCAGAGGTATCAACTATAGAGGAATATGATCAGATACCCGAGGGTGAATTTGGAGCAGCCATGCTACGAGGAATGGGTTGGAACGGCGAGGAGCGCGGTGCGAAGCCTAAAGAAGTCAAAAGGCGACCGAATTTGATGGGGCTCGGTTCTAAGGAGGACGAGGAAATTAGGAAGGGGGAATTAGCCCGAAAACATGGACATCGGGAACGGAGACCCCGTCTTGACGAGTATAGGAGGGATAAAGAAAAAGAGAGACGAGACCGCGACGAGCGCCGGGCTGATAGCTACAAGTCCGAACGCGAACGCGAGCGCGAGCGACGAGATTATGGTCATAGCCATCATCGCGATCGGGACCGGGACCGGGACCGGGATGGCCATAGACACTCTGAGCGCAGCCATAGATGCTGAAAGAACTGGCTAACGCCTAATCAGCCCGACAGAATAGAATATCTGTGGCTTTTTAGCGCATGACGCCACGTCGACTCTACAAACCTGCCTTAGTCCTATATATTTAAAAGCCGACTTCTCATGATTGAACTGCTCGGGATGAGATATTCGCCGGATAAGTTCTGTCAACGGAGAACCCTGATAACCCTAGCTATCACATAGTGAGTGCCTTACTGAATCGAATTATTAGAGGCCGTAATACACCCTTTGCTGATTTGTTTAATGCATTTCATTACATACTATCTCGAAGCGATACTAACTGTGTGTGACTAGATATCGTTGAGGCAAAGATTGTTGAGATATTCATATATTCATAGTACAGGCTTCTGGAATTAGTGCTCAACACAACAACGGGACTTATCACTATTAAGAAATAGTGAAGGCGGGACAAGGGAATGGCACCCATAACAGAGCAATCTTGGGCCTTGAGGACAGATCATTTCTACAGCTCTGCATTTGAATCAAGACTCCTATATTGTCGGTGTAGTCTTACATGGTAATTTGTCTCGACTCTCGTGGACGTTACCTCTCCTTGTTTTTTATATCGTCTCCCCTGGTTGATCCCTGGCTACCTATTACCTGATACGGTATTCAGCCCTGGCATTTTACAACATAAAAGGGATATTTTGACCGGTGTTACCGCTTCGCTTGGAGCAGATCGTTCCTAATATATCGAAAAGTCACAACTCGACTATTTAGATGCTGTGGTCTCTCATATATATGGTACGATAATGGTGTATTCCAGCTTTGGGAGTGGTACCTAGCTGTGCCTCGGCATCGTGTCTTTTCAAGAGGCCGTATCTCATGTTAGCGTGTTAGCGTGTTATCGACATTATAGCGCCGTAGATCGGCTTCTACAGAACAACGTGGCCTTTCCGCCAAGGTCCTAGATTTTCGAGAGGTGGGTTCTAATGTTATTTTCTGCTAGCTAGGTCTTGTACATACCTAAGGTAATATAGAAATAACATGAGTCTGAGAGTACCTATTTGTTTTCAGGATATACCTTGCCTATCGTTTCAGCTAAGTACGTGTAATAGCTGAAGTAGTAGTATTAGTAGGTACTAGTAGTATGTAAAAATTGGCGTGGCTGTGTTTGCTTTCCTTATCCAATTTTAATTGTTTATTTTATTATTATTTTTTTTATATATATTTTCTATCCTAGGTGCTTCGCAGAATGTCGGTACGTAAGTTAGAACCCCCTATTCAATTAATTGTTTGGAGGTTTAACATCAGCTCGATAGCGTGGGTATGACCTAGCCTGGTACCTGCACCTGGACAAGCTTAGAACAAGCTTAGGGACAATCAGACCCTAAAGGCACCTAGGGTAGGTAGGCTAGGTACCTAAAGGTGGGGTGTTGGGGGGTTTCTCACCGTTGGAGCTCTAAGTCGTGGTCAAAACCCCACTACGATTACGACGGAACGGCACCTACTGTGGCTCTAGCTCAGGGTCCCCTGGCCACTCAGAGAAATCAATTCGTACAAAGGGTTATCGGGTTGGTTATCGGGGCTAAGAGCATGCAGGAGGACAGGAAGGCAGGAAGAGGGCGGTCTGTGAAAGTGGGAAAGGGCAGAGAAGAAATACTAACTTTATGTACCTCAGGTTTTTCCCACAAATTCTTCTTCAACTCTTCAAGACACAAAGAAGGTTATTGCAAAGTCTTTCCCGGCCCTTATTGGCTTTGCAATCATCATTCACTATGTCCAAGCCTCATAGTGTTAACGGGAGCGAGTCCGAGTTCGAGTTTATCGAAACTCCGAAAGCTCCCACTCCCACTTTCGAGAAATTTGAGGACTGCGGCGTGCGAACCACATCGGTAGGTTTTTTCTTTCTTTCTTTCTTTTTCCCTTTTTATGAAGCCGGCATCTACGGATCCGGCATCTCATACAGGAATACAGGCCAATACAGTCCAGAAGCTAACTAATATCATTTTCTAGTACCCATCTATCAAAAATGCACCTCTCCCCGCGGACTCTGCAGGTGCTGACACCTTCTCAAACCTCCTGCTATTCTCTCTGCTAGGAGGTGTCCCATTTTACATGTCCTGGAAAGTCGGAGGTGGTCTAAAGACTGCTATATTCTTCGCCTTATTCACGAGCATTCCTATCCTTGCTGGGTTTTGGCTCACTATCTCCGCCATAAGTCCCAGGAAAAACGAGAAGGCCAAATATCCCGGACGGCCGGTCGAGCATTACCTCACTTTCAAGAAGCAATCTGACAAGCTCAAGTACCATGGCAGGAATAAGATCCCCTTGGAGACCTTCTACGAGATGTATTTCGACGGCGATGTCGACTTCAACGGTGATTGCCTCGAAGTTTTGGAATACAGACATGATTGGGCAAGCTTCCGGTTCACCTGGGGCCTCTGCAAGTACTTTTTGTTTGGCATGATCCCCGAAGTTATCATGCACTCGAGGAGTCAAGGTATGATATTACACAACCTCAACTGCTAAATATGACTGCCGGCTAACTAGATCAAGATGAGGAACAGGTCCGTGACCACTACGACCGTGGTGATGACTTCTACGGTTGGTTCTTGGGTCCTCGTATGATCTACACTTCCGGCATTATCTCGGACATCAACAGAGAGGAGACCTTGGAGGAACTGCAGGACAACAAGCTAGCTATTGTGTGTGAAAAGATTGACCTACAGGAGGGCGAATCGCTGCTCGATATCGGTTGCGGTTGGGGTACCCTCGCACGATTCGCAAGTGTCAACTATGGTGCCCGCGTCACAGGTATCACTCTCGGCCGCAACCAAACTGCCTGGGGTAACAATGCTATGCGAAACGTTGGCATCCCCGAGGAACAAAGTAAGATCCTCTGCATGGACTACCGAGATATCCCGGTGCCCCAGGGCGGATACAAGAAGATCACTTGTCTGGAGATGGCTGAGCACGTCGGTGTTCGCAAGTTCGGTACCTTCTTGAAGCAAGTCTACGATATGCTTGACGATGATGGTGTGTTCTTCCTGCAGATTGCTGGTCTACGAAAGCCTTGGCAATACGAGGATCTTATCTGGGGGTTGTTTATGAACAAATACGTTTTCCCCGGTGCTGACGCGTCGACTCCTCTTGACTTTTTCGTCGGTGGACTCGAAGGTGCCGGATTTGAAATCAAGGGAATCGATACCATCGGCGTGCACTATTCCGCGACTCTGTGGCGCTGGTATAGGAACTGGTTGGCCAACCGTGAGAAGGTTGAGGCTAAGTATGGAAAGAGATGGTTCCGCGTAAGTTTTCCATGATCAAGTTGACGAGATGTATGTTGATGCTAACGAGTTAAAATAGATTTGGGAATACTTCCTCGCTGCTTCCACCATCGCCTCCCGACAAGGCACTGCTACTTGCTACCAGATTGTTTTGGTGAAGAACCTCAACTCTACTCATCGCGTTGAGGGTATCCCATCCCAGTTCGCCTTGACCGGTGCTCTAAACAAGGCCATGACGAAGATTGACTTCAAGGCATGGGCTAAGAAGAACGCTGACCAGTTCCCTACTTCAGCTGCCCAATAAAGAGAACAATAGTTAAACAAGCCTACCTATGGACTGGGAATAATGATATCCTAGTCTTGTAGCAAGGTTTGAACATTGTAATATGTGGCAGTAAAGAAAAGTTAGTCAGAGGCTAGGAGGTTATATTTAGGCGGAGGAATAGTGATGGGCTAAGATGACAGCTGCTATTCCGGTAATGGACGTCTGAAGTTTAATGGAGTGGATAAAGGTAGTAAGTAAACGTCGAGTGGAAAAGTGGTTAAGGCAGATGAATATAAACTACCCGAATCACCAACTAGACGCTTCCTAAAACAGATATATAGGTACATTACATATGGTATGATGATGATCTCGAAGTCGTAAACAGGAGGTGTTATGTAACTATGCATATCTGGAAACTAATGTGAAAAAAAGAAAAAGAAAAAAAAGAAAAAGAAAAAAAAGTTAAAAAAAAAATTAAAATTTAACCTAAATACCCCTGGATTAGGAGGAAGTCGAATGTATATCGGTAAATATGTAGGTACCCAACTTAACCCACACGGGACTGGATGCAGTACATAGGTACCTATATAGTACCTATGTACCTTGGGGTCCCAGCCATTGAGTTTTGAACCATGCACATAGATTACTGGTTCGTGTCTAGCTGTCTAGCGGTCATGCGCCTACATAGTAAATTATGCCAAGCCACTTCTTGTCCCATTCATTTGATTGCTTCAACTGGTTTCAACTGGCTTCGTCATTCTAGTCATTCTACAACATCAAACAGAATTTCTACAGACTTGACATTCTTTACTTTACCACCACCATCATCATCATCATAATCATCATCATCGACGAGCAGTAGTAACTTGGGTCCTCAGGACCTCCCTAATCTTCACCCCTAGAAAAACCCCCTTCTCTCTCACTATAACTTCATTCTAGGTCTAGGGATAGTCGAACTGGCGTTATGTATTCCAATTCTAATTCGTTCATGGGCGGCAACAGCCTGCGACCCGGTCCCCAGCAGTATGTCAATACGTACGGCGTGGGAGCCGGCGTTCCGGGTCAACAGCCTCAACAGCAACAGCAACAGCAGCCGGGACAGCAGCAGCCGAGTCCATTCGCACCGCAGCCGACGGGATATGGGCAGGCTCCCCTAACCCAGCAGTATACGGGCTTTCCTGGTACGCAAGGCTTACAATCACAACCTACAGGAATGGCTTTGAATATCCAGCAGCCTCAGTTACAGCCTCAGTTCACTGGATATCCCGGGCAAGCTCCTCAACAGCAGAACTTCCAAACGGGTGCTCCGCCGGTACCGCAAATTCCCTCTCAATTTCAATCCCAATTCAACCAGCAACAGCCTCAAAGCTCGTTTACGCCAGCCGCTTCGCAACCCCCGCCCCAAATATCCGCGCCCGCCCCGGCAATCAAACCTCAACCGACAGGCTTCAGCGCGATGGCTGCTTCGTTCAAGACAGGAGGCGCGACCGAATCTCAAGCGGCGGGTCGAGCTCATAAGCCTGCGAACAAGATACCGAATATTAGGTTATCCTTTATCACGGCCCAAGATCAAGCCAAGTTTGAGACGCTGTTCAAATCAGCCGTGGGAGACGGAAACACAATGTCTGGAGAGAAAGCTCGGGATCTGTTATTACGATCGAGACTTGATGGAGACTCTCTATCACATATCTGGTATATAGTATATTACCGTTACTTTCCAATCGACGATTAATTAACCTCTGGATAGGACTCTCTCGGATACCACCCGATCAGGCGAATTGCACTTCCCGGAATTTGCGCTAGCTATGTACCTCTGCAATCTGAAGCTTGTGGGCAAAGCGCTTCCCGGAACTCTACCAGACCATATCAAGAATGAGGTATCAAGTATGGTCGACATAATCAATTTCAGTATCGCCGAAGAAGCTGCCAGCTCCGGTGGTGCGAGCAATGCTCAGGATTTCACCAGGCAAAACACTGCCACTCCACCGACAATTCAGCACCCTCAGCCCTTATCATCTAATTCCCAGTTGCTCCAAGCACAGATGACGGGAATTCCGAGTCAGCCGACAGGATTCCCTGGTCAAGGATTACAGACACAGCAAACTGGATTTCTAGGTGGCCTGAATAATCCGCAGCCAACCGGTTACAACGGGCCTCTGCCGCCAATACCACCAATGCCCACGGGGTTTCCCGGCGGGTTGTCTCCAGCTAGCGCGCTTCCTCTCAACGCGCAGCCAACTGGAAGACCCGGTCAATGGGGCCTAGTCAACGCTCCGGCAACCGGGCTCCCTAATATCGATGCCTTACAGGCCCGAATGATGCCACAAGCAGGCCGCGAACAGCAGAATTATACTACGGCAGGCTTGTCGGGCAACGCAGTGATCCCCTGGGCCATTACCAAGGATGAGAAAACCCGCTACGACCAATTGTTCCGGGCGTGGGATGGCCTAGGCAAGGGATTTATTGGGGGCGACCAGGCTATAGAAATATTTGGGCAAAGCGGTCTTGAGAAACCTGATCTTGAGCGGATATGGACTCTTGCGGATAACGGAAATAAGGGCAAGCTCAATCTCGACGAATTTGCCGTAGCTATGCACCTGATTTACAGGAAGCTAAACGGCTACCCGGTGCCCAATGTTCTACCACCCGAGCTTGTCCCGCCGTCTACTCGCAATTTCACCGAGTCACTTGGTACTATCAAATCTATGCTAAACCAGGAGTCTGATTTCCGCAAGACATCAGGAGCGTCCTTACTTCCTCAAAAGACGGGCGTCAGCTACTTGAAGAGTCATTCCTTCAAGGGGAACGCCGGTGGGTTGAACGCTGGGCGGAAAGATGCGACAGTGTTCAAAAACAATGACGATCAGGTCGGGTACCGGTCGAGCGCGCGACGCAGGGTCGGGAATTCATCCCCCCGGCCAGAGTCACCTGCGTCTACTACGTCAAACGAAGAACTCTCTATTGACCAGCTCAAGAAGAAGATCCGAGAAAAGCAAGTCCTTCTGGATGCCATGGATTTCAAGGACGAGACAGCCGCTGAAGAGGATGATATCCTTGATAGACGCGATCGCCGCGAGGCTGACGAGCTATATCGTCGCATTAGACGGATACAGGACGATATTGACGCTCATCCTGATGCAGCTCTTGCAAGTGGTGATTCCGAAGCTGAGAGAAGGGCTCTCAAGCGCCAGCTACAAAACCTTACCGATAAAATTCCTGAGCTAGCTTCCCAGGTTAGAAAGACGGAAAAGGCTATTGCCGATGCCAGGCTCGAGCTCTTCCGGCTCAGGGACGCGAAGGCGCATCCCGGAAGTGCCTCTAATATTATCGGTACTGGTCCGGGTGGCACGATCACCGAGTCTGACCGTCTCAAGGCTAGAGCTAAAGCCATGATGCAGCAGAGGACTGCTGCGCTGACTGGCAAGAAGATAGACATTGGCGATGACGAAGGAGAAGCGGCGAAGCGACTAGAAGAGGAGAGCATTAAGGTACGAAATGAGAGGGATACCAACGAGAGCATGGTCCGCGACGTGGAGGAAAGTGTCCGAGAGTTCTCTCGGGGTATCGAAGACAACCTTAAAGAAGGCAGCCAAAGCGCAGCCAACGAACATGAGAGAAGAAGATGGGAAGACGGCCTGGGTGTGGAGGATGAAGTTCGAGACTTCATATTTGACTTACAACGTTCGAGCCGGGCCGCGAGAATCAGAGCTCAAGACCGCAAGGGCGGACGAGCACCCACAGCCGAGCCTGTCAAGGCGGAGGCACCGCCAACTCGCTTGGATAGTCCTTCAGCAAGCAGCACTGCTACACCGCCAACTAGCCGATCACCAGCGCCGGGTGGCTCGTACTCGTCATACAAAACTCCGGAAGAGAGGGCCGCATTCATCAAGCAGCAAGCAGAGCAGCGCATGGCTGAGCGCCTTGCAGCTCTTGGAATCAAGACGCCTTCCAAACCCGGGGAGACTGCTGCCCAGAAATTAGAACGTGAGAAGGCAGAACGTGCTGCCAAGCGTCGACAGGCAGAAGAAGAAGATGCCCGACGTGAACAAGAGCGGCAAGCTAGAATTGCTGAAGAGCAGGGTGTAGCTCCTCCCGCACCCGCACTCAAAACAGAGGGCAAGAAACCACCGCCGCCTCCTTCAAGGAAGAGTGGGAAACATGACGATACGTCTACCGCAGGGAGAGCCGAGGAGGACGAAGCTACGAAGAAAGCCGAAGAAGAGGCATCGAGGAAGGCCGAAGAGCAGCGTCTCTCCAGGGAGCACGAAGAGCAACAGCGAGCTACTCAGCAAATGGAGTACGTAATATTATTCCACTTGAATTTCCATCCGTTATTCAGACTAACTCTTTTTATAGGGATGAGGCCAGGCAACAAGAGCAAGAGCTCGCAAATGAGCGCGAAGCTGCCTCCGCCCGTCTCAAGGCTCTGGAGGAACAGGTCCGCCAAGGCAAACTCAAGAAGGAGGAAGAAAAGAAAAAGAAGAAAGCCGCCATGGCCGAGGCGAAAGAGAAGGAAGCGAAGCTGGCAGCTCAACGTGCCGAAATCGAAGCTGCGCGCCAAAGGGAACTTGAACTTCAGCGACAACTCGCAGCGATGGGGGAGGACTCTTCCTCCTCGGACGACGACGAGGGTCCGCAACAGATCACTCCTCAAGCATCTACCCCTACTCTGGGTAGCAGTCAGCTTGGCAGTCAGGAATTGGAGCGCAAAGCCACTCCACCTCCTGCCCCCGCGCCGGCTGTAATCTCTCCTCCTTCGGTCGCCAGTCCACCTTCAGAGACGGAAAGCCGCAACCCATACCGCCGGATGTTATCCCAGTCCTCGGAGTCTTCTGCGGCCCCTTCTGCGCCTACTCCAGCTGCTCCCGCCGCTCCGCCGCCGCCACCACAGCCAGAAGTATCTACTAATCCGTTCTTCCGAATAACCCAGGAGGCCAAAGCAGCACCGCCTCCTTCTCGAAAGCGACCGGACACAGATGATGAGTGGGGTTCTGGAAGCGAGGATGATGAGGATTCGGATGATGAGCGTCCGGCCGCCGGCGCTGCTCAGCTAGCATCTCTCCTCTTCGGCTCCATGGGTCCTCCTCGACCACTATCGGCTACGGGTGATAAATCTGCTGGAGCTTCGCCGGTTGTGACTTCAACACCATTCAGTCCTCCACCTACAGGAGAGACTGCAGGATCGCCTGCCGCACCTCCGCCGCCGCCACCTATGCCAGAGGCAGGCGCAGGAGCTCCTCCGCCACCACCCCCGCCGATGCCTGACTTCGGGGCTCCTGTGGTACCTCCGCCACCCGCGCCGCCAATTCCGGGAATGGGTGCTCCTCCACCACCGCCGCCGCCAGCTCCAGGTGCCTTACCAGCTGCTCCTTCTGGTGGTGGTAGACCCGCCGGTTTCTTAGCCGAGGTTCGCATGGGTAAAGCGCTGAAGAAGACCCAGACGAAGGATAGGAGCGGTTCAGGTTTAGCCGGCCGAGTTTTGGATTAAGGATAGTCAAGCCTGTTCGCTGTTGGACGGGCTTAGCTATATGAGGTATCCCGAGATCCACATATAACTCTGCAGGTAAAGGTCTTGGATGGGTCAGATTGTATGAGTGAGTGTTGTAACTACTTAACATAGCGGATGTTTTCCGACGGCCTTGGCTTACGGCAAGAAGATTTGCTAGCGGACAAACATGAGACTTTGTTTTCTTCGTTCGATGAGTAGTAATATACCTAGTATTAGGTATATACTGACTGTATTTATTTAATTTCATTGTAGAGGAGAGTACAGGTACCTTTACTCTACCGAAAGTTAAAAGATGTCTATATCATATGTTGTTGACTACCTGATTGCCCCGTTGTTTACTTCATGCCAACTCCCCTTGTGATTGATATATTCCAGGCTCCGAGAGTATTGCCATGATCGCGAATATCAGGAGACTACGACGGCGTTCAATAGGTAGGTACCTAGGTAGCTTGGATTCAATTATGCCTGCCAGGCCAGACTCCCTCGGGCTTAATCACGTTTACATCATCATTGTATAAGACGGATCGAACATTCTTCTATTTGTCATCGCGCGTGGCCTGGTCTGGTCCTTGGGGGGGATTTATAAAGGGATATGGAGAGGACGGTGAATGCAAGGAGGGGAATCGAGTTGCAGGGTTTGGAGAGCTATTTGGAGGAGATGCCGGATTTCTAGGTGGAAAATTGACTTGAGTTGTATTACTTTGAGAATACTATGGTGAAGTTCGGGATCTATGTCGAGTATATTATGCCTTAGGTATCTATTTTACTATGTACATAAGCTGTATGGTATTCGACGGCTTCGAGGATGTTGAAACAGAAACCGGCAGTAGTGCAAGACTACTTAACCTAACCTCCTTGTGTATAGATGAATTACCAATGCGTAAGATAGGGACCAATACTTGGCCACCATATTCATATATCTCTTGCATATCTAAGATGCCCAGGCTGTTCTCAGACACAACATGTCGGTAGTTATCGTGGGGTTGCGACAACTAGAGCGACGATCTCACAGCTTGGCCCGATCTAAGGGCCTTGGCAACAAACACACCCCGAGAGATTCAACATCACGTTTTAAGCCACTGAATAACTTGAGACATATGCTAGGATGGTTATTTTTGGAATTTCTGTTTTGGAATAGAGCTAGACCACGACTCGTCGGGATAACATCTGGAAAGCATAATAAGAACCCGGGCTCTTCTTTCAACTTCCCCCTTCTCTCCTTTCTCTCGGCAGCTGGCTCCTCATTCGACTTCGTTTCTCTGCGAAAATAATTTATCATATTGTTTGCCTACCTATATAAAGTGCACAGGTGCACACTCACTGCATCATAATTTGCACATCTCGAGTTTGCCACCTACTTCCTCCACCACCTCTCACTCGGACTAGCCCAGGAGTCAACATGAAATCCACGTTTACAATCATACTCGTCGCGCTCTTAGGCAGCGCTGCGGGTGCTCCGTTGAATATCAACCTAGGGGCCTACTCGCCCGCCCTGGTAGTCGGTGATGGTGCGATTGGGTTTGAGGGCGCGGAAGGCAAAGCAGCTACCCAGGGGGCTGCGGCCCTGACTGGCAAAGGAATTACTTCCACATAAAGCGCGCTGATGTGGGACTGGATGCTTTTTAACTACAAGCTTGGTATGGTGCTTACAAGGTCCCCAGTAACTTGGTTTCGACATTGCTGAACTAAGATGATATCACTGTAGTTTGATACTCCTTTCTGTATGGAGACAATGTCGTGGAATGCCGAAGGAAATATGATAGGGCGCTGTAAAAGATTTAATGAAAGAGGTATCCTAGGAGCTTATGACGAAGAGGATGGAAAGGCTGTCACGTAAAAGAGATAACGTTAAAGGAAGATTAAGAATGGGTTATAAAGTAAGGGGGTTTTAACATGTCGAGTTACTCTCTCCCGCCTTGTTGGTCATCGCAAATAGGGAGAATAAGAGGACATAGAACCTACCTAAACCAGATAAATAAAGGTTCATATGTAGATCATCGCAGGCAACTTGATTTAGCTTTTAGGTCCTCGCTTCATCTCCCAGTCTCTTTATAGCTGTGGTGGATGATTGTATAAGTCTCGAACAAATCGCTGTAGTTATCATCTTCAGACACGGACACACGACTCCAATCACAAAAATATAATTGATTTAACCTGGGCTATACGCTATACGCTAAAGTTCAAGGGGGTATCAATCCTATTCTACCACTTCGAATCTTAGACAGTTACGGTCTATACGTTTCTAGATAGCTTTATCTATTAGGTATATAATTGGCAACCGCCTTATACCTATACACCGTCCCTCCAAGATCAATATAGGATGGTGAAGATATACTTATTTACGTCGATATTTGGTATGCGCTTCCAGCACTGGACGTAATAGTCTGTCTATGTAGATGCGTTCCCCTCGCTTTCGGCGTGGATAGCCGCAGCCTCAGCCTTAGGGGATGACGGATGTACTAGAACGCCGGCCTCGGGATCAACTACATGTTCGCCCCGCTTAGCAGCTTGAACGAGGTCTGGTCGCTCTGCCTTGAGTCGCGCAAACGTCTCCTCGGCATCCCAAACCCAGGGCGTGGGTGCTGCGAATAGGAGATCCATCTCCTCGAGCGTTCGCTGGTTACTTTCCGGGTAGAGAGCCCAGACGATTGGAATAGCCAATATATTGCACGCGCCGAAGATGTGAAGTGTCGTGGAGCCAATGTCTGGAGCAGTTTAGTTAGAGGATATTGCCATGCTAAATTCAAGTGTGAGCTGAACTTACTTGCGAACATGACCGGACAAAGAAGGGTTAGCCATCCGTTTCCGATCGACCAACCCACAACTCCCCAAGCGTTACCCTTTGCTCGGACCTGGAGAGGGAAGATTTCAGCCGGGTATAACCAAGGGACGGTTAACCAGGTCGCACCGAAGACGGATGTGAAAATGAACACGAAGGACGCTGCTGCTGCTCCATAAGAACTGGCCTTAGCTAGGTCTCCGTTCGCAGTCGCGTCTTGGCCGAGCTTGGAGAAGGCGCCGGCAAGGAACATAGCGATACCTTGGCCGACGGCACCCCAGTACAAGGTCCACCTACGGCCGATACGATCTAAAGTGAAAACGCAGATGAGAGTGGCGAACATATAAAAGATATTGTTAAGACCGCTGATCCACTGGCTCTTGAAGGTGTCAAAGCCAGCTATGCGGAAGATGGTAGGCGCGTAGACGGTGACACCCGCAATGCCAACCCATTCCTGGATGATTTGCAGCCAGATGACAAGCTGGACACGTCGGCCGGTGTGCAGCTCGCCCGAGCCAATGCCAAAAAGCATGTGCAAGTACGAGTTCTTCTTGGACTCCTTGGTCTCAAGCGCGACTATATTGTTAATGTCATGCAACTCGGCCTCAGCCCTTTGCAGATCTTCCCCAGACGATCCTCGAAGCCGGTGCAGGATGAAGCGGGCCTCTTCGGTGCGCCCAACCTTGGCAAGCCAACGGGGGGATTCGGGGAAGAACCAGACTGCTCCTAGGAGCACGAGAAGCGGGATGATTTGGAACGCGATGGGGAATCGCCATCTGAATGCCGAGTTGCCGTTGTCGATGAATGATAAGCCGAATTCGAGCCAGTAAGCGACAACGACACCGAAGATGTTCAGAGTGAACTCGATGGCGATGAATTGACCCCTTGAAGTGTGTTCGGCCGTCTCGGTCGCCCTGCACAGGATATTAGTGGCCTGATATACTTACAGAAATAATATTATAAGCGACCTAAGGATAACTCACCAGACAGGGACGATGGCATTAAGTATACCAGTTCCTATGCCGTTCACAGCGCGAGCGCAGATCATCCAGTTGTGATTCATGGCCGAGCATTGCAAGCTCGCTCCTACGACAGCCCATACCGATCCTAAGGCGATGGTCTTGATTCTACCGATCTTGTCACCGACCCATCCGCCGCCGAGACAGCCGAATAAAGTTCCCAGATAGTAGACCGAGACAATTCCACCCTGCAGCAGACTATCCGTGATGATAGGCTCGTCAGTATCCGGGTCGACATACCCGAGGCCCATAAGATCGATATAGTGCTTAGAATTCTAGCATATCGAAACATTTCATGTTAGCTTTTACCAACTTGATACTATACACTAATAAACTTCACGCTCGAGCCGAGATAGCACGAATGCATTACTCACTGCTTGATGTTAGCTACTCTACACACAGAGAAGAAATTTGGGATAACAAGGTCTTGTATTATTACACATACCGTTGACTCCTGACATCATACCCTGATCGTAGCCAAAGAAGAATATAGACTAGGTATGTTAGGTTAGATATATAAGAACCACGAGGAATGCGGGCAGAATGTCATATAATACGCACCAGCGCAGCGATACAGTTGATGGCGATGAGAAGCTGTCGCTTCTCTAGGTGGTTGGCCACATTGGTGCCGGGAAGCCTCTCCATCTTAGCCATTCGTGCTTGGAACAATACCTCACGACCGATTCTGTCACTAGATACTGTAGGTACTCACTCAGACTTGTACACGCGTCTCTTTCATACGAGAACGAGCGCGCAATGAAGTCTGAGAGGTTTTAACGAAAGCCTGCAGGAGAGACAGAGAGGAGGGGGCGATCTACATGATATATACCCAATGAATAACACTAAGATACCTCTCTTTCTTACATACATACCCTACATAGCAAGCAGAGAACAAAGGTGTCGCCAACCGCATGCCTGATACAGTTAGACCGACGTCGGTGCATAGCCGCCGCGTGGGAAACTGATGGGCTTTCGGCAACGCAGACGCATGTCACGAGTTTCCTGTACCGAGTCTACGAGGGAAATATGTACCTAACATATAGTATGATTTGTTCCTGTTTGGGGACTTCGAACCCCGCAAAGCCCCAACTTCTCTGCAAGTCCGGGTTGGACGAAAGATGGACATGGTTCCCGCAGATACCCAACACAAAGGAGACGAGTAAGTAGGCGAGGGGTGGGGGTGGGGGGTGGGAGGAGAGAAACGAGGGGAAGATGGGTAGGTATTCCCCGTGGAGCCCCCACAACTTTCCATAAGGAAAACGGCGGAGGCAGGGGGGTCAACGTCTCACCACAGCAAACCCACCCACGACGGAACAGGGATGATATTCTTCGACATACTCTATTAACTTTCCGAGAGGCTCTCTTGCTAAGAACTCATTAGTCTAGGTTAATCAGAGACATGCTACTACACTACTGTAACGTACTATAACTACCTAAGGTAGGTAGGTATATATTCGCTTTGAATTCCGTTTGGCTGGGCTATCGAGCTTGGGCAGTCCACGTGCCAGTTGCTGAATTCTCGACTATGCAAGAAAGCAAGAAAAGGCCTTTCTCTTCCAAGAAGAGCTAAATAAATACATAGCGGTGTACCCCGGGGGCATGATGCGAGGCTTGGTCCTTATATGCGCTCCAATCAAGTCTCGAGGCCAAACCGACGGTTTTAGCTTTCGATATGACCGCACGGATGCTCTAATTTCTTACAGGTAGGTGCCCACTAGTAGGTAGTTCGCTTGTCATCGTTGCGGCTGAGAGCCGAGCAAGCTAGCGAACGTTGTTAGTATCCTCTAAGACGGCTATGTCGACCACGACTGACAAGGCTATGATTGCCTATAGCAGGATAATTGTCTACTTAGGTAGAAAACTGAGGGACTCGAAAGCAACTCAATTAGCCAGATGACCGAAGATATCGCAAGGAAGGTTTCATGAGGTTCATAGATCACATTCCCGTGGCTGAAGCCAAAGACTGCAAACCCTCTCCAATTCTCGACGACAGACGGGTATGGACCTCAAGATCCTCGAGGAGGTCCAGAATGTTCGGATAGAAATGCGGTGTCCGTAAGCGTTATTATTCAATATACGAAGACGTTGGAAATGAGTTCATGGTGTATGAGCTACGAAGGAAAGAAAGTGAGGTTTGAAGTTTTGTCGAAAGTTGGAATATCGGAATGTCGGTATATTGATTATGCACATATACTGGGTTACAAGGTATACCTTCCATGGTTGCATACTATCATCATTAGGTACCTACTTGTAAGTACGAGCCCGTCTCGTGTTACTCGAGGTAAGCACGTTAACCAATTACCAACCTTTGAACTGCACCCAGGGAAGAAGGGAAGAAGGGAAGAAGGCAGCTGCAAGTCCCGATAACCTCTCATACCACCTTCAACTTGGCTACCTCATTCTCATTCAAATTCAAACTCAAATCCACATTAATATTTACATTCATATTCGTATTTATATTTTCCTTTGACATAGAAAGAATTGAATACCTACCTAAACTACTTCTATCCCCTACAAAGCTTGTTTTCTATATTACTAAGAGAATCCTTCAAAAGATATCCTCAAGTATCGAAATCGAACTATTCATATTTTTTTTATTTCCTCTCTACTGTCCTAATCATACGTAAACCAAGTCCCTCATATGTGCCCGCCTTTTACCTCTACCTAAAACTTCCATTATGCCTTCTAACCAAATCCCCATTAACGCCGTCTACTATCCCAGCTGGCGAGTCTACAAGGACTTGCCTCCTTCATCCCTCCAGCTCGACTACATCGACCGCATCCTCTACGCCTTCGTCCTTCTAAACGAGGACGGGACCCTGAGATTTCTGGACGAGTTCGCAGACTTGAACAAAGACGTCGACGGGGAGAAGGGCTGTCTGCGCGCCCTGGCTAAGCTAAAGCAGCAGAAACCAAATCTCAAGACTCTAGTCTCGATCGGCGGTGGCAGTGGCAGCGCCGAGTTCCCGGCCATGGCTGCGAGCCCTGCTAGTCGTGCCACATTCGCTAGATCATGTAAGGAATTCGTAGAACAGTACCAGTTCGACGGCGTCGACATGGACTGGGAGTACCCAACAACAAAGGAAGCAGGAAAGAACTACATTGCCGTGCTCCGCGAATTGAGGGAAGCCTTGCCCTCGTCGCAGTATCTCCTAACTACTGCCTTGCCCACTGGAGAATACTATTTGAAAAACATCAACATACGTGCGGCAAGGAAGCTTCTCGATAACCTCAATTTGATGGGCTACGACTTCACTGGCTCGTGGACTGACGTGGCAGGGCATCACGCGCAACTCTTACCCCAACTAGGTCCGCAGGGCCACGTATACCCAGCACTGCGGAATTCTTGTCACCAGGGTGTCGAGTACCTAGTATCGCATGGTTTCCCCGTCCACAAGATCATACTGGGCGTGCCAGCGTACGCAAGGTCCTTCGCGGGGGCCCGCGGGGTAGGACAGCCGTTCCAGTCAGTTGCGGAAATGGATTACAACGATCTACCGAGCGAGTGGATCAGAGACGCAACTATCGACCATCACGTCGTGGCTGCGAGTTATGTCGACGGTACGGGTAAAGGGTTCGTCAGCTTTGACGTCCCAGAGACGGTCAGACGGAAAGCCGACTATGTGAAGAGGGGGAGGCTGGGTGGTTTGTTCTACTGGACCGGGGTTGGCGACGTAAAGGGGCCCGAGAGCTTGGTCCGAGCTGGGTTTGAAGAGCTGAACGGAAGTAGTTCTTGAGGTTTGTCCGGCCTTGATGAAGGGATGCCTCCAATGCCCAGTTATCTCTTCTGAATAGTTTAAATCCACGTCAAACTGTACCTAGTTAGTTTATCACCTAAGTTTGGATTACTGTAAACACGTCATTGGCCCCTAGGTAACTCAAAAGATATCCGCTGTTTCTGGACGAAAACATGGAGCCGTACGGAGAGAAGCCTTAGGTAATTTCCTAGTATAAACAACTCCCTGTTGGGGAAAAGGCATGGTTCTATAGCATACCTATACAGGACACCGTGTAAAGATATTTATGTCACTTGAGCTTCAAGGTATGTTTTATCCTACTACCTTAGCCACCAACCCCCCAGTTAATAGATCTGGGGGCTTTATAAGGTACGTAGTAGAAACCCAAGTCAAAATGAACCACTTGTCAATTTCACAGAGAAAGAAGAGCAAGCCCTAAACTTAAGGGCAGAGAGTTTGTACAAATTGTGGTGTCTACCTAGGAGTGGTATCTACTCTAGGTATGTACCTAATGTAATTACTTGCTGATTAGCTGCCATTGATTGAATGCGGTGCGTTCCCAATGAAAACAAAGTACAAATTTGCATGCAGATTCCTATGTCTGCCATTATGCCTTTTTTTTTTCATTTCAATCCTTATTGGTTATTATGCGTGGGTGTCAATCATCCTTTCATGATTCCATAACGGGCCTGCTTGATTCGCTACGTGCGAAATTGAAGGGGAAAAAATTGCAAACTGGGAAAGCCCGTTTAAAAGTCGTGAGTCGTCGTGCTCGTTATCGTGATTGTGATTGATTATGATCACCAGTCGTACTAGGTAGTTCCTAAATAGGAAATCCTCGTCGCCGTGCAAGTTTTTGCCTGAAAACTGAAAATTGCAGTAATAGGTATCAAAGTGCTCCTTCGCAGAAGAGCTGTAGCTCTGGCTCTTTGGAAAAGACAAGAAAAGCTGGAATTGGGGCGCACTCAGAGCCAGGTTTTGGCGTGAAATGTGAATCTGCGCAGTAGCCCAGCCTGGCCTATTTAGATGAGGTACCTAAGGTAATGATAAGTATTAGCAGGTAGGCTTCTTTCAGTGAGATACTAATTACACCATGGAATAGAGAAGAGAAGAGGGGCAAAATATGTATGATACTCACCTTAGGTTAGGTAGGTACCTATTCAATAGGAGTACGGTCCTCGGGTTTGGTGCGGCTCACGATGTATACACCTTTGAACATCTGGGGCTGGGGCTGGGGCTGGGGCTGGTCGGTAGCCTTCTTTTCCTTCTTGTCCGGGCTGCTGGTAGGCTGCTTTCCCTTCTTGTCGACAGCAGCAGCAGTATCCTTCTTCTTGTTCTTGTTATTGTTCTTCTCCTTCTCCGAGTTGCCAGTGATGTACAGAGGCGGCGCCGCATGAGAAGGTACAGCGAAGCTTTCGTGCATGCCGGGGCTCTGGGGGACCCAGCTGCTTTGGCTGTCAGAGCGCTGAGCACCGGCACCGGTGTACGGGATGGTGTACGGTTTCCAGTTCGAGTCGCTGGCGGTGCTAGGGACGGCAGTGCCCTTCTCCGAAGCGGCCTTGTACTTTTCCGGCTTCGACATGGTGGTGTCGGCGCTGGCCGGTCTGGGTCCAAGTTTATCAGCGACGTCAGCAGCCTGTTTCTGGAGAAGTAGAAATCAGTAAATACCCGAGGTAGTCCTGACGGCCATCGCATAAAATAAAATAAAAAGAAACTTGGAGATAGTGCTTCCGTAGTGAGCAGGTATAGACTAGAAGGAGATAATAATTTACCAACAGGTATGCTGTTTCTCTACTATTGTTCCAATGTGAATAGATAGAATTAGTTTCCACTCGGAATGTCAGGTATACCGTTGTTACCGATATAAATAAGTAGGTGTGGTGTTGTAAGAAAGGGAGTGGTGCGTTAACAGTAGTGATGGTGGATGTGAAGATGTAGACGTGAATGAAGGCAGCAGTTGCAGGAGGAAAAATCAAATTAAACAATTGAAAGAACGCCACGGGTGGTGACTGACTTTCAGGATACCATGGTGTGTAGACGCGTCGGCATGAACACGAAGATGAAGACTGCCCGTCTCGACAAGTGAAAATTGACGGTGACTTACCTGAGCCGACTTCTTGGAACGGAGAAAGGACAACTTGAGAAAACAGCCAGCCATCTTGACAAATTAAAAAGCTATCTGACGTGTGGATTTGGAAGGATGCGACAAGGTGTTGCGGATCTGGGAATGTGGACGAAGAACTTACGGTTGTGGCTGTCGACATAAAAATCGGATTGAAGCGTTCAAGTTAGGGTATTGATTACCATACCGCCTGCGTTACGACGACAGTGACTAAGATGGTACCGGTCTCAATAATTTTAGCTAATGGGCGGTACTACAATTAAATCACTTGGGTATTTAACAATAGGCCCGGAGGGTACATTAATACCTACCTGCCTACGCAAGACATCAACAACTCCCCTTAAAATCTTAGGCAAGTTCATGGGGCTTTCACTGATTAGAAACTTGCCTCATACTAACCTTGCATGAAACAATGCCTAAAAAATTGGTATGTGACAGTTTTAAAGCAGGTACACGCCGCCACATATACAATAGCTACAAGATACAACCACTTTATCACCATCCAAGGCATTTACTAACTCACTTTACCAACTCACATGCACTCCAAGGATGCCAGCAACTAGGTAGATATCTAGAAAGATTAGAAGCAATCGCCCACCTCCCGCACGGAGGAATCCCTTCACGTGGTATACTAGAGTGACATTGGTTTAACAGGAGCTAGAAAACAAAATCACCACAATAAAGCTTACCTAAAGCACTGACCTTCTAGTAGACCATTATCCCTGAACCCTAATTGAGAGCTGAATACATATCTCCTTCTCCTACTTAGACCAAGTACTATTTAGCAATTAAAGCAAGCCTATTAATGCCCCTAGAGAGTAGATCTCAAAACTCAGATACGATCATAAGCAAAGTGGTAAAGGAAAGTAAAGTAATGGCGAGCCGGGATTGCTAGATCCTTGAGTGGCCAAGTCCACGAGAGTATTCCAGAAAATATAAACAAGGTAATGATTTATTACTCCGTACGCTCTCTTTGGGTCCCTTCAATGATGTTAAGCGGTAAATTTCAAGGGGGGATACCTATGATCGATGTTGCTAGCAGTCTTCAATACTGACCTTATCATTCAAGCATAATAAACTACCAGACGTTGAGAAAAAAAAAAAAAAAAAAGAAACTTATGCACGTATTCAACGGGATTACTATCCGTGACTATGACTGACTTATGGTTGAAACGCCTTGTCTACACGCCGAGTTCATCGTTGAAGGTTAGAGGGATCACGTGAAAGGGTGCCATTCTTGTACCTTGCATAAGGCTTATTTTAAGGCTTAAGGTAAGCCACATCGTGAAGACCCTTGTGGATCTGTTAAGTACCTAGGTACCTACACCATGACGTATCTCTATATTACCCAAACAGAAACACTTCAATTAGGTTAGGTACCTTAACATGGCATACAAATACATTGGAAGTTGTTCGTTGCTACATAATGTTTTGGGCATTGTCATATTTCTGTCCGCTTTGCCGGGTATTTTATTTATAAATATAAAGTGCCTATATGATGGCTAGCGGAGCAAGGCTGAAGACGCTATTAATATGGCTGCTTAATAGTATACCCGCCCTGATAGAAGAACCCGCCGGTACAAGCTAAAGAGAGGACAGCGAATGGTAGGTCAAGTTCAATAACAGACCAGATCCAGATACAGCCCAAGGGCGGAGCTTGTTTCATAACAGCGAGATAGCTATACTTATTCGAAATATGAATCAGATAGCAACCAGAAACGACACTCGCAACGAGGAATATAATCTGCCGCAGGGGAGATTGGAACCTCACCGGCAGCCCGGGGATAAAAGATGGAGCCGAGACGTGCGGATGAAGTACATAGACGAGTAAGAAGAATACTAGACGTAGGTACATATTGGTTTATTAATTAGATAAATGCGGTACTAAGGAATCATATTATATACTTGTGGAGAGGGAAAACCTACCAACAGAAGCTTGTACAGATCTCATTATGATCTGAGGCCATATGATGGAGATTGCATATTGATGCTGGACAAGCACATCGAGAGTCATATGTAACATAGACAAGCTGATGCTCCAAAGCATAGTCTCCAATACCCTGTCGGCGGTCGACGATAAAAGCTCATCTCCGTCGTCCGAGTCCGCGTCCGAGTCGTTAGCTTTCGCATTCTTCCTCTGCTTCCGCTCGGCTTCCTCGAAGAGGTTGCGGTCTTGCGCAAGCTTCAGCAAGGTGTTCTCGCTGGGGACGGCGGTTCGGTCGGGATGAGATAGCTTGATCTCATTTGCCGCTTTTTTTTCTTTTCGAGTTCGGACCATGGTGTAGGGTTGCTAGAGCCTAGAGCGATGTGCTAAGGGGGGGGTGGGGGATTAAATATTTATGACGAAAAGTAGAGATGGACGTGTTGTCAATGATACGACGTAAAAAAAAAAGATGTACATGTTGTACCTAGGTGGATAGTTGGCGGTTTTAGCTCCCGATGAGCTTGTGATTTGGCACCTACCTTGCAAGGGTTGTATTGTACCTTGTTATCTACATAGTTTCAAATGCTACGGCATAAATGGATCAATCTATGCAACAATTGATAGATAACGTTCAAAAAGGTATGATAGAGGGGCCCTTGGCTTTTAATTCCACCCAACGCGAATCTGGATGTGAGTTCATCGTCACTTTCTTAGATCCATCCGACAGGACCATGCTTGGGGTTTAATGTCGAACTTACCTGGTCATAATTTGCACTAATTTACCTAGGCCTTTTACTTTTTTATATATGATTTTTACATGGTGGCATTAACCTACGTTTGTCTCGAGCTCTGGTCCCCTAAATCCCGGTACCGTACAATACATCTTCACTTATACCACACTACGTCTTAGCTGTACCGTGGTGCGAGTGAGAAAGGTGGAGGAATAGATCACCAATCAAAAAGCAACGAGCCACCATATAGCAAACCGAAGATGCTTCTCCCATCCCTATCGACCGTCGGCATCCTCGTCGTCATCCTCCCGCTACTATACATCTACACGGCGTCCGTAGCGCAGACGCGCCTGCCGATGCTCCGCGGCAAGCGCATCTGCTTGCTGATCGCGCACCCGGACGACGAGGCCATGTTCTTCGCCCCCACCGTCCTCGCTCTCACCCGCCCCGAGCTCGGCAACCACGTCAAGATCCTGTGCTTGAGCTCCGGGAACGCGGACGGCCTCGGCGAGATACGCAAGAAGGAGCTTGTGAAAAGCGCCCTGCTGCTAGGTCTTGCCCGCGAGGACGACGTCCTGGTTTACGAGAGCCCGTGAGTCTATATCTACCTATCTATCTATCCATCCTACGCACTACAACACAACAAACTAAAACTAACCACAATCTCTCTCCCCCCTTCTCTCCCTCGCAGCGATTTCCCCGACTCTATGACCACAACCTGGGACGCCAAAAAAATCTCCGCCCTCCTAACCAGCGCCTTCGCGCCGCGCCCTTCCACCACCACCGCTCTTCCAAAACACCCCTCCTCTTCTTCTTCTTCTGTCTCCTCCGATTCCCTAACCCCCCCCAACGCCACCGTCGACGCCATCGTCACCTTCGACTCGCGCGGCGTCTCCTCGCACCCGAACCACATCTCCCTGTACCACGGCGCGCGCGCCTTCGTCGCCGCCCTGACCCGCGCCCGCCCCGGCTGGCGCGCCCCCGTCGACCTGTACACCCTGACGACCGTCGCGCTCCCGCGCAAGTACGCCGGCTTCCTCGACGTGTTCGCGACCGTGGGCTCGCTAGCGCTCGCGGGCCCCGGCGCCGCGAGCAGCAGGAGCGATAAAGGGAATCCGAGCCTGTTGGTTAGCGTGAGCGCCCTGGCCTGCGGTGGTCGCGAGACGTACGGCGCCGCCAGGCGCGCTATGACCGAGGCGCATCAGAGCCAGATGGTCTGGTTCCGGTGGGGGTGGATCGCGATGAGCAGGTACATGTACATAAATGACCTGCGGTTGGAAAAGGTCAAGTCGTGATCACCTAGGTACCTAGGTAGTTATTGTCGAGATTTTTTTTTTCGCCGGTTTTGGATATATGATATATGTGAGAAAATGATAAAGCGTTGATTGATTCCGTGCTATGAAGCTATGAAGCTGTGAAGCTATATATCTGGTGAAGTATATATAGTACGAGCCCTTTACAAGGTCATCATACATCTAAATTCTAGCTATGGGTCGTTGAGAAGCTGTCTACCTTAGGTACTATATGACCTCCTTTTCAGGGTATAGACATATTCTAGATCCAAGTACCTAGGTACCTATATACATAAACACGGACCAGCTGCAAGCACGCACGCACGCTACTAAAAAATAATGTCCTCGTCGTCATCATAAGCATCCTGTGTCGGCTCCGGCGAGGGTTCAGGTTCAGGTCCAGAGCCATCCGTCGACTCCTCGAGCCCTTCTTCGACATGTGCACCATCTCGCGGTCCCGGGAGCTTCGACCGGCCCGTAGTTGTGAGCAGCGTCTGCAGGTTGAAATAAGATATCGGCGTCCGGCCGGCCAAGGTGTACTTGGTGGAGACGGAGGCGAATTTCCTCACAGCCGCGTCCAGGTATAAGACCTCGCCCAGCCTGTTCTTCAGCTGTATGGAGAGGGGAAACTCCTCGGCGAAGAAGAGACGGTCGGCTTCCCGGGAAGGGTCGAAGAGCGCGACGTATCCGGTCGACGTGCGGTAGGTGGCCGGGTTGGGGATGAAAGCCCGGAACTCGTTGATGAAATCCGGGACCGCGACGACCACGAGCGGGTTCGTCGGGTTGAAAGAACGTACGCTATTAAGGAACTGCCGACACCACGTTTGTATGCTATACCGCATAGTCGCCTTTCTGGCCCGGGCCCGTTGGTATCGATGCACCGTTTCGCTGATACGCACACCGTTGTTAATCATCTGCACATACTCAATTACCGCCTCTTCGTACTCTCGACATTGAAAGTTGTACAAGGTCAGCGCCTCCCTCATATATGGGAGGAATTTGCCAAACCGATGTTGCCCTATAATAGCCCGAATGAGGATCTCGTAGTGTTCGAATTCGGGCTGTACGCAATACGGCTCAGACACCATCATATCCCAGATCAACTCTACCACCTCCCCTTTCGGCGATTTGGAAAACATCTTGGCAATCTTCCACCCGGTAGACGTCGGTGGAGCGCTCATAATGTAAGTCCACTCCAGGAGATCTTTCCACACAGACGAGGGGATAGGAATTTGATAGGTCTCCGATATGTATTTTACCAGCTGTAAAGCGAGGCTGATCTCTGCGTTTGAACCGTACGTCTCGACGACTGCTTTCATGAGAAGCACACCGGGCCTTATATGGACCCAGGAGAGCTTGCGCTCGGAAGAATCCGTTTCGGGCGGAGTTGGGCCAGCCGCCCCGCCAGAGGTTATCTTGTCTAAGTCGATGTCGAAAACATGCTCCAGTATAACAGTTTTGATAAATCGCAAAGACCCGGCCCGGCCGAAAGCAACCATCATATTAGACGCTAAAGATTCGTCCATGAAGATGCCGTCCCTCCGAATAAAGTGGAAAATCCTTCCGGCCGGTCCGTCTTTTCTCATAATTCGTATCAGATCTTCCGCGTGTGTGGTGGTGTCCTTATTAAGCCCAAAAAACAGTTTCTTTACTCGGGTGTGGTATCTTAACCAATCCAACCGTCGAATCTGGCGCCAATGAAGGATAAATTTTGACTGATGTAAACTTCGGCCGGTCACCATCCTCCTAGTCTTATCGTAACCTGTATAGGACGGGTTTATGAGGAACCGCGCAGAAACGAACTCATCGTACAATCCGCCGTGTCTCCAATCCGAGGTGTTCGTGCGGATCATCTCATTCCATACCCATTTTATTCCTCCCACATCCGAGGCAGCACCGGCACACCTAAGTAGATAGACGTATTCCTCCGCCAGTAAAATACCGCCCGTGGCTTTCAATGCTGATAATATCACTAGCATATATCGCAGTAGCTGAGAATACAATCTCCGTACCCCCCAAATGTCGATAGTAGCTCCTAAATTCAAAGACTGGAACGCTCCGTGAGATATATATATCTGGTCTGTTGGGTCCGCATTCTTAGCAACGACAACAGGGTCGATGGCCCGGAATAATTCAGTGATTGTAGTTCTGGGTATCGAAGCAACGGCCTTCTGAAGCCGTGTTTCTTCCATGTATGATATATATTTAAGATGAATGAGTAGTCTCCGGGTGTCCTTCATTCGTATTGCCTCGAGAGCTCTTCTAAAGGGCCCAGGCAAAGTTGAAAGAAGGGCATCTGCAGCTGCCAAAGAAGGGTCGGGACTTGAAGGTGCGGTGTCATTACTGGAAAGAGTGCCATCACTGTCAACTATATTTTGGGGCTTCGGTTTACTGCGATAAAGAAGACGTTGGAATAATTTAAAATCCTCGTCCGAGACGGTACCAGAAGAATGAACTGCTGTCGCAAAACCACGTATGGAGTTGCAGAGGCTCTTCCGTGAAAATGACTCCTTATGGTCTATATAAGAGAATACGTCAGGGTATCGACTTTGATCGAGGTTAACAAATTTGGAGCAAGATCCTCTGATTTTGAGTGGCGTATAAGAGAGTGCTGAATGCCGGCCAAATGCTATCGGCAAAGCTGTAGAAGACATTATGAGGAACCTGATATACTATCATGACCGGCGCGAGGAAATGACTGGCTCAGGAGAGCCAGGTAAACGTATTAGACGTGATTTACGGGGGAGGTAAGGGGGTAAGGAGGTAGGGAGTAGGGAAGTAGGTACCTAAAGTTTAGCAAGTTGGAATTTGTGCTGCTTTTGAACTTGCCCAACACCCTTACCTGCTGTAAGTACCTAACCTACCTGCTACCTACCTGCTATGGGAATTCAAGATTGTGGAGTTCCCAAGTGGAGTAGTGGGTACTTCCCCGTAAACTCTAATTTTAGTGTATCGGTAGCGGAGTATGGAGAGAATTTTAGCAGAAATGCCCTTTTCTAACGGTGTACGAAATAGAGTGCTTATAGTGGTCATAGCTTTGTAAAGATAGGTACCTAGGTACCTACCTAGGTAGGCATCTGTGGCTGTTTAAAAGCTTAGATAAGCCCTTTTATGGCTTGCCAAGTCCCAGGTTCTTTCACTAGCTGGAATTATTGAATTATTGAACTTATCACCCAACTAAATCATCGAATTGTCTAGTCTTCATATACCGCATCCTTCACTTGCACAACAATCCACCCATAATTTGTAACACCGAATTCTCAATCATTTAATTCTCGCTCGGTGAATACCAACCTGTATTTTAAAAAACACCCCGTAAACCATGGCTGGTGGTGAAGAGGGCCCCGCCGGCGGCTCAGTGTCTGAGCCTCTCGACCTTGTGCGCCTCCTCCTCGATGAGGTTGTATTTGTGAAACTACGAGGTGACCGTGAACTAAAGGGACGCCTTCATGTACGCGAACTTCACCAACCACTTGAGGCATTTTCCTGTTAAGCTAACTGCGTCTAAGGCCTATGACAGTCACATGAATTTAGTTTTGGGCGACGTGGTGGAGACTATCTATACGGTAGACGAAGATGACGACGATGAGGAAATCAGAGTAAGCACTCTCTCTCTCTCTCTCTCTCTAACGCTTTATAGGCCGTTGTGCTAACTCTTATTCAGACAATGACGAAAAAGTCTGAGATGCTGTTCGTGCGAGGTTCGTCTCTATCTCTTTCTTAGCTTGTATTTATCTAACATACGGGTTTAGGGGATAGTGTTGTTCTTGTCTCCCCACAAAACTCCTCATGAGTTGTTTACCACATAGTTTGCAATCCCTCGGTCTAATTCGAGGTAAATCACATGGAGGCCTTCTCTATCACGTCAAGGTCCATATTTAGGTCTGTTCGCGGACTCTAGAATGGTCCCATGGAAGTCATGGAACTCGGTGCAGAAGCAGGTAGTGCCCCTCGTTGGGGCAGCTCAGAGCCAAATCAAGGGAGAAGGGAGGGAGTTCAAAGTGTCCCAAACGTAAGGGTACTTGAACCAAGGCAGGAACCGCCAGTATCCACATGAGCGGCCCATCGATATATGATCGTCCCAGGTTTTTCGGCCATTGAGATTTCAGCATTATCCGTACTGCTGCTAGTCAGATCCGTTCAATGCATAATTTTGTGTTGTAAAGCCAACTGTGTACCGTCATTTTGCACTGTACAGTCTTAGTTCAACCCCCGCCTGGTTATGTGATAACGTCGACTTTTCTGTCCTGGTTCTGGTTAAGAGATTGCATAGAATTGATATAAGAAATCCTGCAGCTTCTCTATACTGACTTAGGGTTTACACATATGCTTAACTCGGGCAGCAATAGGTACCTATCTAGGTAGACCATACCTAGTTTCGCTCAACTTGAAGGCATGTCCCCAACAGTCTTTCATTTGCTCACACCGGCATCGCATATTATATCATTGATTGGCGTGGTAAATCTGTGGTTTCTATGATCAATGCGATCCGTAAAGAATGTCATCTAGGTATTCTAGACCCAGAGGATTTCGTATTAGGCTTTTAGCAATTGGCATAGTCCAAAATGTTCACTCAGGTAATAGAAATAAAAGGCAACGGGGATCAGCAAAAACACTCTATAAGATACCACCCTACAGCACGTATCTGAAGCCCTTGTTGTCCAGCTCGGTAACATCTTGCATTCCTTGTTCTATAGCCTGCTTTTCTCGTTCTTCTGAAAGCCCCGGGCCCTCTAGAGCAGCTTCACGATCACGTTTCTTATTTACCATCCACATATATATGTACAACACGATGACCATTACCGTCTTCACAGAGTATCCGATGAGGATCCTAGCATGAGAGTTAGCCACATACACATATCTCTGGCTCCTTATAGGAGACTTACGCAATATAAGCCGAAGTATAGAACGGTGCCTCTGTTTCAATAAAGGTTTGTGGCCCTATTATATTTCCCACGCAATAGCCCACGAACAGGAAAGCCCCCGTGAGCTGTTTCTTGGTATACCCAGCTACATTGCTACTTACCATCGTCAAGCTCAAACTGAAGCCTACGGACTGGAATGAGCACAACCAGAGCGTAACCAGTCGTCCCCATCTATTATCTGTCCCATCGGGACCAGCTGGTAGCCGTACGAGAGCCGCAGCACAAGCTACACAAATCAAGTTTCCTACTAACATAACCGCACAGCGCATATTTGGAAATCGGGAGCTAATCCAACCAGATAGGAGGAGGGAACAGAACTGTATTAGGTTCCCGGGGATCTGCAAATACTGCGTCTGGAGTACGTCAAAACCAAACGTCTCTAGGATGATCGATGTGAACTAGCTCAGATGTTAGCACTAACTTTACCAATTGGCATGATGGAAGACGATACACTCGACTGGGCAGCATTTGGAATTTGCGCTGCAATGGCCATCACGAATAGAATCCACGTCTTTGGATCGAGCAAGCACTGCCGCATTTGGTAGGTCTTGAAATGGTGATTCTTCACTCCTTGTCTGTTCCTAGCTACTCTTTCAACTGCTATGATCCTTTGCCTTTCGGTCAGAAACCGCGCTGTTGAGGGAAGGTCAGACATAAATATCAAGAAGATGGTGCCCCAGGCTAAGCTTATAGACCCGAATATGAGGAAGATATACATCCACGGAGGGAGGCCGGATGTGATATGGCCAATCTGTTATGTGTTAGTCCTGAAGCAAGTATTTGAAATCTTCCTCTTTGGAGTAATGCTTGGTATAAGGAGATGTTTCAAGCACTGGAATTAGATAAATGATCCCCTGACGTTATATAGGAATAGGGGAGATAGAGAGACATACTACGAGCACGTTAGAAACTTGTCAACCTTAGTTCAGCGTCTTATTAAGCTTACCAGCATAACCAAGTAGGCCACCACAAACCCCAGCGATCCCATTCATGCTGTAGTAGGTCGTCAATCGCATAGGCTGCTCATCCTGTCGCCACCACATCGAGAGGACGAGAACGAAGCCTGGATTGATCACTGCCTCGAAGCATCCGAGCAAGAAACGGTTGACTGCTAGCCCGGCGAAGTTCTTGCACGCCGGGGTAACAATGGTAAGCATGCCCCAGACTAAGACTTCGTCAGCACCAACCTCAGACACGAATGACGAAAGATCTAATAACCTAGGATACTGCTTCCTATGAACTTCCCTGCCGGAAGTCTTTGAAGAAGATAGCCGGCCGGCCATTGCGCCACCAAGTACCCTGGAAATAGACACGACCAGTTAGCTTTATCTAGGTAGGTACCTGTCATGATTCTTCGCCCCGAAAATTCATACCGAAATAAAATAGGGATAAAGACCACGAGTAATCTTGACCATGCAGATCCGTCCCTTGTCTCAGCCCAAAAACACTTGCGAAGTTGACGCTAGACTTGTCAAGGTATTGAAGTAGATAAGTTCCCATCAAAAGGGGTAAAATGCGCCCGTCGATCTTTCGCAGCACCTGGCGGGCTTCACGAGGATCCAGAACGGCGGCATCTTGCCTCCGATAGAGTTCGTATGCGTCGTCGAGGTCTCTTGAGGAGGCTACTGATTGTCCTTCTATCTGAACAGGAGCCGGATTAGACGTAGTCACAGTGCTGTTCGAGGTAGCCTCGATAGCTAATTTTTTCTCGTCCATGTTTCACCTAAGACTGGCTAACTCGCGAAGGCTTCGTCATGGAATTATTATCTTCGGAGATGGCTTCCCCTGCCTATTTGTATTCCGCCCACTTGCCTGCGTCGGCTCCGGAGCTGATTCGGACACCCCTCTTTGCCATTCATAGGCCGTCTACAAGAACATCGGTTTGATAAGGCCTACATACATATAGATCTATAATGCTACCTTCTGATTATCACGCAATTTTATACTAAGCCTCGATTAGGTAAAATATGATTTGAGCAAGATTAGGATAGAAATAGGAATGATATGGATGCGGGGAAGATCGAAACCGAAATAACAGGGACTATACAGTTCGAGATTCAATAGGGTAGAGAGTCATTGTATCAGCGGCTTTCTACCCTGATATCGGTACTGAAAGGGGCGGTAGAACACCTCACGGATATCAATTGACGGTACAATTAGACGATTTGTTGGCTTCTGAAATACTGATGACCGTAAGTATTGCTTCAAAGCTTTATCCCTTGGGCAGTTGTCACGATTCTAGATTGACGGGCCTGCTGTTTACATAAAATGGATGAAAGGGAAGTATGATCTCTATGACCAGGATCATAACGTTCAAGCGAATATATGAACGGCTTTGTCAGTTGGTGAATTGGCCGAGCGGTTATTGAACTTAATACATGTTTTCGTACTTGCAACTATGAACCTCGAAATAAAATATTGAAACACTTTTTTGAATTATCCACTATGGAATAATACCTACCTTATGCAGAACCCCACCATGTCAAGTACCTCGTACAGGTACATAATACCTGAGGTACCTCCTAAAGCCAAAAGCTAGGACCAACTTTCACCGAGGGCGTACCCCGGAAAAAGATTATCAAAGGGAAATTCTCGTACCTAATCAAGACAGCCCACTACAAACTCCCAATACAGGCACGAGTCGCAAGATGCCTCCGCGAATACCCCTCGGGCTGGCAGCCCAGTGCTGCAGGGCTTCTCTCGAGCAACCGAGCAGCTCTTCGCTCGTAGGATTATTCAATGCGCTGTCAATCCAGTCTCGCAGCGCCTCCATTCTCGCAAATCTATCCGACAACCCGGGTGCTTACCAAAAGCGCATTCGTGTTGGTCGCGGTCCGTCCTCGGGAAAGGGTAAAACATCCGGAAGGGGTCACAAGGGTCAGAAGCAGCATGGAAAAGTCAAACCGTGGTTCCAGGGTGGTCAGACGCCTTTGGTCGTTCAAAGGGGAAAGCTTGGATTCGTGAACATGTACGTACGGCTGAACCAACGAGGTCTTGTTTGTTATCCTTTCGATTAGTCCTCCGAACTAACTGCTCGATAGGCACGCGCCTGTCATGTCCGAAGTAAACCTCGACAAGCTGCAGGAATGGATTGACGCGGGCCGCATTGACGCTACGAAGCGAATCACGCCGAAAGAACTAATAGAGTCCAACCTCGTCGGATCGATCAAGGACGGAATTAAGTTACTAGCGAGAGGGGCGGATGCGTTGAAGCAGCCGATAGACATTATTGTTTCTCGCGCTTCGGCTTCGGCTATCGAAGCAGTAGAGAAGGCGGGAGGAAAGATCATGACACGATATTATACCAAGCAGGCCTTGAAGCGGCTGGTAGAGGGCAAGAGTTTCCACACCGATAAACCTCTACCTACCGGGCCGGAGCATGTGCAGCCGGTCTTAGAAGAGCTCCGCCAGAGGGGGTTTTCTTACAGACTGCCGGATCCGACAGCTCGATGGGATATCGAATACTACCGCGACCCTGCGCACCGAGGATACCTGAGCCACACATTAAAGCCCGGCGAGTCGCCAAGTTTGTACTTCAAGGTACCACCCGCGAAGATTCTCAAGCAGGAAAAGAAGCAGAAGGGGGCCACGCAGGAAGCAGCGAAACTTTGGGACAAGCTATAAGGGGTGCGCTCGTCGAATTGGCAGAATATACCATGTTATGTATGTATTGCGCCTGCAGATATATCCTAGGGTATATACCGTATATATACCGATTACTGCGAACATCCGCAGACCTGCTCCCCTAAAACTGCACATATATCAACCCGCGGAATAGCATGTAAAGTTGTTTTCCTTGTGATGGTTGTGACAAGGGGGTTGCTTGAGCATTTGAAGTAATAAAATCTTAGTGCTGCATGGGGTATTATTGATAGTTACATAAGATTTGCATAGCAGTAAGGTGAAAGCTTCAATTGTCCCCTTTTATGCAGGTAAATAAATTACTTTTTATATACAGACCCAATATGTACATGTATCAAATGCACCAATACCAGGTACCTACCTCTATCAATCAGTTCAATTGGGACTGCTGGAGCCTACAGATGTATTGTACCTACATAAAAGTATGCATGGTTGAACCACTTGGAAGTCAGTGTAGTTAATGTATGTATGGTTTATGTGCCTAACGTAAAGCATGTATGCACATTCAGCTCCGCACTTGCCAGCGCCGATCCATTACCTACCCTACCTTCGTCCCACCTTGTCCCACCTGTACCTCCCTGGCGTTTCAGCGCCGGGCCGCAGGCATACCATAGTTGAGCTCTCCAAGACAGCCAAGTCATGGAAGGCAGCACGGGCGTGGATGCGTTGGATAATACAATAGCTAATTCTTATTCAGCCGTTTACTGTGAAACTCAATTCCAAAATCTTACCATCTCTGTAATTTTTAAAATACGTGCGTAGTCGTTGCAACTTTTCATCTGCATCCTTTTTTTTTCTGGCTGCGCCCTTGCATTCGCATCATCATCAATCGACTGCATGGTTTGTTCAGTGTAGGTCTAGGTCTAGGTCTAGGTCTTAACTAGGTATTACACCTCCATTACGACATTTCGCTCCTTTCACTCGAGCTTACTACCGTTGTCGATTCTACCCGATTGTCTTACCTTCGATTCTCGATTCTCGATAGCTACAAAAAATATCGATATTATACCAAATTGAGGCCATGTCTCTCTTTGGTACTTCACCTCCAAATGAACCCTCGTCTTCCGGTAACCCAAGCATGGCGCGATCGTCCTTGTTCGACGATGATGGACCTATGACTCGCTCGACTTCGGATACCCTCTTTAACGATGACGATTTCGGTGGCAGTGGCAGAGCTTCGCCTTGGGATATGCCTACCCCAAGAAAACAGCAATCGCGTGCCGAACTCCTCCGAAGACTCCTCGATGGCGTCGATATACCAGATAGCTATATTGAGGCATTCGACAGGGCCGTGCAAGAGGATGGAAGTGCCGGCAAGGTCACATTGTCAGGTGTCACCAAGACGCTTGCTGCAGCTAAACTAGGCGCCGATGACCAGGCGCAGATAATGGGAATACTTGCGCCGGCTGGTAACCTTGATCCTATCGGTCGCAACGAGTTTAACGTGTTAATGACTCTTATCGGCCTTGCGCAAGAAGGTGAATCTATAAGTTTAGATGGAGTTGACGAAAGGAGACGCAGTAAGTAATTCACATGACCTTTTCTTCTTCTTTTTTTCGTATTTCCTGGGAGATCGACTTGATATGTTTGTCGCCTTGTTTTCGTGTTTGGCGAATCGCATCGGTCGTCCAATGGGCTAGCCTGTCTTATCGCATCCTCGCTGCTGCGCTGCCCTGTGCATCATCTTGCGGGGATATTTACGTTATTCGCCGAGAAATTACATCCTACTAAATCACAATACCAACCTGTTGTAGACTTGCCGCAAGCCCAATTATCATCAGCGCCGGCCAAAAAACCTATCTTTCCAGATACTGCAGAACTTGCAGCAAAACCGCCGCAGCAACCCGAAAACCTGCCCACCTCGTTCGCTTCCCAATCCCGAGGTAGAAAATCATCCATGGACGGTCCCGAGGACGATCCGTGGAATTCATCTGATGTTCACAGACACCATCACCACGGAGAGCCGCCCAAGACTAACGGTTCCAACCATGCTAATATACTGAATGGCAATGGTTACGGCCATTCCGATGCCCCTGATTTGCACTCTCGCACAACCTCCAACTTTACGACCCCTACAATGGCTTCGGCGGGTGGTGCGGTTCCTCAATCTGCTGGTGGCTCCGCATCTTCGAATTCAGGTGGCTGGGGATATTTCGACGGCAACAACGTCGAAGGCCTTGGTGAAGCATCCCCGCATCACCCGACGAACCCCTTTGGAGGCCCGGGCGATAGAGAAGGTCGCGATCCGGGTACTCACCCAACCGTTAGCCATTCAAGGACCATTAGTGGTGGTCGGTCTGGCATCGCGGTTGAGGAGAATGTCACGGTTTCGCTAATGCCGGAGAAAGAGGGCGTGTTCTTATTCCAACACCACAATTATGAGGTTACAAGTTCGCGGCGCGGCAGCAAAGTTATCCGCAGGTATAGCGATTTCGTATGGTTACTCGATTGTTTGCATAAGAGATATCCGTTCCGGGCATTACCTCTTCTCCCGCCCAAGAGAGTTGCGGTCAACGGAAACCACCTTTCCAACGACGGCGCGTTTATCGAGAAGCGAAGACGCGGTCTGGCCAGGTTCCTAAATACGCTGGTCCGACACCCTGTTCTAGGTCAGGAACAGCTTGTTATAATGTTCTTGACTGTTCCAACGGTATGAACCGAATGGTATTAGCCCTTATATATATGTAAAGCTAACAGGCTGTAGGAACTTGCGGTATGGCGTAAACAAGCAGCTATCTCGGTGGTTGACGAATTTACCGGCCGGGCGCTACCTCCTGGCCTCGAAGAATCTCTGCCGTCCTCGTTGGAGGAACTGTTCGAGCGCACCAGACAAGGTGTTAAGCGATCTGCCGAATTGTACATCTCAACTTGCAACATCATGGACCGTCTTGTAAAGCGGAGCGAAGGTGTAGCAGCCGATCACGGTCGCTTGGCTGTATCTTTAACATCCCTTACGGAAGCGAGCTCTGATACCTACGCCACCGATACCAATGACGTACCTCTTTTGAATGACGGTCTAGTCGCTATGAGCCGACACTTACAGACGACCCAAAGCTTGATGGAGGATGAAAGCAAGGCGTGGGATGCAGGCGTGCTAGAAGACCTAAAGAAGCAGCGCGACGCACTTGTCAGCCTTAGGGAGCTGTTCGACCGAAGAGAAAGATTAGACAAAGACAACATCCCATATCTAGAACGGCGTATCCAAAGCAACGAGACGAAGCTAGCAAGTTTACGATCCAAGCCAGAGATCAAGCCAGGCGAGATTGAGAAGGTTGTTGAAGCAATCATAAAGGTTTGTACCTCCTTACCGTTTGTCTCTATTGCGGAGAGCCTCTAACACGTCATATAGGATAAGGAATCTATCGTCAACCAGCACAACCGCTCTATATTTGTGAAGGAGTGTCTGCGTGATGAGCTTATCTACTTCCAACAGACACAATTCCACGTCAGCCGATGGAACCAAGACTGGGCACAGGAACGTGTCAAGTATTCGGAGATGTTAGCTGACAATTGGCGCCGCTTGCTCGATGAGCTCGAGGGTATGCCCCTTGGCGACTAGAACTCCCGGCGAGGAACGACCAAGGGCAAGACTATGATCAAAGCGGAGGCCAGGGCGGAAGGATCAGTAGAACAGGAAGATATTGACGAGCAGCAGTTATGTCTTGGGGAGAGGGGGGCTGGTATATTAATGGTTGCATAACCCTAGACTGCATATATTTGGGCTTGGGCTTTGTGGAGTGTATTACATTGCCCCTCCTTGGAGTTGGCGAGTTTGCATTGCTGTACTCCTTTCTTTTTCTTTCGTCTTCTTTTTTTTCTTTGCAGTATTTATAAGGGAATGAGCATATGCTGAGGAGGGGAGTCGCACTTATCACACTATACCCTTCTTTCGTTTCCGTCAACTATACATTATTGGTAATTCGTTCCTATGGAAGATACATCTTCTCCCTAACTCTAAACTCTAATGGTAGGACAGAGATGAGTAGCTAGCTGACTTGGTGGTATGATGAAAGAAAATTCCAAATAATAAAAGTAATTTTACCTATCTGTTCAGAGTTGAGGTTCTTGACTCGCCAAGACTCGGTACGGTATAGTACGTAATGGTGAATTACAGCTGTCGTTTATACAGATTATTGTATTGTATCAGTTACCTTTAGGTACCTACCTATGCTTGGGCTTGTGCTTCTTAAGCCGGGCATCGAGTCAAGACAGCAAGTACCTAGCATAACTTATATACCTGTTGTAATCCACTCTTTTCTAATGAATTGTATAAGGATACATTAGGTACATATTTACTTGCTGTTCTTACCTAAGGCACTCTGGCTACCTAGGTAACGCAATATATGTGTGGATTAGGTGATGAGTGATGCCCAAACAATGTCTTCGTTGCTCCTTCTATCTCAAGACAACTCACTACATCATTCACAATAAGGTAACAGTGAATGTAGTACGTACCCGCCTAGCCTAATGCTAGCCCCACCATCAATACCCAAACGCCTACGCCTACGCCAACAACCTAGAGGTTGGAGACCGTTCAGCTCTAACAGGCGCATCCATTGTCTTACTTTCCCATCTTTTTTCTAAGTACCTAGACAAACACGATCAAGTTCGACCTTAGTCCGAAAAAAACAAACCATTATTACATAGACGTCCTCGACGAGACACCACTTTGTTGTTTTTATCGACCCGACTTAAGCATTGTCCGTACTCCCCGCCGCAAGTCCACGAGTTCGCGAGTTCAAGTATCAACCCCTCCTCCGCATTCCAACCGCCGAAGCTTCCTCTCTCTCGTCCCCCCACAAACTACCGAACCTCTTGGTTTACCAACAAAGCCGAAGCCGTCGCGATTTGCGCTTTGTATACCACGGAATAAATAAATAAATAATCAAGCAGCGCATTTTCTCCAAGTCATCAGCATATCTTACCCTCTGCTTGTCGAGCGTCGATCTACGGGGTCCTTGTCGACCATACATACATACATACATACCATCATCATCTACCAATATATACCTATCGTCTCTCAGAGATCGCCTAGTTCCCTAGGTACCCAATAGGTGTGATATCAGTTGTCGCGATGCCACCGCTATCGTCCGTCCAGAAAGCGGCGGTAGCCAGCTTTGTCTCGATAACAGGTGCTCCTGAAAAGGCCGCCACGAGAGTACGCTTTTCTCCATTTCTTCTTCTTCTTCTTCTTCTTCTTCTTCTTCTTCTTCTTCTTCTTCTTCTTCCTCTTCCTCTTCCTCTTCCTCTTCCGCCCATGCGTCCGTTCATGACAAGTTCAGTTCAGTATCGCGACGATTTATGATGCCCGAAATGCATTGCTTTGTTCCGTTCCTTTCCTTTATTCTTGCCCGAATCCCCTCCAACTTATATTATCTACTCGGAAAAATGGTCTCGTGCTAACCAAACATTCAACAGTATCTCAAGAACACAAATTACAAGCTGAACGAGGCCGTCGATTCGTAAGTGGCTTTGCTTTCCTTCTTCTATCGCTCGTTATATATATTCTACATGGATCGCTTCATATTCGCTGGTGCGCCTCAGGTGTATCGTCGGCGTTTTGCATGTATTCCTCATGGGACGGCAGCAAGTTCGTGATCCTGTAGCACCGAATGTGGAAAGCAGCCAAGGTTATGGTCTCACAACTTTTCTTGTGCGTCCCATCGGAATGGATATCGATAGCGTTGAAGTGACCTTGGCTTGTTCAGGCTACCATACTGTTAAATGCCATATATAAGTGTAGATCATGTCGAAACTATCTTGTCTTGCCTTATATTGCTTTGTCGCCAGACCTGTTTCTGTCTATCCTATCCACTAGTCGCACGCACACACGCCTTGTAAACCTATTGGGTATATATGCGCTGTATTCTGAACTTATTTTTTACTAACTCTATGTGCTGCTCAGATATTTCCAGGGGACTGGCGGCGCATCATCTACAGCCAAGGATTCACAGCTCACCAAGCTATTCGACAGTCTGAGAAGTATGGGGATACCCAACGTCAATTCGAAGCGTGAGCCTGCTAACATGCGAGACAGATGCCCAAGAGGACCCAAAAGATTCGCTCGGCGCGGATTCATCTATGGCCTATCTGAATTCTATCGGGGTTGATCTGGAGGGGGCATCGCTTTTCCTTGCTATGGAACTCGTGCAAGCTCCCACCATAGGAGAGATCACCCGAACGGGATTCATAAATGGCTGGAAAGCTCACCACGTGTAAGTGTTTGCGCAGTTGATTACAAATTCGCGCTGCATCTGATCTAAGATGCATGCAAAGCCATGACTACCCAGGTACATACCACCAGCGAGGGGAGACTAACTAGTGTATAGGACTGAGGCCAAAACCGAAAGCCAGAAGCAGTATTTCAAGCGTCTTGCCGACTCACTAAGCAAAGATCGAGACCTATTTCGCAGAGTGTACAGGTACGCTTTCGTGGTCGGCCGAGAAGGAGACCAACGGGCTCTCTCCCTGGACAACGCAATCCTGTACTGGGAGCTGCTGTTCAAGAAGCCAGGAATGGTATGGATCGGAGAGACGACAGGCATAGATTGGCTGGCCGAGTGGATCTCGTTTCTACGAGAGAATTGGACGCGCTCAGTTAGTCGCGATATGTGGAACCAGACATTTGAGTTTGCGCTTAAGAGCATGGCGGACGAGGCATTGAGTTTCTGGAGTGAAGACGGGGCTTGGCCGGGCGTTATCGACGACTTTGTAGCTTGGTACAAGCGCAAGTCGTCGGCGATGGACGTCGATGCTTGACCAGTTATTTCCCGGGCCGGTCGATCTAGTCCCCCTCGATATCCATCCCTTCCATCCCGTAGAGCGGATTTTGACGTGAAGTTGTTGGGTGAGGCAGAGAAGTATGAGAAGATACGAAAGTCGTGTGGGCAGGCTTCGGTACCTTAAGCTTACCCCAGTACGATAAGCGAAACGATATAGGAGATATTACCACAGCGCCGCGCGGAATATGAGAAATTAGCTTTGCTTTGCGTTAAACAAACCATCGCCACCCTTGGCCCCCTTTTTAAAAAAAAGAAAAAAAAAAAAGGCACAGCGAAGGGAGGGTTGGTTTAATCAATAATCAATACACATATCATAAACATTATAAACGGATTGGAGCGAAATCCTCGTGCCTTCGTGTGGTGTTCTTTGTGATGTGATTTAATGCATATGATTTACTGTAGCGTTAACTGGCAAGTCCGGAGTCAAGTGCTAGCAAGTGGCTGTACCCCATGTGTATTTATGCCCTTAGGTACGCATGCTCTCCGTGCTGTGTCATAGTTTTATATTATGCGCGCAATATATCAATGGTGGTAACAGGTAGATGGCTCATGTCATCCGACACTCTTAAATTCAGCTTCCGCTACCACTATTATCATCTTCTTTCTACCTGATATACAGCATCTAGCTAGGTACCTGGGTAGATAAAGTACCTAAGGTAGACTGGTAGACAATTCGTTTTTTTGCCACCTTTGATACCAACTGCTAGCACACTGCCGCACCCCCCCTCTCGTGATGATAACCTGCAGTCCCCTCTAATCTAAGAAGACGGTAATCTGGGTAAGAAAGGGGTTTGTTTATAATATACAGTACCCCGCGATCCAAGGCCCCCGATCTCACCTCATCTCATCCCATCTCTTCTTATCTCATATCCCAGGGCCACGCACGCCGTCTTGAAGTTTTGCCCTAGCCCCCTCCCGTGCTCCCAGCTCGATTAAACCAACCTAGCTGGCACTACTACTACCACCACTACCACCACCCCTGCTTAGCCCGACCACTCGGGGGCGCCGAAGCGGCTGAGGGTAGCGAGCTTGCCGTCGCCGAGCTTGACGGAGGAGTGGCGGATCATGCGGGGGTCGAGAGCGAGCATGCTGCGCACGGCCTCCTGGGTGCGGACGCTGGCGTCGAACCGCATCGCGAAGTAGTGCCCCGAGTGGTGCCGCATCTGGTGCACGCTCGTCGCCCGCGGCAGCAGGAACACCCCCCAGTTCGCGATGCCCCGGATCACCCCCTTTTGCTGCAGGATCAGCTGCCCGGTCGTTAGGACGATTCTGCGAGGCGGGGGGGGAGGGGGGGGAGAGAGGTTTGGTTAGCCGGGGTTTTTTTTTCTGTCTGCGGTTGGTGGTGGGTTGTTCGATCATGGCATCATCGTCTTTCTTCGAACTGAAAAGATTCGATATGCAAGGACATGACATGACATGACATGGAGGGGAGAAGGGAGAGAGAGAGGATAAAAACATACTCCTTCACCTCGGCGAGGTTGCCCGGTCGGACCTGTTACTTCGTGTTAGCAGATATATCTCCCCTCTCTCTAACAAGTTACATATATATTTAAAAACAGGAATGGAAAAGAGAACCCACGATTCCGATTAACTCGTACAGCATCTTGTATAAGTCGGCTGCTTGGCTTTTTGTTTGGCTCTCGCTCACATGGATGGAGCGCACAACGACAGTTTCTATTTAATCGTTCGTCTGTTCGTTCGTTCGTCGAAACCGCACGTTCGGACCGTCTCGAGAAGGAAAGGGGGACAGAACAGAGAGGAGTCGGTCGAGCTCGAAAAGAAAAAAAAAAAAAGAAGAAAAGAAAAAAAGACTTCGATGTCTCGAATTTGATGTTTGATGTTTGATGATAGACTTGCGAATTGCGAGTTGCGAATCGCGTTTGCGAACCAATCGATAAGGGAATTTGGTGGGGGGCAGGGTGCGGATTTAGGTTTTGATAAGATTTTCCCGGGATCCCAGTCATGGCACATCGAGCTTAGATAAGCTATGTGTGAATTAAAGAGGCTGTACGGTATTGAATGTACTGATTGCAGCTAGCTCACCTGTAAATTGCAGTAGTAAGCCACCTAGAGTATAGCGTACAAGCCACTATCCGTCCCTATATTAATGTCAAGCCTATACAGTGCTAGTATCATCGTGGGAGCTGAATTACAGGAACCAGACGCTTGGCATGTGCAAGACTTTTAGAACGTCAACCGGACAACTTTAAAACTATAACAGCACCACTTAAACGACTTCCGCGTAATAACTAAGTATCCGTACTATGTACACCCTCAACCTTATCCGTGCACCCAGTACATAAAGTGCCACGTCAACCATTATATCATATTCAATCCCAAGAAATAAAATATAAAATTTATGTCGCCAATTTTCGCCTCAATTAGAGCTTTCTTATGATATAAGTCTTGACCAGATGCGTGCAGTGTTTCAAAAGCTATTCGAAGATATATTCAATTGAATTAAATGTTGACGTTTCGAGAAAAGGGGGCGCCCTCCTCTGCATATCTACCTGCGCGCTCGAATAGCTTTCGAAATACGGCCTGCATCTAATTATTATTCATATCATTAGAAATCTCTAATTGAAGCGAATACAGCGAGGTAATTTCTGTATGTTACAACCGGGGATTCAAAGGCTATAATGGTTGATGTGTGCAATGCGGCTCTGCGGGAGGGGCTCCTTTACGGTCGCATACATAGGTACCTAAGGTAGGTAGTCAATCAAATACATCTTCAAATAGCTTTAGGAATGCCGCATGCATCTACATGAGACTCGTATAATTCGGAAGCTCTAATTGATGCGAAACTGGCGATGTAATTATTATATCTTGCATCGTAGGATTGAATATGATGTTGTGGTTGACGTGGGAGTGGAAAATGTTTTTATATACTTCGTAAATATAAATACATAGTATACGGTCCGACGGTTTAACGGTTTATGTGGCGTATGTGGCGCATGTGGCTTTAGTTGGTTAGGATTATGTAAAAGTGGCTTAGAAAACATACGTATATCATTGACGATAGTTTCAACGTTATAGCTAAACAGCATGAATTATCTTTTTTCAAGCCGCTCGGATATTGTTTGGGGAGGGGGAGAGTGAATTAAGTTCAGCATTTGATAGAATGGGTAACTTAAATCTTGCCGATCATGTTTCCATGGAACATGACAGAAATATATAATATCGTTTTCCAAGTGCACATTCATCTTCATCACCAAAGTTGTAGAAATATCATCAATTATCTTCAACGACAACCATTATTGATAACAAGCATCCTCAAAAACTACCATCGTCAAGAACAATTCATCACCTCTTTTTACCTAGTTTAAACATGCGGATAAAGTTGTAATTATCACATTTACCGCAATGGATTTCTTAGATGAGCTTGAGTCGATGGCTCAGGTTGCGATCCAGCAGCCACAACAACTAGACGAGATACACATCGACGATATCGAGAGGTGGCAATCCATATTCGGGTACACGTACGCCCAAGCCGTGCGGAAAATCCAGGAGCACAGGACGGATCTGTCCCGAATCGCCGTTGCGGATTCTCACTGGGAGATCGTGCGCGCGGAAATGGAAGCGCGGGGATACGACAAGGAGGCCTACGAGCATTCCTGCAGTTTGGCCGCTTCTACCAGCGTCGTCGCATTTCAAAAGGCGCAGGTCAAACCCAGCAAACCCGCTTTCTACCTCTTGAAGCTCGAAGGGCCGTTCGGCGACGTAGCGCAGGTGAAATCGGCCGCTCAACTACTCGAAACCCACCAGATTTCAGCGGCACGGACGACTCGGGGGAACCCACGACCTTCTGCAAGGTCAGTGCCGATACCAAAGAGGCACTCCTCAGCTACCTCTCTGACCAACGGTCGCTGTTCCAACCTACGTTTGTCCGATATTCGAAAGCGGAGAAGGATTTATCCTCGCAGTCGGTATATCCCAGCCTCAGAATCGACGCCACCATGCCGCAGCATCGTGCCAACTCCAAGGACGATCCAAGGCGGGCCCCGGCGCAGAACCAGTATCCAGTCTGGTACTTCTTCTACGGCACTCTCGGCGACCCGTCGGTCTTGAACCGTCTCTTGGGCTGTGAACCTTCGTACCGCCCTGCGAGCGTGGCTCATGCCGTCATAAAGACGTGGGGTGGCAAGTACAAGGCGCTGGTCAGTACCATCGACGACAAAAAGGAGGTACGGGGCCAGGCGTTTCTCGTCGGGAACCGGGACCAGGAGCACTGCCTCCGGCTATACGAGACGGACAAATACGACGTGGTCCGGTGCAAAATCCGACTCGACGGCGAGAAAGTCAGGGGTCTTACGTTCCGATTCATCGGCGATGTTGACCCATAGTAGTTATTTGAATTGGAAGACAGTAATATTCAGCGGCGGCATATATAACTCAGCGGGGCCTTTTTTGGGTGGGTGTTGTTTTCTGGTCTTTTTTTGATCTGGAACCGTACGGGATATGTTGGTCGTTTCATGGTTGTTAGCGTTACCATTATTATGGTATTAATGGATATATACCTTAAGCACTTATTTATTGGGAATACATTCATTGTTTACATAATGTTATATTTAAAACGCGTCTTGTTATCTGGGACGCGAATATCAGAGTTCCTGCTAAATCGAATTAGGAGTCTTTATAAAGCTTAGGCAGGTTGAGTGTACGTGAGATGTATAGATTAGTGACAAGAGTACCAAAACAAGTAAGGGATTCCATAAGGGAATACATGTAGGTACTTAAACGTGATAGATTGAGTTTAAACAATGCTGTGAGAGATACGTACCTAAGGGTAAGTATAAAAGCCCGAGCCATGCTACTTAGCATCTGTCCTTCTCTTTCTCCCAAGCATCATCATAATACTCATTTATCTTTACTGTTTGGCCTCTGCTTTATCCTCCAAAACTACATAGATACGTATTCCCCTTATTCACAATGAGTGTACATAGTGAACAGTCCGGTTCTGACGGGACAGGTTGGCATTCAGAATCTGCCGCAGAGTAGCGATCTGCGCCGAACCCCGAGAAGGAAAGGGCGACCGATGAGGACAGAAGCTTACCCTTCTGTTTCGGATGCGAGTTCAAAGTCATTCTTCGCCCCAACCCCGAAAGTGGATTGCAATATCCCAAAGACACGAGCGTCTCCCGGCAGCGTCGTTTCGGTTTCCGCCTCTTAGATGCAATAGCCCAGGTAATGACCGATGCCGGGCTAAAGAGTGTTGTCTTCGACGCGGCAGATCAAGACAAACCGAACTACGGTGTATGGAACTTGATGCTCGACGGCTCTCTAAGCAAGCATCACATTCTGGATGGCTTCTGTAGGTGTAGTTAATCTTAAAACTATAGACAAAATAGACTCTGATGATTATGGAGACCCTGTTGAAATCGTGTCCCCGGTTCTTGTTGCGGATGATGGATGGTCAAAGAAGATGGACTTACTCTGGACAGTCCTCCATCGATACTTTGAATTCCGCAAGGACACCACCTGCGGTTTTCATATACATATATCCTTCCAGGAAGGTCATTTCACGATAAAGCAGTTAAGAAGCCTGGCGAAGGCAGTGGCATTCTAGGAGCCAGCCACTGCGAGGTACGCTCCTTTGTCGCGGCAAGACAAAGCCACCAGCTTCTGCCGGTCGAACCTTCGCGCCGCACATGTACAAAGAGAATTGAAGGAGAAGGGCCCCCTGAAAGGTCTCCAGTCGATATATGAGAAGCTCGACTCAATGGACCGAGATGAGATCGTGGACTTTATAAGTCCTTCAAAATATTTCGCATGGAACCTTCAACCTTCAAAAGACGGCAAATCCGGATCTATAGAGTTTCGTCGACCACCGGGAGTAGACACAGCGAAGAAAGCAAAGCATTGGATTGCGTTTACGATGGCCTTCGTTTGGATGTCTGTGAAGTTTAGCCCGGAGGCGTTTATAGATGCGAGTTCGAAGGTCAAAGGCAATTTCCGTAAACTTTACCATCCGGATTTCCAAGAGCAGCTACTACTGTCGGCGCGAGATATTGGGGAATATTCGAACTTGGACCCGCGGCTGCAGCAGGAAGATGACATGCAGAACCTACATATCACCATGATGGATAAGGCTAGTTTTGAATGGTTGAATAGAGACGAGGCTATCAATGGAGCAAAAATAATTAAGTCAATAATTAAGTCATTTGAAGTAGCCGGTACGAAGTGTAGTCGCTACGGTTAGCTAGGGAGTATGGATAATGGCAGAAACTGGATTTCATATTTTGTTTTTCAACTCTCGTGAATGCTGTGTCTGTGTGTTCTAGATTAGATGCAAGTAGGTACTCATCCAATACAATACCACAGCAGAGCCCGCTTCCTTCCGGCTTGGCTCTGAGATCACTGGAGCAGGGGGTAGTACTTACTTACTTACCTAAAGCATAGCGTACAGCTACAGCTGCAGCTAGGTACTGCTGCAGCTGCAAAGAAAAGAAAAAGCAAAATCATGGTCGCCGGACAGGCCGTCCATCCCCAAACATTTTGGGGGCCACGCATTGGTGCCGAATACCTGTACCCCTTGTAAGTTGTCCCCCCTTACGCTGCAAACTTGACGGATCTGCCGCTAGGTTACTGTATGGTACCTAGGTAGGTACCTAATTGACAGATTCCACAGGGATCGCCTTACATACATGCCTACGCCTAGACCTTATGCCAGAACGTCGGGAACATGTGGGGCCTGTTTCTTTTTCTTTTTCTTTTTTCTTTTTCCTTTTCTTTTTTTTTTATCCCTCCCCCTAATGAATGACCTTAGTTCTTTCATACGAACATACCTCCTATCCAGGTATTGTATCGTATCGCATCGCACCACATCGTATCACGTCCGAAGGTGGAGTCAAAAAAACCAACCCGCCAACCCGCCGTCTTAAAATCCCACCCCATCCCCTTACTTCGCGTATAGCGTAACTATTATATACATATCCTATAGGTAGCGTAGCTTATGCATCCTTTATAAAATAAGCCAAAATCTCTACGAATCAAGGACGTTTGTTTAGATGAAAGATGTTAAAAAAGTTATTTTTGTATTGATGCCTTTTTTTTCCTCCTCTTCCACTCTTCTTGCTTCCACAATGATCAAAGTAATTACTAGCTCCCATACATAGTACAAGCGGAAAAAAAAACGCCAGTAGCAGCAATAGCCACAAAATAAAACACATTTAATACAACGCAAGTTTCCATTAGCCTATGCCCGTTTCGCTGTGCCCTTCCTGGCCGTAGTGGCCTGTCTATACAAGTATATACATACATGGGTAGTGTACAAAAACGCAATCATTAGATGGGTAAAGGGGGAAAACGGGAGGCAAAAACAAAAACAAAAACTAGAAAAGAGTAATGCAAGTACGCATCGGAGTGGGTGAGATCAGACCCAAACGTCCGTGCAAAAATACAAGGCGAGCGGTAGCAGCAGAAGGGGGAAGAGGGGGAGGGTTGTGTTGCCACTAAACCCATCATCATCCATCTTTCTCTCAGTCAGTCAGTCAGTCTCTCTCTCTCTCTCAATATTTCTGATCTCGTTATTAGCCAATTCGCCTTAATTTCAGACGCGTGTCCACCTTATCCACCCTTTTGCCCATTCCGTTCGTCCGGCCGATTTTCCCGCCCTGCCAAATTCATCCATGCTGATGCCGCGAGATATAGGAGTAAAATAAAAAAAAAGAAAGAAGAAAACGATAACGAGAGAAACAAAAATGCAAATACGTGCTGCTATTGAATCGAGAGACAAATGACGATAATGACGATGACGACGAAAAAGCCTCCAGTTTCCTTGCGGTGGTCCTGTATTAAAACCCCTCGTCATATCGACGGATGATGTCGATTGTCCGTAGAATGCCGCCAAAAAAGAAAAAAACCGAAAAAAGGGAAATATCCACAAAGGGTGGGATTAAAAGACAATATGGGGCAGTTGAATGCGCGTCTATGTATCCGAATCCTCGTTCGGCATCGTTCTGGACTCCATCGTGTCCCACGAGTTCTCGAGTTGTGCACTACAAACGAGTTGTTAGCAAAAGGGCCTTGTAGAACAGTTAAATTGTTGATGTTGTTTCGAGTTGCTTACCCGGTGCCCTTGACGAGCTTGATGCCCTTCCTCTTGGCGAAGGCGAGGAATCGCCTCTTGGTTCGTTCCCTCTTGAAGTAGGCTAAGACACAGCCACGCTTCTCGTCACTGACGGATACCAGCACCTTTTGGCTGTCCGATGCGTACTGAATCTCCTTTATCTCGTCTACTGCTAGATCGAAGTTGATAGGCTTTTGATAGAACCCCCACGTCACCTTGGGATGGACGTCTCGTAGCACTTGATGTTCAAACAACCCCTTCTCCGGCTTCCAAGTCCAGTATTGGGTGACTTCCGTGCTCGTGGTCAAATCGTGAGTCTTGATCTGATACACGCGCCAGTCCAGGTGCATGATTCGCCCGGCAGAAAAGGAGTCCGTCGACGTCCAACCGCTGTATTCGAGGTCGTCCTCTTCGGGTTCGGGTTCTGGCTTGGGATGCGAGGGCAAAGGTGCCGGCTCGATGCGCTGACGCTTTTGCAAGCGCGGCGTAACGGGCTCTAGAACTTCTTGAGGCTGCTCGGATCCCTTCTGAATGTCCTCCACGTTAGGCGTGTCATCCGGATCGACTTGTCCGATAGAGCGGCGGGGCTTTCGTCGCACCAACCCAGTTGACTCCTGCTTAATCTTCTTAGCCGCGGCCTTTTCCGGATCTTTGTCTCTGAGCTTGTAACCTGAAGGCCGCCCAATATTGCCGAAACCATGTTTTTCTCTCAGAAGTTTTAGGCTAGCATCGTGATATAGATCGTGGGTTATCTTGGACAGGTTGAACTTGTCTCCCTGCGCTTCCGCGATATCGTACATTCGTTGTCGTAGCCATTCAAGCGGGGTCATGTCGAGGTCAAACTTCTTGAGCTCCTCGTGCACATTGACTAAGCGGAACATGGTATCGTAGTTGATAAAAGTCTTGTAAAACTTGTTCATCATATCCTTTCCCACAAACTGGTAGGGGTGCCACTCTCCGTCTCTGAGGAAATCAACGACAGACTGGCCCCTGTTAACTTGGCGGTTGGCAAGGAAAACCGTGTGGCGAACAGATTGGGGATCTCTTCGAAGCTGGTCTAGCTTTTCTTTCCACTTATCTAGCTGTGGTTGAATGATAGCTTCCAACGGTTCCCACTCAGGGTCCCAATACGGATGATCCTTGTCGATTCGTTCGAGGGGGATACCAGCATACATCGAAGGCTCCGTCATGACTTTGCCGTCATCTTTCAGCGCCAACCTTTCACGGGTAACCTCTTGAGCCTCGATAGGCACCGGTGTTGATCTTTCCGTCGGGGGTGCAGAACCCTTGGCACTTGGCAGCGACCTTCGGCCAGAAGAGGGTTTTATAGGAGCCTCGCCGATCAACTCGGGGATAGCTAGAAAGACACGATTAGAAACGCAAATAAACCGATATAAAAAGGGGGACCTACATGGCCTGCCAATCGGCGAACGGGCCGCAGCTGGAAGACCGGGTAAGCTATGTCGCTGCTTAGGCTTGAGGGGCCTATCTTTTATTCGAGCAGCTAGAATACCGTCAGAGACATCTGCATTAGTCTCCGTAATCATACCATTAGAAATCAGGCTGGTACGGCCACGGTTGTTGCTGCTACGTAGAGGCATGGACCTGCCGTTGAGCGAATCTGATTCTTCCACGGGGTTGTGGTAGATGCTGCTAAGAAGGTTACCTGGATCTACAGGAGGCTCTTCCTCCTCTTCTCGCCGACTACGACGTCGCGTACCATTGATGCTAGTCCATCCAGCGCCATTAGCCTGGGACGATATATCACGACTAGGTTGGCGACGGGTTCCGCTACTGCTCTTAGGTCGTACGTTCTCCTTAGACGCTGCTACCTCGCGATGACGAGCGAAATATGACTCTCGCGCCTCATCTTCGACTTTGCGCCGGGATGCAATACGAGCTTCGTTGTCGTCGAATTCGTGAGCTAGTCGTTCCTGCTCCTTCTCGTGGTTCTCGATGTCGCCTTCTATCGCCCGCAGCTCGTTCTGAAGCTGAGTCTTTCTGTCGTACAAATGGACAAGCTGAGCTCTCAGTTGATCTGCATGGACACGATACTCCTTCTGGTTTCTCATATCCTCTTTCTCTCTTGTGTATTTGGTAGTTTGCCAATGGCTCTTCTCCGCTTCATCCCAGTCCTCCGGATGTGACCCGAAAGATTCCTTCTTGGCAGACATGATGCCGACTAAACGCGCATCCACCCAATCCCCAGGCAACACTTTCACTTCGCTGCGTAACATATATTAGCAGGTATTAAAAACTAACTCGTGAACGGCCCTGCAAAATTCGCATGCGCTGAGAAATGGTTCGAACCGTCGAATGCAAGGTGAGACACAGTAGAGAGCGATAGAAAATGTTGTCGACAATGATGTGATAGTGGATCAAGTATATAAGTGTAAGTGTAAGTGTAAGTGTAACGATGCATGAAGGGTCCGTTCACAGTATTAATTCCCAGTATCGACCGAAAAGATCAACGATGACGCGCGGGGGGAAAGGAAGGAAGGAAGGGAAAGAGAAGGAAAGAAAGACGAGGGGGGAAAAAAAGGAAGGAAAAGTGAGGTACGTATAATATGGTATGGTATTTTGGTATATAGCAGTGGTGGGGACACGGATCGCATTGTGATATATAGATGGGATAGAATATAATAGACAGGGGTATAATGGGGCAGAGGTAAAAAGGGAGATAAACTGGAGATAAAATATGTTTAGGTACTTACCAATGAAGCCCTCTTACTCTCTTACGACTAGAGCGTATGTCCCAATGCTTTGCTTCGCTTCTGCGTGCAAGGTTGTTTGACTAAGTTGGTTGATTCATGGGCAAATAAGGTAGGTTATTGATTGTCGCGTTATGTTGCTTTCCTTATTATTCCCTCGAGATAGGTTGCGGGAGATATTTATCTGCGAAATTAAAGAAAACCAATGATGTAGCCTGCAGCGATAGGTACTGCAATCTACCTAATGTATACGCGCGGGTGGAAAGTAAGTGGATAGAGAAGCCTAGAGTATAAATGTTTTTGTCAGACTTAACGTGTATTGGTATTGACGAGTATGAAAAAGAAAAAATAGCGTATTATTAGCCGGACGTGTTGAGGGAAGACGAGTTGCACGAAAAGGGGAAAAAAATTTGAAGGTGGTAACTGATGTTGGTTACCTAACGAGTTGGTTGCCCATGAGATGAGGTATGAAGTATTCCATATAAAGCTGTCGGGAGAAATCAACCTACGACCAGCTGGCGTCAAATCAAATAGGAGGGGGTGGTGGGTTAAGGGACTAAGGCAACCCAGAACGATCAATAGAAATGTGAATACTTTTGATATGATAACATAACGTTAGGCACGTGTTTATGAGTGTGTATATGTGTATGTGGACGTGCATGTACTTAACGTATCTATATAGACACGTTATGTACTATATATGAATTGGGTTTACGGGGGTTCGTACGTGCAAAGATAGGTGCTATCCTATTAATTATTTACCTCGAGGTAAATAAGAGTGATGAACGGTAGACGATAGACAACAGACGATGGTGGTGGTGGTGGTGGTGGTGGGCTTGACATGCCGAATAAAGAAAAAGGAAAAAATAGAAAATAGAAAAAAAGGTGATATGCAAGAAAGTAAACGTGACTGATATACGTGTTCGATGAGATATAATAAAATACTTACCTATAGAAGAACCCGTAAGATGGAGCATTAAGTAAGGAAATTATTGATGACCGGCCTCAAAAAGTGACTAATCGAATCAATCATCAAAAGGCAATTTCCTTCTTCTCTCCTTCCTCTATTCTTCCTCTTCTCTTCATGTATCGTGAAACTTCCAATAATACCTAATGCTAGGTAAGCTTCAGGAGCACTCGCTTTCCTCGCATTCGCAGCTGGAAAATCCTTTTCGAAAAAAAAAAAAAAAAAAGGGTCAGCAAGTAACGCCGACTTTAGTCTACCATATCTAGGGATATTATGCAGACAATAGTTGAACAAGAATAAAATAGAGCTGGTGCAATAAAAACACGATAACACTAGTGCAAGTATACTACTATGTTTAGACACCAGAGCAAGCAGCTAAGGTAGTACCTCAGGTACCTCTTCTCAAGGTATCTTAAACGGGATGTAGGTGAATGACTTGGAAAGTAGTAGTATAGGATGGGACGACGAAAGGTTTATGACAAACAGAGTTAGACGAGGGGTAAAAAAGGGAAAAGGGAATGCAAAAGCGAGCAAGTAAATAATAGTAGTATTTTATTTACCTTGGTAAAATACCTCTTTAGGTGAGTTATACCGAGCTTGACCTGACCTGACCGATCAATAATAGTGGGCGGTGGATATGGATCGATCGTTAGTACCGAAGAAGAAAAAAAAGGGTGACCGTGTTTAATTAGGAATTCGTGTGGCAGACAAATCGAATAGTCTTATTAGTTGCCCGATCCAGTCCAATAGTTGGAGTCGGATGCAAGTCGATCTCTCCAAGTATGGATCCCCGTCTTTTGACAAGGCCTGTCGATGCGGCTCCCATTTAACAGGGTCCCGGCAATGTAGGAAACTTTCTAGGTGGAATGACGGAATTTTCGGCGGTGGGTGATGTTCTATTAGTCGCGATGATGCGTATCTTCGTATAACTTCTTGCTGCTTTTCTCTCCCCCTTTTCTCTTTTTTTTTTCCTTCTTCCAAGCCCAAAAAAGTTTTTCAAGGCCTATATCTCCCTCTCCCTCTTCTCGTCATTCGTCATTCGTATCAAAGTTGCTGCGCCGTGTTGGAAACTCGCGTTTTAAATAATGTCGATGACGATGATGTTAGTTTAGTGCTGCTGGTCTTATGCCGGTCTGTTGATGCGCGTTGGGGAACGCGCCGGGGCGATGGGTTTGTAAATGGGGGCTTGGCAGGGTACAGCCAGGTGTAGCTTGAAAATAGTTGGAAGGGGAAAAAATAACAAGGGAAGAAATCCAATAAGCAGGATGCTCGATCATATAGGAAAAACATGGGGGTGATGAATGCTACCCACTAACACCGACAGCCATATGAATAATTGCCAAGGTCATCTAATACACGTATTTTGGTATTATTCAGACCGGCTATCCAGACTCGGGTGTGAGAAATGGTGAATGGTGGGCGTGTGCAGGCGACTGACTCGAGGGGGGAGGACAAGAAAATCCTGAAAAAAAAAAAAGGTACGGGGAAAAATTCGATTGGGAAATAGAATTACAGAGAAGAAGATGATGTTGATAATAATAATAAGACGAAGAAGAATAAAAGTAATAAATAATAACGTAGCAGTAGGTACTTAGGTTTGGCTTTCCACGGAAGGTTTTTCTTATCAGGTTGAATGTTGAACGTTGGTATTAGATGGTAAAGTTGGTAGTAGTGCAATACACTCATACGCTCCCCGACTCAATTCCCTATAATGTATATCTACCTTGTTATAAGTAACCAGGTACGTGTACCCTAACCTAACGGTCTCACGCTATTTGCGTATAGTACATATAATAGTACTTCCAAGGTTTCTGGATTCTCCTTTTTACTACCGGTACGATACTACATATGCCTTGGGGCTTGTAATTATTTCATCCCTTATGGGTCGACGGTTTAAACATTCAAGATTCTAGGTTACTGCATTGCTAAATCTTGCTAAATAGATGATCCGTTTTAGCTATGCAAACATTATTATCTACCAAGGTTAAGTACTCGGGTAGTAGGTATTACTCGTTTCTTCCTATTTTATCAAACTTTCTCTTTTCTTTTTTCTTTTTCCTTGCCTTCTTAGGAATGGGGATGGAGATGTACATTACGTATATAGGTAAGGGGGAAATGCGATAGGCGGCAGCGCGCCAATAACTACCGATTTATTATTGGCGCGGTACGACACTATTTCTCTGACGTTTTAGGTAGAGCTCGCCCACGTATTCGTTAGACTCGGGACTGCGGGTTTGCATAGGGAACATTACCTAGGAGGTAGGTACGGATTAAAACAAACAACTCCCCCGCGCATCGACCGCAAATATAAGTCATATATATCGTACCTACTATAGTACCCTAATGTATTCCGTCGAATTGTTATGATATACTTGGTAGGTTGGTAATTAATGAGGTCGTACTACATACGAACATCCTAGGTACGCACATAATCCCACATCACACGCAATTACACATTTACATATTACACAATGTATAGGTGCATTAGTGTACATGTACCTATATGCAGGTACCTCCATATATAGCTACATAACATACCTACCTCATACTACCTCATGCTCATGGCTCATGCTGCTCATGGCTCATGGTCCATGGTTCATGGTTCATGGTTCATGTTACCTTACCTAGCAGCCGAGGTTAGGTCCAAGTAGGTTAGGGTATATCCCTACTTCTGCTTCTACTAATTACTACCTACTACTACTACTACTATTACTATTACTACCTCTATACGAGCTATTGTACGTACGCGGATCGTATACCTGCTACGATCTGGCGAATAGATTGATGCGTACGGTTTAGGTCGGAGCCTATATACCTCCGTACACCATGCATGGACTATTATAGGTAGATGACTCGACTAAAAGACGCCTTGCTAGTCTATAAGACAAGGGACCCGTCGGACCGTCATATCATGTCATCCATCCATCCATTCATCCAGCCAGCCCTCGCGTTCGTTGGTTTGGGTCAAATTTGGAGATAGGTATTCAGATCCCGAGTTGACTACTATGGTACTATGTTAGCATATATGCATGATTTTCCTTGGAGGCTTGGGTGAGCAGTGAGCACCTGCAGTGAGCACTAGGTCAGGTTGTTATGTATCGTCGAAATTTTGACACGCTTATTACACCATTCGCGCCTCTTACACACGCAGATACCTGACGGCACCAAGGTAGGTACGTGCAATCCCCCGTTGGCACGGAGTACATGCGTCTCGTAAGACAGGACGGTACCTATATTATGCGCGATTGATAGTTGATGTAGGACGAAGAGGGAATCTTTTAATGCTTCTTCTACTTCTTTTCCTCCATCTCTCTACTTTTTTTTCTTTTTTTCCTTTTATGTGTGTTCTTTTTCTCTCTTGAATTTCCTGACCTACGGCGGTTTTTGAGCAAGGGGGTGGGTTACCTTTTCCCATCTTATTATATTTAATAGACGGTCTATTATTAATACTTCGTCGCATTATGCACCCGAAATTTTTTTAAGGCGGTATACTATACCAATCCGATTCGTAACTGGTACATCCAACTTTCTCCTATAGTTCGCCAATGCAAACTTGGTCAGGTTGGTCGAATGTTAAATTACGGTTGCCGTCGCTGTTTAGTAGGCGACCTCATAACCTTTCGATTAGCCCGATCATTTATTATTATAGTTATTCAGCAAATAAGCTACTTAGTACACTACCTAAAATAAGCTAATGTATATTTTATAATTCTATTCCATCCCTTTCTCTAGCTCGGGCTTAGACTTACAAAGCCACAATATCGCATGATGGAAGTAGGCATAATCCATCCATCCATCCCATCCTACCTCACACTTCTATACAACATAGGCAACAGGCACGATACCTAATGCACCTCTCGTTTTATTTTATTTTTTCATCTTATTTTATTTTTTCGTAAGCACCTAACCTAAGGATTTTGGAGCGAGGGAGGATGTGCTTCGCTGAATGTTGCATGTTGCATGTTACATGTTGCATAGAATGATATAAATAGAGGCGTAGTCTTACGAGTACCAATAGAACCAGAGTCGCACTAACAAAGCCAAAAAAGCTAAAGCTGGTATCATCATTCATCTATTCATTCATTCGGTCATTGCATACTCCGTGCTCCCGTATCCGATCTAATCTATAAGACTTGGCATTCTTATTTGTTATTATTTACCAGGACTCATTATTTACTTCTATGCCGTATAGGTATGTATGTATGTATGTACAAATTGGAGGCAATTCATCTTCACTTCTTCATCTGTAGTAGCCTAACTGAGCCCGTTACATACGCGTGCAATTTTACACATGAGGTAGTTGCTCGATTGGGCAGGATTTATACTGCTACCCCCTGCTGAACCCGTCTCGAAGGGATTCCGCTATCCGAGGTTTCACGAACAGATACATTACAACGGACACGTACAGGTACCTCACGTACAGCTTCCCGCGTAGACTTATACATTAGGTACTGTAGGTAGGTAGGTAAATATACGATGTACCCCTTGATAGATTTCCCATTCGCAGTATTCAATCCGAGTGATCCATATCTTGGACGTTCATATTAATAAAAAAGCACCGAGGTAGGTTGGTACTAGGGTCTTACCTATGGCTTCCCCCGATCAAAATATAACATTAAACATTAACCTACGTGGTAAGATGGTAAGTAAACATGAAGGTATGAATGATAGAAAAGCAGGCATAACCCAAGTAGGAGCATATGGGTTTTATACCCGACGTCATACGTTCCATTAGGTACGTTCGAAACGTTCGAAACATGACAAGTAACAAGTCAAATTCTATTGCGGACCACGTCATGCCATGCAAGCTCTAATCGGCAGCAGCAAGGAGCTAAATCAATGAGGAATTACGACATATGCACAATCCGTGCAGTTGCTGCAAAGTTAATGGATTTCTATACAGCCTTCAGCAATATACACAAGTCTACGACTGCCGCCCTCTCCTATGCAGTCATAACTCCACCTCCCCATCCCAAAATTTTGCGTCGCTACAAATGCTCACCAGTACTCAGGCTTGACGTAGTTAGCGAAGGTCTTGGGCTCTTCGTAACCGTGGTGGTCTCCGTGGTGGTGGCCATCGTCTTCAGGTCCGATATATTCCATCTTGTAGACACTGCCGCACTCGGGGCATCGCTCGACGGGTCGCTCGCGGGACAACTATATATGAATAATTAGCTAGGTCTTTCACAAAACCATGTTTACCAGCAGGAGGAGCTATGGTCTTGGATCCAGGAGTTGAGATCGGGGAAGACGTACGCCGAGCCAAGTGACGACGTGGGAGTCGGCGGGGACACCAGTGCAACCAGCGTACTGCTCGTCACCAGCAGACTTGACCATGATGGGGTTGTCAAGAGTTCCTAACGTGCAACAGTCAGTCCAAACGAATATTTTTTGTGTATCTGTTTTATTGATAGATCCAATTGGGTTATTTGGGTTCTTACCTTTCCGGGAAGCATCGAGAGGTCGCATGTCGAAGATATCTACGCCCTCCATCTTTCCAAGAATTTCCAATCGCTCCAGACCCGTGGACTGCTCGAGATCGGTAGGGACTGTGCCGGGGGCGGCACCGGGTCCGATTAGGTCTTCCTCGGTCCTGATTTCTGTAATTGCATAATGTCCAAGTCAACAAAAGCTTTCCCCACCAAGGTCGAATAGCTCAATTGAAATTTTGATAAGCCGTACCGCTGAAGGTCTTGATCTTCTTGCTGATGCTAGCATGAGGTTCGACGTCCTTCGCCTCCCCTGGAAGTAAGGTACTAGTTAGCTGCTATGTTGATGGCGACGGGTCGCATCGTACGATGCACGCTCGGGCGCAATTCGGTAAAGGTATTTTTCTTACGGCGGATAGCGGAGACTGCAAAGGTTCGTCTGGCAACGGGAGACACAACGGCACGGCGTGCCACGGCTATGACGGAGCGTTGCAAGAACATGGCGGCGACAATTGGAGGTCAACAAGGAGGTGGTAGGTGGCAGGTTGAGTGGGTGGGTTGAAATCGGTGACGTTTTTGTTTGTGAAGGTTGTTTAGAAAAGAGGGATTTGCAGATGGTCTGATTTGAGGATTGCTTCCGAAGCTTGGGCATTGCTTGCCCCGGGCGCCCGAAAACGCCAAGGACCCATCCCCATTCGGGAGCTTAGGCGAGTCACCCCTCTCCACATTGTTAGTCATCAGTCATCCATATTATACTACGATGCTATGTCATGTATGATAGAGGTACTAGTGCTGTCTACGTAAACTGACGTCGCACCCCAAGTGCTGCGCTTTAATTTAGGAAATCGGGCAGTAATTAAGCTAGCGTACCAGACTTCAGGCACCAGTAAGAGGTTACTCCGATCCCTGTTACCTGCTAAAAGCGGAAGAAGAATAACAACATTTTATGAAATTTTATGAATGTTGGAAAATACTTCAAAACGCGTAGGAATTACACTTGTTCGGAAGTACTTCGGATCAAATCCCTAATCTTGCCCGTTTCCTTAATTAAAGCGCAGCACCCCTTTGGGGTGCGTCGTCGAGTTTACGCAGACAGCACTAGTACCTACCTAATGTATGGATTTACTACATAGGTAATGCAAGCTACAGCTACCTAATGCCAAATGGTAGTTATCTGTGATCACATGATTTTAATACTTAGATCCATGATGCAGCAAGTACCTAGAGGTCGCAGATAAGGTTTCGAACGCTACTTGGAAGCTACAAATTTGTCTAAGGTCTGGTCCTGGTCTCATGCCATCTGCTTCTTTACTTCTGACCTTTTTTTATTTCTTTTCTTTTCTTTTTTCTCTTTACAACTTCACAATCCAATTTTCGACACACATACCGAAATCTCGTTACACTATGTGCGTCAACATCCGAACCGTCTTTGCATATGCCTATGATTACTCACATTAGGTTTATTATGCGCAACAAGCCTAGGCTGTTGGGTGTCCATGCTTAATCACTACAGCTTTCCATTTGCATATTCGTCCCTAATCCCAACTTGGAAGTCATATGCCTCTACCGGACAGTCTAGACCATGGGGCACCGCCGTGGTCTAGAATTGCATCTTCGGTATTACGTCTATAATAACCATAATGCTATAAGGCACGTCACATACGAAAGAGAGACATGCATTCAGTATACCATACATTATACGCACACAGACATACATACACACACACTATACCAGGTACATATTGGGGTCTTCTGACTTTTTTTATTACTACCTGATCTTATCAACTCGGAAGACGGTAAATCGACGTGGCGAACAATACAGATACCCCATGCGGGCCAGTTCTCAACGATAATATGCCAAGAGATATCCTTGAGAACTACCTATATTGGCAAGCTCTAGACAACGGTTAAAACACATTGAAAGTACGAATAATAGCACTAATGGCGACATGCTCGGCAAGTAGGACAATCCGTTTGCCACGATGCAAATGAGGGTCAGGGTGTCACATGTCATCCAAACCTCCGACCTATCCCCTATGATCATCACGACTTAGACTAACAGTCCAAGCACTGCTAAGGGCAAGAAGATCCACGTCTAACACTTTATTACCCCTTAACCTGTAGGTGTATTCCCAGGTAATGTGCAAGCCGCCACAGCCAGATGAATCAACAGGTCTATCATCTTATCTGTGTGTGTAGGTAAGTGCCTAATCCAATCATGCTCAAGCCCAAGATCCCACATTCTAATCAGCTTGGGCCTTTCCACTGTTCCTCAGCTTGAAAGCTTCGCAAACTGAGAGTCGTTGATCCTTGGTGGTGTATCTAAATTCAACATCACCACACCTGCCAGCTTTAGCTTCTTCCTCAGTGACCCATAAGAATGCTTGATGCTCATTAGGATCTAACTTGATATCGTATTGTTCCACCTCGGTCAAGAAGGAGTATTTGCACATGCATCGGTTGCCCCGGTAGGGGATGGGCAATCCCTTACCAACGAGGGTAACAATGGACTTGGCGCGCAGTCCACTTTCTTCCCATAACTCGCGCGCCACGGCATGCAAGAGAGACTCGTCTTCGTAGTCGCAAGCCCCTCCTGGTACCTCCCACAGCAAAGGAAACGAGTCGTGTGCCGCTCTCTGCACGATGAGCAGCTTTCCCTCCTCATTGAAGACGAAGGCAGCAACGGCTACCGAGTTAAACTGGGGGTGCTCTTGTAGATATGCCTTCAAGGGGATTTTGAAGCTAGCGAGCGAGGCCGGTGAGGTAAAAGGAGTAGGCGCAGGCGGCGCGAGCCCCGAGATAGCATTGATGTCGCCCATTTTGTGGTAAATCTGATACGCGTAGTCAAATAGGGTCAGCTCAGCACAGGGGCTTTATTTTCACCAACTCAGTTATGTTGAGGTAAATTTCGCTGATTTAGTATTGATGCTAAAGGTGAGAGAACTCGATTGCCTAGTCTCCGGGAATCGGCCACGGCCCAGATTAATATATTTCTCGGTGCGTCCCTTTTGCGATCGAGAATGATAACTTCTCTATAAGAGGATCCAAACTAGTCCACCAACACGGGAGAAAAAATGACGAGTCGAAATCGAACCCTGGACTAATATTTTGCATATGCCCTCCTTATAAGATGGTTGAGGCTGAATAGGCCAAGAGTAAAAACTTGAAGCCTGAATCCATAATGGCACTAGCAACCGAGATAAAGCTATAGTAATATCCACCGGCCCGTTTCAGGCGACTATTCGTTTCATTTGATAGTCCATTTGTCGGGAGGACCGACCGCTGACAACGGCTTTCAGGGGGGGATTTGCGGTGTTGCGAGGGACAACTGAGAGGGACAAGTTGACAACCTTGCATGATTCCTTGATAGACTAACCCGGTTACGGATGCGGTTGCGTATGCGTAGCCCTTTCGTTGAACGTTTAACCCTGGGAGATGTGATAGGCGTACCTAAAACATGCGCGGAGATATTATTTAGTAGCCTGGCGAGGCAGAGCGAGAGCGTGTGTTTAGGTTAGTTAATGGGTTAGCGGATATCAGGGTGCATTTTCCCCTCCAGCGCCGGAGCTTTACTCGATTCAGCTGGTTTCTGGCAAGCAGATGTGATGAAAATGAAAAAAAAGCTGAGTGACAACGTGTAATAATCGACCCGTCCCGCTCCAATATTCTGTAAGAATTATTTATTGTCTTAGTCCTGAGCACAATATAATGAGGTGAGATACTGTGCAACGTAATATACTACCTCAATTTTTTTTGTTTGTCTTTTTTTTTTTTTTCCCTTTGTCTTAAGAAAATTCTGAAATGCGGTGCCGAGACATTTCGAAAGAACCCTCACCTTCGCACCTTATACGCAATTAAGCCCATGCATCCTGGTCGATATCCATTACGCAGTCGTAAGCACTATAATCCAAATACACCCCCCCTTTAAAATTGACTTTTGGACTTCTCAAAGCTTGTCAATATAGTCAGATAGGTAACCCCAAGGCAGCCAGCCATATATGATTCACACTTAAAGTATATATAGGGTTGTATCCATAAAGCCAAAGGCAGCAGCATTACCGCCCTTGTCGAGAGGCAGCCAGTGAGACCAAGTGTTAGGTAGGTACGAATAGTGTTCAAACCACCGCCCCGAAGAAGCTGAGAACCTGTTCGCCATGTGATACCACCTTATAATTATCTAAGGCAGGTAAACTATGCTCGCCGTACGGTTCGGAGAAACTGTATAGACTACCAACTTGGAATCAGCTTAGGACCAATGCGCCGAAGCAATACGCTAGTGTTGTGAGATGAGCAGCAAGCAAGTTCAATCCGACAATCTACGTCCACGGGTATGTACCTGTCAGTCTATAAGGGCGACGGAGGGCCATATGACCAATTCTGCCATACGACACAATGCGTGTTTGCTACGCATGGTATATTCGTCGTGTCAAGCAGTCCCAATCTTTCGAGCGTATCAAAAGGCTTGTTTGTTCTCGGTATTACCATGAGCTTGGCTTGCTCGTACACCGGCTTTTTAGATATATCAACTCTATCATACCTGGTAGCTTTGAAGGAGCTATGGTGGAAACATGCGGCTACCAGCAGGATCAAGATACTAGGATTCCATAGTTGGATATGACATTGGATATGACAGGCTTCTTCTATGTGGTAGCAACGTCTAGCAACTACTTTGCCACGCTGTTCACACTTCAAACAGCGTTGTCATATACCTCTTTATGCTCAACCATATTGGTTCAACTCCCAAACCAATTGGCTGCCCTCATCGTGTTCGATCATGCCATATTCTATGTTGTATCATGATAAAGTCATTTCCCTTCGACGTTAGGGCTCATCTTGCACTTTGCCCCAATTGCGAAAGCATGTTGCATCCGGGTTCTCGGAGTCTATAGTTATTGAAGACATGAAGCCAAAGAGGTACGTGGGCAGATACCTCGTTGACATTCTCGTACAAGCTGCCATGGCTCCCAGAGTTGATGCATCAAACCCAGGCACCCAGGCGTTTACCTTAGATGGGCAGGGATGGGTCATACAGAATGTGATTTCAATCAAAGACCTAAACAACACTTAGTAGATCTTCCGCCATTGATAAGAGACAGAGAAGACGAAAAACGACAATTGATTGGCAACATATGAAAGGGCGTGGGTCAAGGAGATCAGTCTATACGATATCACATTTTGAGAAGAGCGATAGTCTCCTAGGCAGCGACCGAGAGAAGCTCTCCATCGGTTACCTGTAAACACTTATCAGATATTCCATAGCGATTCGTACCGATTCGATCCTTTCGTGAGGTCGCTAGCCTGACGTGGCATAGGGTGAGGTTAGTGATACCGGAAAGAAGTTCTATCCCATGCCACTATCCGTCTATGAATAAAGAAGAGGGCCGTCCTCATCTCACCGAATGCAACTCACAGGATGCGGTTGAACAGGTCGCTACACACACGAACCTAACCAGGGGGTTCTTAGATTAATAGCTTCACAAATAACGCCCACTATGAAGACGTTATTTCTAGCCCGTCATCATATCAATACGCCTTGTTCCATCTAGACTTGAGAAACTTAACGGCAAACACATAGACACATCAATAGAATATTGCCCGCCTGGAATACTCGACTGAACTGGAGTCACAACTCTGACATCTAATAGACTACCTAAACTTGACCGGGGCCCGGGAACACCGTACTCCCACGATATTTATCTCTCCTCGTTGCCGGAATCAATGTTGACCTGTCGTATAGGTATGTAATAGGCGCATACGAACAGGCTACTCAAGCCAGTGCGCAGTCCAATTTGCTACGGTCGCTTTCTATCACGCTTCTTGATACGTACTAGAGGATGGACTCACGAAATGCTGAAGAATGCAAGGTGTTGCGTAGGTATTGCAGTCGGCTATGAGATGACGGAGGGCGACGGCCGGTATTTGATTAAAGCATCTCCGTTACGGTACCTGTAAGCAATAATAGCAGCCAGGACACGGGAGGGGTAACAGTCGAGCCAAGTCATGAGCCGGGCCGACGTGCACCATCATTCTCTGAAGGCCGCGCGCGCCGAAAGCAAAGCACAAGAAGAGGATCGTTGACCAATGGGTCGGGATTTATCTACCCTTACTAGATTAGATACATACAGCGCCCGCGGTAGTGGTGCACCGCAACTTATATCCGGTGGCTTTTGCATAATACTACCTAACCTTTGGCTCGCTTGTTCTGAGACAAGGCGATTACTGCTGAGACAAACGGGCCAAGCCAACGGCGCCGAACACGTGTGACAGCATAGGGATTGGCATTATATAGTCGATTCGGATCAGTCGGTGAAAAGAAGGGGAAAAAAAAGAATTCAAGCAAAATAAAAATAAAAATAATACGTTAGGTACCTTGCCAGGTAGGTAAGTTAGTTACGAGTTTAATCCTTCCCCATCTTCTCTTCCAAGTTGCTATTGAAGCAATTGCTTCATCTTGAAGAGTATGTCGAGAATAGGAGAAATCTCAAGAGGGGAAGGGTTCAAGAAAAAAGAGACGATGAGACTCTGAGACTAACGTGAAATGGACAGAAATCACCGCATTGGAACGCTTGGCGATCCCTTACGGTTCGTTACCACCGGGACCCCTTGGCTTTTAAACCCCTGGTACGGCGCAAAGTTTCTACATACCTCATAGTATTTGATTCCATACGTAGACGAAACCTATGGGGCTCGTTAGTCTAACTACCTGGCCTAGGTAGGTACCTATGGTAATGTCCGTTGGTCATATATTATTACATATATTACCTCAGGTATATATATCATATATCATTAGTATTATACGGATCGGTAATACCTATCATTGTTATCGATCATCAATAAGTTCGTCTGACTGACTTTGAACCCACGTGCGACCAAACGCAAGGTTGTGTATCATTGCGGATTTGTGGCTTCAAGTTCTACTAACGAATGTAATAAAATCCTATTTCAGCTACCTAATAAAATGAATAAAAATAACTTCTTCACCTCAGCCTTACACCGAGCGACGATGATCAGGTGTCAGGCGTAGGTAGGCACCTGGTATTCCCATCTGGATGGACTAGGTATCTGTAATAGGTAGGTAGCTGACAGAAAGCGCTGAAACGCCCCCGTGTTAATTAAAAACAGACAATAGGCTCTCCCTCTCCAAACATGGCCAAGCGGTTCGGGGCCTCACTTATTTGGGGGCCAATGCCCAGGAGCCGCAAAACACATAAGAATCCCCATTAACAAAACGACCTCAGCCCACTATACTATTTGGGGATCTCGGCAACGAGATAGCTTACCTTCCAAGCACGCCGGGGGGGAGGGGGGTTCTTTGGTGCTTGGTGTTGGAAGATATTCTCCAATTGCAACTTCGCAGTCGCTTCTTGTGATCTTCAATCTTCATCTCACTTTCTTGGTTTCTGCTTATTGCTTTTCCTATTCGTCGTTTTCTTCTCTCTCTCTCTCTTAGTACCCGACCGGTCGGCTCTTGGTTGTCTTTTGCATTTTTCTCTTTCTGTCCTTTTTTTTTTTTTGGTTAATACCGTCCCTCTTCTCTCCCCCCCGGGTCCGCCGACTGGTTTCGCGCTCGTTGTCATTTCGTTGCTGTCGTTCTTTGCCGTATCCGGATACCCTCGAAGGATTAGACTCGTTTTGCTCATCCATCTGTTCTATTCATACGCGGAACAGATCCGGAAGTTGGTTAACAAGATACCTACCTAGCTTGCTAAGCTAAACGACTAAGTCCGTTCGACTGGGGTTTTTTTGGTAAAAGTTCAAAAAAGAGGGCGAAAGGTTAGAAAAGAAACAAGCCCTCCGTCAGCTATCTTGTGCTTTCACATATTTGACCTCTTTTTTATCATTTTCCGCTGAAGCTGTGGTCATTTCATGCTGATAAAACTCACCCCGTAATATCTGATTGTGGTGCTTGAGATGGCAGCTCGACTATTCCTCCTCCTTGATTTGATCATAGGAGCTTACTGCCAAGTCTCGACTGTCGAGCGCCGCAATAGTCGCTACGTCAAGCTACCAGTTGTACATTCTACGAATAAAGATGTATTCTCTGATTTCGGCGATAAGCGGGCTATAACCACTGTACCCCTAGCCAACAGATCGGATGTAGCATACTACGCTTCATGTTTGTAATCCCTCGTTCACCTCCCGTGTCTTGTTCCTCTTGCTAAATCAATTTTTTTTTTTGAAGTGGACATTGGCACTCCGCCGCAGCAGGTCTACGTTCAGTTAGATACCGGCTCGTTTGAGCTTTGGGTAAACCCCGATTGCTCTGATCTTACAGGTTCTGCGGATGTTAGATTTTGCCAGGCAGTAGGGCATTATGACTCGTCGTCTTCGTCTACCGCTACGCGGCTAGCTGGTTCGCAGACGCTGCAGTATGGTATCGGTAAAGCTAAGATTCAATATTATTCGGATAACATTGGTCTCACAGGCACGGGTGAGTTACTCGTTTGGGGTCTTATCACATAACGAAGTTGTAAAAACTAATTCCAGGCTAGATGCGAAATTAAAAGGGGTTCGGTTCGGTGTCGCCACTGAGACAGATGACGAATTCGCGGGCATTCTGGGAATAGGTCACGGGATAAACGTGACTACACGGTACAAGAACTTCGTGGATGAGTTAGAGAGTCAAGGGGTAACGGATACCAAAGCGTTCAGTCTGGCTCTCGGCGGCAAGGATGAGCAAGAAGGAGTCATCATTTTCGGCGGAGTAGACACCGGCAAGTTCACGGGCACCTTGCAGACCTTACCTATCATTCCCGCGGCGAAATCTCCGGACGGTGTACCAAGGTACTGGGTCAACATGACGTCTCTGAGTCTAACGCCTCCGAACGGCGCTACGAAGGACTACATCAACAAGACGATGGCCGTATTCTTAGATAGCGGTGCCACTCTCACCCTCCTACCGACCGATCTGGCGAACAGCATCGCGGCAGATTTCGGCGCCAAGGCTACGGACGCCAACGGTCTCTACCCGGTCGACTGCTCCCTCAACGATCTTCCGGGGACTCTGAACTTTGCCTTCGACGGCGTCACCATTAAAGTGCCCTATTACGAGGTCGTCAGGGAGGTCCGCACCGCTTTTTACACGTCGTGCTACCTGGGCATCATGGCTAGCAACGATTTCATTCTTCTCGGCGACACCATGCTCCGCTCTGCTTACGGTAAGTTTTCGTAATAATAATAATAAAGGGGATATTTATTTTATATTATATTAGCTACCTAGGTGGGTATGAAGGAAAGCTAACATTTTAATCCCAGCCGTTTTCGACCAGACCAACAATGCTATTCATATGGCTCAGTACGTGAACTGCGGCACGAATGAGATAGAAATCACCAAGGAGACGGACATGACTAAAATCAAAGGCGACTGCGATGCCCCGACATCCAAGACATCATCCACCGAATCCACATCATCTTCGTCTTCGTCTTCGTCTTCGTCATCATCACCGTCCCCTTCCTCATCTCCGTCAAAAGCAAGCGGCAGCACTACCGCAACTGGAGTCAGTTCCCCTGGCGCAAGCACGACCGCGCCGGCGGGTGAGTCGGCCGCTACGCCGCCGGATTCGTCCAGTTCCCGTGGTGGAGTCGAGTGGTGTCTGGGACTTGTTGCGGTTGCGTTCTGGGCCGTTGCGTCCATATGGATATGAGGAAATTTGTTCGTCCGAAAAAATAATCGTCCTTTTTTGTCTCGGAAGTATATCTACCTAGACCTAACCTAACCTACTAACCTCCATGCATTTTATGAGCGAGCGCATCTAAAGCGGAATATAGAACGTCTAGAGCATAGCATAACATACCTAGTTTAATCATAGTACATATATCAGCAACTATAGTGCTTGCAAGCATTAGGTACTGTCTTATTGATCTACTCGCTGTTTTGTATATAATTGCGTGTATATGGAATCTAGCCTTGATGTGTTCATTTTCATAGGCATCTGCTCAACCTGAAATATTAGGTAGCTAGAGTTGATACGTCTTTACGAAGCATTATTCCGCATATCCTACTTCATCTATTAAGTGACATTCAATAATCTCAGGGTGAATAGATATTTTTAAAAGAAAATTGGCAATAATCATCCAAACAGGTAGGTATAAGGTGTAGCTACCTATTTTCTATCCTCAACGGGCTTCTAAGTACATAACAGTTTCGCTCGGTAGACTCAAGCCCGTACACCTCTGCCGGTGCCACCTCCCGCCCTCTATCTCACCGCGGTGACGAATCCCAACTCAGCATTGTCATACACATCGCCACGTTACGCTGCGTCAAACCGTGCGTATGTTCTGCCGTGTTACTTGTTACTCTCCGCATCATCCCTGATTCCCGAACAGGCACACGAAGATCTTCTCGAATATCTACCTACCTTAGGTACGTAAGGTATGTTACACCTGTACATGCCTCCATCGAGATAATCTCTCTACTATACCCTTAAATGCTCATAATTTCACGACTCTTATTTCCCCCTTTTCCGGATGGATAATTAATAGGAGAGATTACTTTGACGACTTGTACACTTGCAAAGACGGCGATAATGGTGGTGATGATTCATATAGCTTTATTGTACGGCATTAGATGCACGTTAGGTATATTATATAGGAGGTAGCTTAGCTAGGTAGGTACATCAATGTAAAAAAAGAAAAAGAAAATAACGTGGTATCTTTCAATAATAAATACAGAAAGTAGGTTAAATACCCACCGACCTAACCTAAGGTTAGGTTAGGTAGAGGTAGGTATTCAAAAACTCACGCCCCGCGTGTGCTAAGCCCATCCTTCCATTCCATTCCACCCCATCCCATCACATCTACATACCTAGGTAGGTATATGTACATGTAAATATAAATGCAAGCAGGACGGCCTATCTACCTCCTACCTTATCCATCCCTTCCTCCCGTCATTCCCCCTTTTCCCACCGCCCCTTGAGCGGCCACAACGTCTCGAAGACCTCGGCTATCACGTCTCGCACGCGGCCGACCTGCTCCGCGCTCTCGGTCATTACGTCGTCGTTCAGACACCACTGGCCGTACGCCTTCCCGCGCCGGATCGTCCGCGCGAGCAGCTCCGCCTCCGCCTGCTCCGCGTCCTTGACCATGACGAACCGCATCGCGTCCGTGTCCACCACCGCGTGCTGGTACTTCTTGAGCGCCCGGACGATCGTCTCGCGCTCGCGCGCCTTCGACCGCGGCGGCAGCAGCGGCTCCAATCCCGCCGGCTGCGACGCCAGCAGGAACTTGAGCAGGCAGTCGCCGCACTGCGGCCGTTGGTACGAGAGCCGCGAGAAGACGTTGGAGGCGGTGAAGTCCGGGTTCGGCGAGGTCGAATCCGAGAGCGGCGACGCGAACGAGTCCCCGAGGCACTTGTCGACGCTGAAGTCGTTGCATTTAACATTACGAATCGTCTCAGGCCCGTCGAGTGATGTCCATAATACGTTCACGTTCACCTGGGGCGGTTGGAGCCCCGCCTTCTGGAGGATTTGCGGCAGCTTATAATACATCCGCTCTCTTATCGGGCTCTGCGCCGCAGGCTTGGAGGCGTCGTTGCTGGAGAGCTGCTGCCGCCCAGGCTCGACAGCCTCGAGTATGCGCTGACGCTCCGTCCAGTCGATATAACCGTCCGAGTTCTTGTCGGAACGGGAAACTATGAAGGACCAGATTAAAGCTTCCCGGAACCTCTCGATGGTGTAATGGAAGCTCGCAAACCAAGGATATATCTGAAACTTGGACTCCCCACGGAATCGCTCGCAGGAACCCCTTGCCGATGGCCCGGGGAAAGAAGCCATCGCTTCCTTCATAACCCTTCTCGAGACGGAATGTCCAAAGTGGGCTTGGACATGACGGTTGCGCTCGCCGAACCGGTGATTCAGGAGGTAGGAGGTATAATAGACGAATGGCTTCTCGCCGAACGAGGGTATCTGGCTCTTACCGCCGAGGTGCTTGACGTTGTAATAGTCGCTTTTGAAGCCCATAGTAGGACCAAACAAAGGTGAGTAAAAGTCGGACGCGGCGTGAGGCATTCCCAAGAACATATCATCCGACAATGCAAAGAGCTGGTCAGTCGACGACGGGGTCATGTAAATTTGGGATTCGATGGAAAGGGAGTTGAAAGTAGGAAGACATTCCTTGTCTTGCTCGCTGAAGAAGGACTCGTGGCTGAGGACTTGGACGTGCTGCTTGGCTTCATCGTCATCTCTGAGCCAAGTCGGTCTCTGTGGCCGCATGCCTGTGCCGTCCTTCTGATATTGAATACCGACCGAATTGACGAGAAGCTGGATCTTGTTGATGAAGCCCTTGGCGTAGACATCGAGGCTGCGGAGCGAATATCTCAGCTCGTCCCAGTCTCGATAGCGGTTGATGCTATGTTGCGATATCCACTTCCCGTCTCGGTCGTTAAGGGGCGATTCTAACTCGTAACTATGTCGAATATTCTTAAACGCTTCATCGGATCCATTGACCCAGTTATATACGAAGTCGATCTTCGGCTCGTCGAGCGGGCCGTGCTTCTCGGCATCGAAATGCCCAGCCGAAAACCATTCATCTTCCCAACCGTCTAAGCTCACGTCCTGAACAGCTTCCTGGAACGATATGCGTATGACATCGGGTAGCGCATGAGCAACAACGGCATGCTCTTCTTTTGCCGGACGAGGTACGTATTCTGTGCTCTCTGTGCTGGCCTGAGACGTCATCACAGAGCCACCGCCAACCCATTGCGACACTTTGCTATCTGTCGTAGCATGTCGCATCAGCTGGAAGGCTGGATAACTCTGCTTTTCCGACCGGACTGTATTCCACCTGTCTACCACTGCCCATATTACCGCCAGACAGCAAGCTAAAGATATTATCCTCCGCATGCGCCGAGATGTAAAGGTGCCCTGCTCTATAGGAGAATTAGGGACATTTATGAAAAGCCGCGGGAGTATTCTTGGCGACAACATGGTCTTGGAGTAGTCAACAGGACTTTGGCTCCGGCTGGGTATAGACAAGACTGCGCCAGCCCACACCATCCTGAAAATTTTGTTGCTTTCCTTTTCACTTTGTAGCAGTTTTCATCAATGCCCAACATTCACTGAGTGTTCGCTCAAAAGCCGAAAAAAACCAACAGCAGAGCCTTTCCGTTTCAGTATTCGGAACGCGGCTCGGAGTAAAACTCCCTGACTGGTGGCTTATAGTTGCGGAAGCAAAAGGGTGGAATCACATAAGAGTTGTAACGTAACGATCGTGAATGGCGTGCTGTTTTCTCACATGCTCGATCTCGGTAACTACAAGGGGGAGTCACCTTAGGGAAAAGCCTATCTCAACGTTAAAGAGTCATGGTCGTTATCAGTTCGAGAGGGGATAGGGTCTCACGATGGTCGGCGTCTCTCGGTGAGATCGATGAGAGAAGAACCCTCCTAAGCAGGTGGGAAAATGTAAAGAGGAAAGTGTATACATAGTAGGAAACGGATCGACAAGCACACGACCTTTTGCCCACCTGGGTATTCACAAACCAACTGATAGTATCGTGCCCGGACCCGGAGATTCTCGTAGGGACGGCGAATCATATCAGGAAATGGTCGATGGGGACCTATGATTTGCAACTTGCAAGGTTCGCGGGTAGCACATGGACGCCGAGACACAGCACGAAGATCTCAACTTGGTCGGATAATGGAAAAGTGTTTTCAATCCGGGTTTCTAGAAGTGCCAAGCTAATAGGTTGAGAAGCGATTTTCCCCACGCCGTCGAAGTAACGATAGGGGGGGAACCACATAACATCCAGGTTAGGCTCTTGCGCCAGGATGCGCCCAAAGCTGAGAAGGCTTGTTATTCACAAGCTTGAGGACACAATTACCGTAATCGGCGTATACATTAGGTACTTAGTCACCACATGTGTATAGAGAGGAAACACATGAGATGCCAGTACCATCGTGGCATCGTTTAGGTAGTGACTCCTCTTCGATTCTGTGTTACTGTACTTAGCCCGAACTACCACTACCACGAGCTTCTCTTGAACCTGATTTTCACTTACAATTACAGCTCATCATTCTGATGTAATCTCCAGGGCGCCTTTCATCATCCTGACATCCCATTGCAAAGCTGGACAAGGAACCGAAATGTCTCTCCTTCTCTTCTAAGGAAGTCCGCACGTGCCCCACGGGACTTCATTTTTTTGTGTGTGTTTGTGATTGAAGTCGCGTGCGGCGATACCCCTTTTGAAAGACCTTCCGAATGGGGCTATTGGATATTGCAATGGAGACCGTCTGTTGGTCTCATCAGAATGGTACTATGGTAGTCGATAGCCCGGAGGCTAGGGTTATTAGAGAAGTGATCAACTACGGATAGCTGAAAGACGGTTATCAGAGAAATAATAAATAATAATCTTCACCCAACTCGCTGCAGACACCAAACCAAGTACGACATCTTGGCGTGCATTGCAGAAACGCCAGGAACGCTTGGCACCATACGATACTAATCCTCTTCAGAGCTTAACTTTGTAGATCCGGCACTTGCGTCGCTTGCTATTGGCGACTTTCTTTCTTGGCAGAATCTTAATCCTTAGAGATCGACTTAGCTTTTACCAGTTCAGCGGCTCGTTCAAATTTTGACAGTGTTGGAAAAGTCGAAGTCAGTCAGTCAGTCCCCTTATCTCGCAAGTCTCGTAGCATCTGCTCTGAACCTGGTGCGACGTTTCGTTCCAACCATGGTTGAACGACGCAAGGACGGCGGGATCTAGCATTGGATTCCTTCGGATAAGCCGTACGTTAGGCACTTATGTTTATTATGTCGTCTCTTACATACATGTTAGTTGGTTGGTGTTCATTACTATTCAACGAATTCGCTGAGCCTACCTAACCTAACCTACCGAAGTTATCTTGTCTGATTATATGTGTTAGTTATGAGTTTTCTTTAATATCCTAGTTAACTACCTAACTAACCTAACCTATACCAGACGCATATATAGAAGAACCTATTACGTACTTCAATGCGTTGGCAAAGATTGTATCGGTGAACTTGCAATCTTACTTTGTTGCTTCTCTCAACAGTCTCATCAAATAGTCCCCAGACCGAGTGGGCCAGATCATCTCGTGGAAAATTCTTGGCTTATACAACTAGTTAGTATAGGGAGGTACCTCAACGCAAGTAGCCTACCTACCTCCTAACCTAACCTAACCTAACCTAAGGTATTGGGAGTTGGATCGGTCTGAAGTAACCGGGCAGAGAGATTCTCAGCATCTCTCGATAGGAGGTAAATTCGCTTAAAGAAGTGGGATAGTGATACTTCAACGCTCGTTGCTGTATCAAAATTCATAGGTTTAAAAGGGAAGAGCGTTGTCGCGGGGTTGAGTAACGTCAACCATGCATCTCGCCGGGCGCTCAACTAGGGAGGATGAGGAGGCCCTTCTCCCTCAAATACCAGTGGACGAAGTGGATCCTCACACGAGGCGACCGTCGCCGTCCAGATGGAGAAAGAGTCTTCGCTCGGTTTCGCTCCGAGTGATCTTCTGGCAATGCCTTGCCTTCATGAGGCCGAGTTTCTTAGCAAAGTGGTCGCCGGCCGAAGAGTCGGAGAAGTTGAACGCGGCGTCGTCGAGAAAGCCGCACTCGACGGAATATCTTGACGGCGTCCGCGGCGTCGCCTCCCTGATAGTTTTCATCTTACACTGGACTCACATCCCGTACCCATCCATCAATTCGGGATGGGGATACAAGGACAACACGTCTTTCTGGCTGCTGCCGTTCGTCCGGATCATATACTCTGGCGCTGCCATGGTATCCGTATTCTTCGTCGTCTCCGGCTTCGTGCTTTCCCACCGGTTCATCCAACGGATGCACCGCCAAGAATACACAGAGCTGTTCTCCGGGCTGGCGTCGCTGACCTTTCGCCGGGCCTTCCGCTTATTCCTCCCGGCCTTCGCCTCTAGCACGATGGCCTTCGTCTGTGCTTACCTTGGCATAATAGACATCCCGAAGAAGGTGGATGGGAAACCGTTCGAGCACGGCCTAACGTCGTATCTCGAATACCTCGACATAGAGTCGAACCCGTGGGAATGGACGCCGGACTTTTCCGGATTCTATAATCCTCAACTATGGTCCATCGCCGTCGAGTTCCGGGGATCTATGGTCGTCTTCCTACTCATTATCGGGTTAGCCAAGACCCGAACTGCCGTTCGACTAATCGTCGAAGGCCTGCTCATGATCCATTGTTTTGGACATAAGCGCTGGGACCTTGCCCTGTTCATCTCGGGCATGTCCCTAGCAGAGATCGAAGTAGTATGGAAAAAACCCAAAAACCCATCAGCGAGAAAAGTTGTAAATGCGCTGCTCATACTAAGTATGATACTCGGCCTCTTCCTCTGCGGCTACCCTCGAGACCACAACACCCAAACTCCCGGATACATGTGGTCCAAATATGTTTGGCCCTTCAGCGCGTACCGTCGGCGGTACTGGCTGGCCATCGGAGCCATGCTCCTCGTTGGCCCCATGGCCTTTCTGCCATCGGTCCAATCGATTTTCCTGACTCGACCGGCTAGATATCTCGGGCGGATAAGCTTCGCGCTGTATCTCGTCCACGGGCTTGGTAACCGCACAATCGGAAAGTGGCTCCTTGAGGCCTGCTGGGCGTATATTGGCAAGGAAGGGCTTTGGCCTTACGGAGTAAGCTTTACTGTCTCTACGTTGTTGTATTTCCCTCTCGTGATATGGGCCTCTGATGTGTTCTGGAGGGGAATCGATGTGCCCTCAACAAATTTTGCAAGATGGATGGAGAAGAAATGTGCTGCACCACAGATTGTGAGGTGACGGAATTCGAAGCCAGATATGCGAAGTTCTTTTTGATGTTCTTGATCTCGAAGCATAGTATTGAAGGTACTGTACATATTAGTTATCCCAGGTAATTAAGCATTATATACGCCCGTAGCGCCCGGGCGTTATACTATATACACCTAACCTGTACTTTACTCTGTCCAATATGATCTTGCAGTAGCAAATGAATCCAGCCTTGACTATGCTCAAACTAAGATGGCGTCAAATATGTATCGGGCATGAGATGGCTCCATTCTCGGCGCGCAGACTCTCGGGATGACTCTAGACATCCAAATAAACCCCTTATTTTAATGTGAGCAAGCCAGCGTGCTAAACCCATCGGTCCACCTCAACCCCCCCATAATAGCAATCATGCAAGCCAGGGCAGTCACCACGCTAGCGCCTCCATACACATACGCGTGCCGCCTCCGTAAACCCGTCAGCTCGGCCACCCACGTGGACACGGTGGTCAAGCAGCCGCAAAACCCGTCTTCGACCCCTTGCAACACCTGGCAGCCGACGACGCCGCCGAGCGGGACGTGCGCGAGGTCCCACGCCGCGCCGAGGACCACGGTGCCGAATACGTTGACAAAAAAGGTGCCCAGCGGGAACGAAGGCCAGTACCCGTTGAGGTAGAGGGACGCGTAGAAGCGCCCGAGGCACCCCAGCGGCGCGAACACCAGCGCGAAAGTCGCTCGCCCGCGCCAGGTTTCCGCTGCTCCTTGGCTGCTGAATCGGTCTGGCGGGAGCGCAGAGAGCAGGATGGCCCCGATCCAGCAGCCAAACGCGAGGACGACGGCGAATCGGTCGAGGAACTTGCGGGTGAAGCTGAAGGGAAGCGATGGTGTGATCGGCTCCAGGGCTAGCGCAAGTTGGGCTCCGACGAAGAGGCCCGATATTGATAAAGAAATGGTGGTAATAATGACGGCGAGGAGAGCCATGAAGGAGTAGCCGCCATTTCGGGGAGTAGTTATCGGTCCTGCATCCGGTGTGGGCAGGTCGTTGGATAGAGCGAGGAATATATCTCGGATAAACGAGGAAAAGGACGTGAAGGAGCCGCAGAACCCGGTAGCAAGGCCGATGTAGAGTGGTATAGTTTTCTTGGTAGCCATATGGGCCTTCTTTGCTGCAGCAAGGTCGACATTTACCCTATCCGAGCCAGAACCTCCTGTCTCCTCGTCAACGCCATTTTGTTTCGCCCGCAAGAGTCGCAGCTCATACGTCGGAGTACCCCATTCGTATCGGAAAAGCATACGATCTTCAGCCAAAAAACCTAGGACTAGACTGCCTGCGAAATTGGGCCACACAGAGCTGAAAGCCACAGGAGCACCATCATAAAATGTTAGCGCTTGGAGTCCTAACCGGGCGAGAGTGCCCAGTATTGCGAAGAGGATAAGATAGGAGATGGTGTAAATCTCGGTTGCTAATCTTGAAACCTCCTCTATCTTCGGTTTCTCATGTTCTACCTCCCCTCTTCTCCTCTGCCGAGCTTCCCGGCGACTTGAATATTCGCGCTCGAGAGCCCTTCCCTCTTCAAGTGAAGGCGTAGTACGCAAGCGGCGCTCATCTCGGCTTGAGATAGGTGCTATATCCTCTAGCTCAGGTATGTTTGCATAAGAATCCGGGATATCGTAGTTAGATTGTGATACAGATGAACGACGCCGTTGCACCCGAGCTTTCAGCTGCTCCTGTTCCCTAACATTGGTTGGCTGGGCTGGATCTAAACGGTCTCCTAGTTCGTCTACGTCATGGAGGTTCCTGTACGATCCCGGCGCGTCGTAATCGGGTGAAGATGGTCGCGAGATGTCATGCTGAAGGGTTGAACTAGTAGGATTTTGTGGGAGACGTGACTGGCGGCCATCCATCTCACCATCTCATCTCGGTGATAAATATCTCATGAATTTCTTGAGGTGGTTGATGTCAGAAGAAATGAAATGTGGGTAAATTTAAATACTTAAACATTAAAATATAAAATATAAAATATTAGACTCGTCATCCACGTTTAGGTTTTAAAATAATAAGGTCCTTATACTGAGTAGGTACCTAAGGTAGCTACGTCGACGTCGCTGAACGTGGATTTTTCTTTATGATGTTTACATCGGCCGAGTTTCAATTCTCCTCTTGGCATGTATTTGAGGTCATTTATGTTTTATTGTCAAATATTTGGTCAGAGGTGTTTTAAGTTAGTTACCTGAACGTACCTGGTAAGTTATCGTCGTAGATTACAAAGAACCGTATTAGACGGGCACGGTTTTGGTTATCCTCCGATAGCAAACCAGTATTGTATGGCACCTACCTCCTACATAGTATACGATATCTTATCTAAAACCCACTCCGTAATACCAGGTCCCGAACGCGTCTAAGGTTAAACGGCATTCGGGTAGGCCTTATCTTTTAGGTATCAAGGATGGCGGGGCAGGTTACTGATTACCCCTTCCCCGCGTCAGGAGCTTCTTTTGATAGGTACCTGAACAACTACCTGATTATAGGTATTCAGGTGCCAATAGCATCGCGCATCGCACTTGCAAGCTAAGCCTCTCCGAAGCAATGCAGAAGGTTCAAGGCGGTCTGTCTATCGGAGCAGGTCCTACATAACATGTGCATACCTAAGGTAACTCCCCAGGTAACTTGAACAATAACCCAAGTCTTCCAATTCCTGTGCCACTCAGAACTTACCTTCTTCTTCGTACACACACATCTTACTCTATCCTCATTTCCTCATTATTCGCTATATTGTGTTTTCTAGAAGACTACCTTAGGTCCTTTTTAAATTTAATACATATTTACCTACTTGTTCCCTCATCTCGTCACTCAATAGCTAGCTACCTCTAGCTAGCTACGTGGACAAGTCCTAGGATATCCGTCATGTCGCTCCCTTCCAACGTTCATGTTTCCAAGCACCCGTGCTTGGTAGCTAAGCTGAGTCGTCTACGGTCTAAGAACACGGAATCCAGAGAGGTCAAGTCTTTAATAAACGACATCTCCTTGATCCTCGGCTGCGAAGCTCTAGCTACTTCGTTAACGCCTGTCGACGGGCCAAAGGTACCTATCTTATATTTAACTAGCCTACTCTCTTATTCCACAGATCCGTGGGGGTATTTGTTATAACCCATATCAGTAGGTAGTATAGGATATGTACGGTTAACACGGTATGTCTTTCCATAGGGCGAGACTCCTATCGGCTTCGAATACACGACCACGACCATAAAGCCAGAAGCTTTATCAATAGTGCCTATCCTTAGATCAGGACTCGGTATGGTAGAAGGTGTGTGTGTGTTTCTCTCTCGCCATTACTTCTTTTCCTTCGTCGCATCATATAAAGCATCATCTCCTTTCCTATAATTCTCGAGCCTAATACGTGACGCCAAGCTATACAAACTATTCTTCCCGAACCGGTCCCCGTACATCACTTAGGCTTGTATCGTGAGCCCAGCACGCTCGAGCCCGTCGAATATTACAATAATCTCCCGCATCACGTCTCCACGTCGACAAACGAACCGGGAACGAATGCGTCAAGCCTAGCTATCGTCGTAGATCCCGTCATCGCAACCGGCGGGACCTGTGCTGCCGCCATACAGACTCTCAAGGAGTGGGGTGTTAAGCGCATCATCGTCCTATCCGTTGTCGCCGCCGCTGATGGTGTGCGACGCGCTGCCGAGGAGTGGCCCGAAGCTGTGGAGATATGGGTTGCCGGTGTTGACGCCCAGCTCACATCAAACGGCATGCTGAAGCCGGGTGTAGGAGATGTGGGTGATCGCTTGTTCTTGACGATAGGAAAGTAAAGATACCATAGATAGCCCCATCAGCATGAATAAAATGAGGAATATTTAGGCTAATCGCTTGTGTTGGCTATTTCCATCGTCATAATGGTGCATATCTCTCCTCATCCATTGTAGTCCGGTTCTTCCAACAATCCTCGACCCATTGCCGTGAAACTACTCTAGGAACAGGGGTCCGGTTATTGATGGATGAACGTACTTCTGCTGCTCGTTCCATCTCACCAGTCTCGCTATCACTTATTATTACCACGTGTGTTGTGCTTATGTCCCCTAGATCTTCAGCTATCGATCCCCCTCCATATTTGACCCAATTCTTGAGCTTGAGACATGATATAGGCGAGACTTCACCTGTCACCGCGAAGTGTATCCTTGCTCCCCTGAATAGATAACTCCTCAACCCACTGATGTCGTGGCCGTGATCGGCTAGCTGGTTAAGAAAATCCTCCTTCTTAAAGGGCTCTCCGACGATGACTTCCTTCTTTGGCATGGATTCGAGTAGTTGTCTAAAGTTCTTCAAACTCAGATCTCTAGCGTAACTATCGCCAAATTCATCTACATTCTCCTCCGCTTGGCGCATCGTGGCCTCGGTAGCGTGGAAGATATGTCCCGTCTCAAAAGGGAGGAGAAAGTCCTTGTCACGCTGTGCAAGGCAGTCAAGTACCCATTTTGGTTTGATGATGTCTACGTCGCCAGCTTTTATCAGGCTAGCTACTTTGACTACTTTCTTTTCGCCAATAAGGAGTATGTTGGTTCCCGGATTGGCTCTCTGATGTATCTTGCCGCCGTTCTCCTTAATCAGCGTCTCAAGCTGTGTTTTCGACTTCTTAACCGGAGTTGTGCAATCCGTTAGGACGCAGAACTCCAGACCTTCGAATACTTTGGTTTTTGGGCCTTCGAATATGACCGGAGCGGTGTTGTCCTGACCTGCGATCACGATATCCCTTTTAGTTCGCTTGGTTGCCCGTTTCCTGTGCGTTTCCATCTTCATCGCTTTCTCTTCATTCTCCTTTTCGGCTCGTGCTTTCATATCCAAAAAGCCTTGGAAATCCAAACTGGAATCCCAGCTTCTATCAAGTCGCATGCCCCTGAACCGTGGGAATCGCAACGTAACGCCCTTTGCAAACTGATCCGATTCCCCTGCACTGGCTGCTTTGACAGAGATGACAAGAGATTCACTTGGGCGAATCCAAACGTCGGGTCGAAGGATCTGGTATTTATCACCGCCGGCAAGTTGGATATATTCACTCGGCGGCTTCTTCGGGTCCCAGGACTTCCATTTTCCTTCTGTGAGATGTCGTATTTCTGCGAGATCTTCTGCGCTGAATCCGCCGCCGACTCTGACAAAACTGTAGCATGTTTCCGCTTTCGCTCCGGCTTTGATATCGTTTTCGGAGGCACGAAGTCCGCAGAGAAAGGATCCTAGTACACCACCACGATGACCTGATCCGTAGTAGCCCCCAATGATAATAACCTCCACCGACTCACCAAAGCCAGTCATATACTCTGGCTTAACTTTGATCCAGTTGTCGCTACGATCGTTGAGAGTATACATAGACCTTGGGTTCTTTATAACCAACCCCTCGGAGGCGTCCGATACAATTTTACGCAGCATTGGCTCTATTGCATCTGCCGAGTTTTCCTTGTCGTATTTATGTACTTCTAACCGAAGGGGTACTCCCGGCACAGCTTTTTCGAGCGCATTCCGTCGATCTCGCAGGGTATATTGCGTTAGAGGTCGGTCGTTTAAGTAAAGGATATCAAAGACGCGAAGTACTGGCCGAGGTGCGTTATCCTTGTGTGGGTTCCGCTGTTCTGCGATGGCGGCCGTCTTCAAGGTGCCAAATTTCAACACCTTGTCGAGTTCAGGATCCCACACTATCATTTCGCCATCCAAGATAATATTTCGTACCCCAGGGGCAAACGCATCCTTGATATGACGGGTTAGCGACGAATTGGCGTCTTCGAAGCTCTCGCCATAGAGGTAGGTGTAGTCTTTGGCTTTTCTGGACCAGAACTTAAACCTCTTGCCGCCGGGCACATCGTCACCTTCTTCCATATGTAGTTGCATCCTCTCACCATCCAACTTCTCCTCGATCCAGAACTCGTCATCACCTTCTACCCGATTATTTGAGTTGAGCTTATCGACCATCTTCTGGAAAGAAGTAGACATCTGGTAATGGCAGAGCATGGGTTGGAAACATTGCATCAAGGTAACATTTGTTTGGCCATCGGTGAGCCGGAATTTGGGGTCGTAGAGATCCCAACAAACTTGGCGGAGACTCGACGATACACTAAATAGATCCTGCGCATCAGGATGCCACAGATCCATGAACGTCCTCTCCGTGGCTCCCACCCTCGTCTGCTTTAATATAATGCGAATGAGCCATTTCAATTCTTCTGGGTTCATGCGTTGATAGAAGACTTCGAATATCGGTAGCTGTTCGCTCTCGCCGGACGCGGCCGCCAGCTTGTCTAGCATCTCGTTGACCTCAGCAATACGCATATCCCCGGGTTCTATACGCATGGGTCTCTTTGATAGCACATCAAAACACCTCCCGGTGAAGTCGCCTGCGGCACGACCGGCTGCTGACTTGCTTGGCATCCTCCAGTGTAGGAGATCATAGCCATCTTCAGAGTTCCTATCGATCCTCATTAACTTGACGAGTAGCCTGCTAATATTACTTTCCTTGAGCCCGTACATTCCTCTGTCACGGTCGGAATTGGATAGGATCAAGCGCATAGCAGGGTAGATGTCGTCTCCCACCTCTGTGCGCCATCTTGAGATGAAGCGTTCGATGATATTACGTTTTTGCTCCTGCGGAGAAAGCTTATTCTGCTTCTGAGATGCAGCTCTCGTGCGTGCGAGTTTAGGGCCAGCTTGCGGTTTGTTCTCACTTAGAGGGTTAAAAAGATCTTTGCATAAGTCTGAAAAGAATAATGTTCTCGAGTGATTCTTAGGCCGGTTTGGATATCTTATAAGTGTGTCAGTTTATTAGATATTTCTAGGTATTTAATGTACCTTAGATGGGTAGGTTTAAAAGCTGGTTCCCGATGACTTACTTCGCGTCGAGCTCTTGGAGGGTTTGTCCTCCTGTTTCATATTGGCGACGCTCCTCGTCATCGGCTCCCGCATCCCGTATTTTTCTACGTCGCTGGCTCATTTTTCCTCGGCTTCCTGGATCTTGATGATAGTCGTTAAACAATCCAAGTTGATTCTAGCTGTAGAGGAACAGGTGCAGCTGTGTAGGGTATAACTAAGTCACTTTGAGTGTTTGTGTTTTCAATTGATGCAAGTTCATCTTTTGATTTTACATGCCATCATAAATCAATTGAACAAGTTAAGTTACATGTAAGATTTAATTAACATCGGGTACCTTAGGTATTTTAATGTTAGAGTGTACGATGTTGCCTGGTTCTGCCTGCCGTCTGGACTTTGCCTGAGTGACGTAGGTATCTTTGTACGTATCTGCGTCTGCGCTATGCTGTATAGAGGTTAGTACGTACTTGTACCTACATTCATTACGGATGTACCTAAGCTGGGCAGTTAGGTACATTTTGTGCATGTGTAATGTGTAACATTGATAGCAGATAGCCCCAGCAAGCGCTTAAACCCTACTGGCCACATCAGCCCGATGCGGCTTATGCACATTATATTTTTAGTGTGGGGTTCAATCAACGCGTGTAAACGCGACAATACCTCATACAACTGATTTACTTTTTTTTATGTCCCCAACCAGCTGAATGTATTTCCCAGCCCCCAGTCCGGATAAGAGGGGGAACAACACGCCATTAACCCTTGGACAAACGCTCCCTTGTAAATTCAACACGGTCCAATCGACCCAATCAACTCGATCCCAATTAACCCAATTGACCTCCAAACAATCGGGTCTCCTCCAAACTCCTGTATGACTGCTGGTCTTTTCCCGTTCCTGCCTTCAAGACCCTTACGCCCTCGACACTCGTTTCCACGCATACGTTCACATGCATTCGCCTATATCTTGGCCTCTCTTATTATCATGTTGGGCAGGGCTGTAGAAAGAAAACAGGCGACCGCCCCTCCCTCGCAGCCTGTTAGGAATAACCTCGCAAAGGAATTATTCCCGTCAAGCAGTCCTTCCGCTCAGGATGGAGATATTGCTCGGTGGGCATCCTCCTCCCATGCGGGACGTGCCAACCAGTCGTCAGGCGCCGCGTTGGGGTCTATGAAGGCAGCAAACAACAATAACAAACCATTACAATCTAGATCTTATAATCTGCATCAACCTCACCGTCAATACAGACCAATCTCTCCCGTCACGTCAACCCGAACCATGTCCGAACGTTCCAACAGCGTCGCATCACTATGTGGCAATGCCGGATCATTCCGAGAGGTCTCGACATCTACCTGTGTTTCCCAGGGTAAAGCAAGCGCATCTGCCTACTTTGCAGAAGACGACTTTAGCGACGACAATACTTTGGAGTTGGACCTGGATTACCAACTTCCCGCCTCTCTTCCTCCTCAGCCAGCCGCACCAAAAGCCCCTGCGGACCAGACAGCTCCACCGCCTACGAGTCAAATGTCGTGGGCTTCGTCGCCGCCAGAGCATCGCCACCCTCCTCCAAAACCGCAGAGATCATTGAAACGAGATTCGCCGCAGGATGTCCCGCAACTTGCTCCGCGTCCACCGAAGAGAAAGATACCCACCAGCTGGAAACCGGCGACCGTGTCTAGTACTTCTTCACGATCATTCCATGACCTCAGGGAAGGGAAAACGCCCACAGTCACTGAGAAAACCGGTGATTTATACTGGGATACGACACAGGCCGAGATGAAGGAGCGCCGGAAACAGCTCAAAAATCAGAGCAAAAAGTCCGGATCTGATTTGGAAGACGCTCGTGCCGCCATCGAAGACCACGCCAAACCCAAGGCCAAGGCTTCTGCTATATCATTAAGTACTGAGCAACAGCACGTGCTCGAACTAGTTGTAAAGCAAGGCAAAAGCGTATTCTTCACTGGTCCGGCTGGTACTGGTAAGTCTGTGTTGATACGAGCCATCATCGCAGAGTTGAAGAAGATGTGGATCCGTGATCCGGAACGCCTCAGCATAACAGCCTCTACTGGCTTGGCCGCTTGCAATATTACTGGTATGACGCTACATAGTTTTGCTGGTATCGGCCTCGGGAAGGAAGACGTGCCAACGCTTGTAAAGAAGATTCGCCGTAATCCCAAGGCGAAAAATAGGTGGCTCCGGACCAGGACTCTTATCATTGACGAAGTTTCTATGGTTGATGGCGAGCTCTTTGATAAGCTGGCACAAATAGGGCGCACCATTCGAAATAATGGTCGGCCCTGGGGTGGTATTCAGTTGGTCATTACGGGCGACTTTTTTCAGTTGCCTCCTGTCCCCGATGGAGGCAAAAAGGATGCCAAATTCGCATTCGAGGCCACGACTTGGAATACATCTATTGACCATACTATTGGCTTAACGCAGGTCTTCCGTCAAAAAGAGTCTGGTAAGTTATGATAATCTCATCGAGCTGTTTCATAGTTGATCATTGCTAATGTCTGGCTAGACTTTGCCGATATGTTGAATGAAATGCGCCTTGGTCGAATCAACGAAACTACGATTCAAACATTCAAGGAGCTTTCACGGCCATTAAATTTTGACGATGGCCTTGAAGTAACTGAATTGTACGTACCCCCTCTTTTAGAGAAGCATTCGGACATGTTGCTAACTTCCTTCTTAGATTCCCAACCCGCCAAGAGGTTGAAAGGTCCAACGAGTCCCGATTGCGAAATCTTCCTGGAGAGACATATCATTACGAAGCCTATGATACGGGTGATCCTAATATTCGAGACAAGTTACTTTCAAACATGATGGCTCCTAAGGGTATTGATTTGAAGAAGGGTGCTCAGGTTATGTTGATCAAAAACATGGACGACACTCTAGTGAACGGTTCGCTTGGCAAGGTCGTAGCGTTCATGAACGAAGCTACATTTGAGATTTGGGGTGCTCACGATGGGGAGGTGGGGTCGGGCGACGAAGGTGACGGAGATGCCCGCTCCAAGAAGGAAATCAAAGCATACAGTCGTGACGTTGAGGGAATAAAAGACCACAGGGAGTACCCCGTTGTCCGCTTCACCGCAACGGACAAATCCCACAGAATTCTTCTCTGTATCCCAGAAGATTGGAAGGTTGAGTTACCTACTGGTGAGGTCCAAGCCCAGCGCAGACAGTTGCCTCTCATCCTCGCCTGGGCTCTTTCTATACACAAGGCCCAAGGCCAGACTCTAGAGAGAGTCAAGGTCGATCTTGGTAAGGTATTCGAGAAGGGACAGGCATACGTTGCGCTTAGTCGAGCTGTGAGCAAGGAAGGACTTCAGGTATTACGCTTCGACAGCAAGAAAGTCATGGCTCATCCCCGAGTGATAGGATTTTACAACAAGCTGTACAGCGCAGAATCGGCAATCAAGACAAAGAAGCCAGTGTCCATTTCGGACTTTGCTAACAAAGGAACCGCGGCGTCCTCCAAGGGAAAGGATGTAATTGACTTAGACGATGACGAAGAGGCTATGGCAGCATACGGTTAAGGGTACATAGGCACCTAGGTATTTATTGATGAAGTTTGACTATGTGTTCAGCAGCATCCAGGCGGCATCAGCATGGTTACTTGACCGGCTTACCGAAGCCCGGAAATGAGATGTAATGATACGTTAAATACATGAGCTATGGTGGAGTGTCTCGAATAGACTTCTAAAGTTGTTAGCCGGTATAGATGGTTATATCTCACAGCTTAAAGGGATGCCTATTCCACATCACATGGGATAGTTTGTATATATTAATTCTAATATACCGATACATCCCTCACTACCAGTGTTATCTATAGTGTACCTATAAGCCTATAAGTACTTCGTAAGTACACGCAGTATATTGTATGGGGACTTGTACATACTATGTAGTACCTAGGAAGTGACACAACGCAAGGTCGACTCGGCGGGCGGTTTACTTAGCTAGGAAATGGCTTTACATGTGATTGGTGTTGTCACTTGTGGGTCGTAAGGATGTTATCGATAAGCAAAGCTCAGGGCCTTAGACTTGGACTTTTAGGCGTTGGACTAATTAATAAATCTTGTCTAACGGACAAAAGACCAAAGATTAATAAAAAGTACAACGGCTTTGTTTCTACCTGGGCGGATTACCTGAGACGGCATTACAGTTAAGGTCAATAAGGTCAATAAGGTCAACTCACGTGGTAATTCAACTTTGTTATAAATCCAACCACCTGCTATATTTTAACTGACCAGGTGGTGGTCTTATTCAAACTACCCGTGGCTAAAGAGACCTTGTCAATGCTACGCTCTCGCGAGTCGCGACGGCTTTAACTTTGAATATTAATGCGACCTTCGTTATAGATTTCGATCAGTCTACCGACAGTGGTATCTCCGAAAGACATTCTCTTGAGTCCTCGCAATACTCGCAATACCCACCGTATCCAAGATTACGAAGCGCGCTCAAGTTCCTATCCCCAGAAGCGACCTCGAGGAATTCAGACTCGTGCACTTTCTACACTCCTTAACACTCCCGACCATGGTTTGAGAGTACCGAACTGAAGACATAAACACCCTTTATTACCAGGTGGGATACCAAGTTAACCTGCTCTCTCTCTCTAAAAAAAAGAAGAAAGAAAGAAAAAACGAAAAGATCACTGGTAGCGTGAGATACTACTCGCATTCAAGTTATCTTCTCCAGGAAAGCAGCTTATAAACAACCTCTCCTCCTCCAAAGGTTCGCCGTCCTTGGGTATATTACAGGTAGAAAGCAGAGGTCTTGGAAAGGAACGTATCACGCAATTAAAGATTCTATCTTGTACATATTAAACGGCAAGATTGGTCTTGCAAAGAGTCCCACATGCGATTTCACAAATATTAGACGCGAATAACGATTTCTCTACCTTTCTTCAAGTTGAAGGGGAATCCAAGAATTCACAACTCGGTCTAGCGAATAACAATGGCCGAGAATGCCAATTTATCGAAGTGGCTGGGTGGCTATTATATGGTCGTGCTGAAGGAACCTTTCGGCCAACGTATTCAGGGAATTCTAACAGGTCTTGTTCCCCAACAACACCTTACGCTAGACCAAGGTAAGTCCATGATGAAATATCGTCGAGATACGACCTGGACATATCTAGGTAATATATTAACTAATAGAGAACAGCCTTCGGGGTAGATACAAACCAATTCTTCGGCCGAATAGTCATCAGCGCGAATAACGTTAGCGATATTTCCCCAACCCCGAACCCTACTCTTGCCACTGCTGAAACTACACCTACGTCGACAACGGCACCTCCTTCGGCCTTCCAAGATCCTGCAATTCTAAGCTTGACTCCGAAGGCAAACACGGCTCCTCGTCGTGATCCACGCTATCATGCCCAACCTAATATCGCAGAGAAACGAGATCCAGTCATACCTAATCCTGCCGATCGCTTGACATATTCTTCCCCTGATGAGGCGACCGACGCAGCTGCCACTGTTACACTCAGTGCTTCTACGGCTAAACTACGCATATCCCCGACTCCCCATTCCAGGAGAAATACTATAACAGAACCCAAAGCCCAAGTCGCTCCTATTATACCCAACGAACCATCTGACTCCCGAAAGGACAACCGGAGGGGCGCACGAGGTAGGGGCCGACGTAGAAACAAGGTAGCTGATGGCAATGGCTCCCCTGCACAGCAGACCAGCCGAGGGGCAGGTTGGAGAGAGACGCCCATCCTTGAATCTACTAAGTCGTTCCAGCCATTTGCGTCGCTGAAGAAGAGCCAGAAAAGTAAAGTGGAAGGAAATGCCGAAAATGGCTGGGCTTCGGAGGACGTTACGGACGTACAAGAAGCCGGCGACTTTGACTTTGAAGGGGGCCTTGCCAAATTCGACAAGAGGAAGATCTTTGACGAGATGAAAGAGCAGGACGAAATTGATGAAGCTGAACGCCTGGTATCACATAACCGTCTTCCTCGACCGAAGCCTGGAACGGCTGGCGGAAAGAACCTTCATTATAGCGAGAATGTTTTGGATCTGCCTTCGTCGGCATCTAAACCAAAAGAAGCCCCTGGCGACTACTGGAAGAGTGAAGCTGATGATGACCTCGCCAATGGAGGCGACCGAGCAAGCGTAGTAGAGGGTAGTGGGCGCAGTTCTCGACTCCGTGGTGATTCACGATTGTCCATGACGCGACGTTCGCAGTCTCGCAAGGCCAGCACCACAGCAAGTATTGCTGGCTCGAGTCGAGTCAATTCAGGGGTAAATTCATTCTTTCTCTTCTACTCAGCTACGTTATTTTATGAATTAAGAATTAGGCTAATCTGATGCATTTCTCACAGGGCACTTCAACCCCTAGCGGATTCTATACCGTAAATTCCAATCGCCGAATCGAAGCTATCGCTCACCTCCCGATGCAGACGCTCGAGAATGTGGCACGTCATGAATTTGGTTTCAGTGAGGATCTTCTAGCCGAAAATGCAGGCCGTGGCATCACAGAAGTCGTAATGCGTGTTCTTGATGATCCCGCTATTAGACTTCGTGCGGCCGCTGCGTCGCCGCCCAGTATGACTACCGTCGTTGTTCTCGCTGGTAACAATAAGTCAGGAATTCGTGCCTTGGCAGCTGCTCGCCACCTTCGAAACCACGGGATTAATGTCTTAGTGTGCGTGGTTGGTATCGAACGAGAGCGAGAACTGTTGGAGGATATTAGAAAGCAAGCTCGCCTCCTCCGCAACTTTGGCGGCATCATCTTCAGCAAGTCGGAGCTTTTTGAGCATGTCAGCCAAGCTAGTAACACATTAGAGACGGCTTCGCAAGGCTTCGTCACCCTGATCATCGATGCGCTCCTAGGACTTACGACCCCATTTGAAGAACTCCGAAAGTCGGACCAGGCCACTACTTACGAACTTATGGAATGGTCAAACAGGAATGAAGCTTTTGTTATGTCAATCGATCTGCCAAGTGGCATTGAGCCGCAGACTGGCCGTGTTAACGTGATCGACGGAGCTAAGCTCTACGTCCATCCCCGTTACGTAGTTGCCCTTGGCGCACCGAAAGTTGGTCTGTTGAAGGCGCTGGAGGCGGCTGATGACCGAGATATCAGTATGGTAGGGGAATGGAAGTTGTTCCTTGCTGATATCGGGCTGGGACCGGTCATTTGGCGGAAGGTGGCGACCAAAATTCGACGCGGTATTGATTTTGACGATAAATGGGTATTAGAACTGCGATACCAACCGGGAGGAGAGGACGACTAGGTCACTACTTTCCGCATTCATCTCTGCATGGAAACCAACTTGCATTGGAAGTACTTGGTTATTCAGGATGAGCATATATCATCTACATTTACGCCCCTCGCCGTTGAGTAACAAATGACTTGCTCTTAAGGTGGGATTCTTTCTAGCCTATGGAGGCTACGACCTAAAAAAAATCAAGGTAGAGTTAGGCTGACTGACAGTCTATGGCCATCACGACGAGAAAGAGGTTGAGATTAAAGCTACACGGTAAGGACAACATGTCACTACGCCAAGTACACTCAAGACTCTCACATGTTTTTCGGCCATTGTGGTGGTATCTATATGCCTTTACCTATACACCTATACGAGGACCTTTGCGGGGTCAACGGCGAGGTATACAAGAAAGGCCTACCCGTTCATGCGTGTGTATTATCATCATCATCGGCTTGGCCCTAGGATAAGGGGCCAGCGAAGTTATAGCGCTGATATCCTCGTCGAAAGAAACGGCAGCGAATAAAAATATTTACTTGTTGTGATTCATAAGATCAAGTGTACATCTGCGCCCGCTTACTGTTTTAATGTTTAATGCTTCGTGGTGATAGTTGACGAATGGCGAAGGAATCTATTCGCAAATATTTCGCCTTGCATACCTCCTTAGGCACCTACCCTCCGAAGCGTAAGGGGGGTACGAATAATTCCGTAAACTTCCAATTAGCATCTGGACTGCTAGGTTTGTGTAGAGCATGTAAAATGTAGATCTTAACTAATATTATTCTACGATCAATAATTAGATTAAACCGTAGGGCGTGAAGATGTAGGTAATTTGATGTTGTAATTTAAACGTTTTCTACTATCTATTGACACTCGCTTAACTCGTCCAGAGCTTGCAAAACGTTATCGACGTTGGTATATTCATTCATCCAACACTTCAGAATAATATCCCCAGCCCAAAGCTCACAAACGTCGCTAGGGAACGTACGTTCCCGAAACAAGTTATCGACCATTTGTGAATAAGCTTCTCCTTCGTCAATCGACTTGAAACATCCTGCAGCTCGATACGACCAATGTCCGGTAAGGATTGTGTACAGGATAGATGCAATGCTAAATATATCCGTGGCAGTTGATGCGACCCATTCGGCATTGGGATCAAAAAAGCCAGAGTCTGGCAAGCCTTGCCCATTTAGCCCGAGTTTTCGACATGCTGAGCCGCCGAAATCACAGAGGTAGATATCGAGAGAGGCAGTAGTAGTAGTAGCCGTAGTAGTAGTAGTAGTACCATGGACAAGGAAGTTGTCGGACGTAGGTCAGAATGGATCACCCCTTGCCGATGGATATAAACGACCGACTCGACGACTTGCCGACACCATTTCTTCCGGACGGCGAACGGAACGGCACCCTGGTCGTCGAGATACGACTGGAGACTCCCGTGGCTAGCTTCGGCGAGGAGTAATCCTGACGGAAGGCCCGGTTGCCCGTCTTGCCACCCAAAACACTGGATGATTCTAGGGTGGTCCTCTAGGACTTCGAAGATCCGGCGTTCGGTTGCGAAACAGTCGGCAACGCGAGAAGCCCACTGCTCGCTGATGCCTTCCTCGACAATTGTCAGGGGGCATTTTAGGACGCTGCCGGGTTGGACTCGGATGAGTTTGATGTGGAGTTGTATACTACTGGTTGGGCCATAGGGTTATAAACCGTGTTTGATGGGATCGCGCCAACGACCTTGTCTTCATGAAAGACACCCTGAAGACAAGTTATTTAAACCAGCAAATCAGGTGACTCAGGGGGATGTTTTTTTTATGTTTTATTATTATTATTATTTTCTTTTGGCTTTACGTGGCTGCGCATTTACGCGTTTCAATACGCCTTTTATGCGTTCAATGTGGCTTAGGTATGCGGTGTTACATCTATGTCTTAGAATCCGAGAGGTAGGTACATTATTTATTTATGTATGCCCGAACTTGTTTGTGCCCCATCACCAAAAAGATGGGAGTTGGGAAAAGAACGACCTGTCGTTCCCGAAACTGCCTGCTGATCAGTTGAGCGCCCGAGAAAAACCTATGAAGGTCAGGGTAAGTAAGTTAAGTATGCGATTCCGTGATGGCCTCAGTCCCTATAACCGGTTTCAGCCTTGTTACTGGGAGGTCCATTTTGGAACGAGATGGGCCTCCTGACAGAGGGACCAGAAGGTAGGGGGGAGACGCGCTGGGAGAGGGAAGGCATCTTCTACCTACCGTATTATTAGATAGCCGAGCATTTGTCAGTGCACTGTCATAGTCAATTAAGTCTGCAACGGCGTGGGCCAGGTAATAGAAGTAAGATACTAAGAGATATCTTCTACAATGACAAGTGAGCATTCAATCACTTAGCCGCCCTTTTCGAAGCCCACCGCGTTCTTAACGTCGTTTTCCAAGCCTGTATTAATGCGTCCTCAACTCCAGGCTATTCAAAATCTAGCCCCCATGATACGCCAAACTTGGTTCTAATCCATTCTCGCGGAACGTATTCGGCTAGTTCCCAGTCGATAATTCCAATTACGCCTTTTTGATCGACGATAATATTTGTTGGGCTGAGATCATTATGGGAAAAGACGAACGTAGAACAGTCCATTCCCAGGTTGTTCTTGCTGCTTACTTGTAGCGCATCTAGTTGATAATCATTTGGATCGAGAATATTTAACCAATTTTGATCAAGCAAACAACCACCGTTAATACCGGTAATAGAATCGAATTTCTAAAAAGAAAGCTCCTTGCATACCTATATACACGATCTTGCAAACGCAATATTGCTTCTTATCCTCATCCATTTCTTGCCAGGCCTCGTTCAACGGTATACCAGGTATTCGGGATAGAAATAAATAGGTCCTATCAACTTCTTGAGCATAGTATAAAACCTTAGGGATAGCAAAACTAAACTTTTGCTTATGAAGCCACTGTAGCGTAACGTGTTCTTTCGTGGCAAGCTGGTTTGGCGGATTCATTTTAGCTTTGAATAACATATCGCCAAAGCTACATAACGCAGAGGCGCCCCCTATATCGCGGAATTAGCAGAGTGTAGTAGGGAGAGCGGCTTTGTAGGTGAGCTAGACGTGGAAAGTGGCTTGGTATGAGGTGTATGAGGTGACGAGCCTGATTGCAATGGCTAGGTCGAGCCGGAGAGCACATAGTACCAGCCATCAGCACTATCTCTCCATAGGTATTCGGAAGCATACGGCTTCTTCTCCAAAATCAATTTATCGCCGATGGACCATGAGACATGGTTTATTTGTTTAACAGTATTGCGAATACGATCAGGCATAGTAGGAAGTTGTGTTGTTTGAAAGGATTGCTACCTATCTTCCGCACACCGCAAAGCCTGACCGTGACAAATAAAACAGCTTAAAAAGTTCTCCTTGTTCTGTGATTGTTAGACAACGACCGATCAAGATTTTCTAATGGTACACAGGGTGTGTCTCTTTTGAATTTGTTAAAAAACAAGTTAGAAACATGGGCATTTCTAGGTCAGCATATGATGCCATGTATTGCTCAATGGCTGATAGCTTCGCTTAAGGTCTCCCAGTTTTCGAACTGTTGACTTACTACCCAAGTACTGTACCTAGGTACCTAGGTTAGGTAGTTAGGTAGGTAACCTTCAACCCGTCAACATCGTACTTTTCTATATGAATATGAACAGAAGCTTAATTGGCTCACCCATCATGACGACTTTAAAGAGAACAACACCGTTCCGGAAGGCCCAAGGACGAGTTCAGCGCGTTTTTAACGCGATCAAACGAATCGAGAAAGAGGGATTGCCACCTGTCGAAACTCGGGTTGAGTTATTTATCGGAACCGGACTTCAAAACCTTGCGTAATTGGAAATATATTGAGCTCTATAACCACGTCTCGAGAGAAATCTCTGGCACATTGGAGGACAACGAAAAAGATTCCACGGAATATACGGTTTATGCAGAGAATAATTGCTTTATTTGCCCATTACCATTAGTTATGTTAATTATACTATGTAATAATTTTATTCAAGTTTTATCCCGCTAAAGAGAAGCTTTAAAATAAAATACTCCCCTTGCTAAGCTTCGATCCTAGCGTTATTTAGTATCCAATGGGACGCACGGATTTACTGCGAAAGCTACAACGAACGGGGTCCAGTTCCCGTCATGCCCAATGGTTGTTCACGCATAGCATGGCATGTTCTGCCCCTCGTATGAGGATAACGAGAGCTGTAGCTACCTAGACCTACCTACCTAAATCTAGTATCTATTATGTCTCTGCAACTGCGACTGCAACTGCAACACCTAAAATAAAAGGCAGGCTCTCTCGTTCTACCGGGACAACTCTCCATCTCAACTTGTACTCCTTCTCAAGATGGCACCTCCGACAGACTATCCACCCCGCCGGAGCATCCTCGATAAACCTATACTTATTGCTATTCCCATCCTAATCGGCCTGTTCCTTACGCGATCACCTTTCTTCATGACTGCTCCGGCCTTAGATCCCGCTGCGGCGGGCGGCGTGGCTTGGGCTGACGCTCCTATCAAGCTTGTGACGACTCCTCAGTACGAGACCAAGAAGGTATTGCCTGCCTGTTCTCTAACTAGTACCTAATTCATTCTTTGCTTTCCTAATTAACGCCCCTGATAGACCGATATATTCACCACCGGCGCCACCCACATGGCCCTCTTGCACAACGCCATCCTCCGCGGGTACAACTCCATCTACCAGCAGGCGCCGCGCGTCCAGCCCGGCGACGCCGCCGACTTCGTCGGGTACGCGCTGACGTGGCACAAGTTCGTCGCCTCACACCACGACGACGAGGAGGCGACTCTGTTCCCCAAGGTCGAGGCCGTGCTGGGCAACGACACCACCATCTGGGCCGAGACGCACAAGGAGCACGAGGCGTTCTTGGGAGGCCTGGCCCGGCTGGAGAAGTACCTCCGAGGCGTGCAGGAGAAGGGCAAGGTCCCCGCCACGGCGTTCGACGGCGAGGAGCTTGTTAGCATTATGGGGTCTTTCCGCGAGCCGTTCGAGACCCACTTCCACCGCGAGGTCGCGACCATCGCCGCGCTGGCCGAGCACCCCAAGGCGCCGGCCCCCGGGACCCCCGAGGCGGAAGAGGCGGCGGCTACGTTCAAGAGCTGGGGCAAAGCGACGGTGACGAAGGCGGGCACGCTCGACGTGGTGCCGTTCTTCCTGCTAAACCTGGACGGGACGGCGGAGGAGGGCTTATGGGCGAACTGGCCGCCGATGCCGGCACCGATCAAATGGGGGCTGGTGAACGTTGCGGGCGCGTGGCACGGGCGCTGGTGGAAGTTTAGCTCTTGCGCGGGGGGGAGGCCGAGGAAGTTGTATGCGTTGGAGTAGGGTATCTAGGTTAGTGGTGTTTAATGAAATACTGGGGTGAGAGAGGAGAGAGAGAGAGAGGTTCTCGGGGAAAGGGGAAGGAGAAAAGGAGGGAGGTATGGAAGATAAGAAACGCGTCCATGATGAATGATACCCAGGTCGGCTTAGGGTCAAATGTACTGTTGATGATGATGGAGTCTTTCCGATGTTGATGTGAAGTTCTTTTTGTATCAGTGATAGATGCCTATGCGGTATACACTGACATACTAGTCCTGATATTAATAGCATTAGGCGGTGATGAGAACAATGAGAATGAATAATCATATATCTTATTTACTCGGTGTATTCGCTCGACTCGGAATATACACTACGCTTCGTCATCTCGTGTACTTCCATGGCGAATAGAATGTTCGCAGTAATGTAGGTAAGTCAACCATGTTCAGCTACAGGATTTTAGATATTATTAAGAGCCAGTCCATTCTTCCCCCCCGCCCCCCTAGTACATGGAAAGCATTCACGGCCTCGAAGAAAGGGATATACTTAAACACAGGTTAGTTCAAAATCCTAGAAGATCTCGACCTTTCTCATGCAATGTAGCAATAGCAGACAAAGGTTATATATAGTATCCGAAGCATTACTAAACTTTTTTGCTCGGCATTTGGTGGCCCTACATAAGTTTTACGGACATTGCGAAGAAGACAAAAAAAGTCTAACGGAAACCGCCAACTTTCTACGAGCCCCTACGTCCGCTAAAACAATCCATCTTCTTATCATATATGTCCACAACCGTTTCCGCCTGTTTCGCCGAAGCCTTATTTCTTCTTGAGCACGAAGATCTCGCCCTGGGCCTGGTTGTCGGAGCTGATGAAGAGGCGCTCGCCGGCGGGGTCCCAGCTCAGCGCGGCGAGACGCCAGCAGGAGCTCATGGTCAGCGAGGGCGAGTTGCAGCCGCCGGGGTTCTGGGCGCCGATGATGTTCTTGTAGCCGGTCTTGCTGTCGGCCGGGGCCACGGGCTCATACAGGCCGTCCGCGTTCTTCTGGAAGGGCACCTCGGCCACGAAGTAGCCCTGGGCGGGCTGCCGGTCCCAGCTGCCGTGGAACGTGATGTACAGGTTCTCGCCCTTGGCGTCGAAGCCGTTGGAGATGGGGGCCATGTGCGCCGGGAACGACAGGCGCGGCGGGATGGACTTGCCCACGCACGACGCGTCGTTGAAGGTCGAGTTGGGCGATACGACGAACTGCGAGCCCGTCTTCAGCGCGGTGTTGTCCCGGAAGTTGGACGGCTCCCACACGGTGAAGCAGGTCGGGTAACCGAACCAGTTGTTTGCGAGAGGCGCGGCAGGGTCGCCAACTAAATAGCGATGATAAAAAAACATCAGTAATTATTTTTGAGATATCTTTATCAGGCTGTCTGGAACTTACGGTAGTTCAGCTCCTCAGCAGGGTTGTCGATGTGAATATCCGTCGACTGGCCGTTAACCGTCCTCCTGAAGTCGTCACCGCTGTTCTCAGCGCCCCATACGTGGCCGTTAGGGTCGAAGGTAAGAGCAACTTCGTTACGCAGACCGTAGCCCAACACGGTACCTTGACTATTAAAGGAATAGCCGTTTGCAGGTGCCTTGCTCACGTCAAAGACTTTGACGATAGCACGGCCGACCTTCGGGTCAATAGTTGGGTTGTCCCAGTTGGAATTGGAGCCGACGGAGACGACAATCAGGTTAGGGTTCTTGGGAGAGACAACAACGGTTCGGGTCGAGTGAATACCCTGGCCAATGCCGCTAACTACGGTCTTCTGGCCCGTCAGCGTCAAAGCCGCGGCATCGTACGTCCACGACCAAGCGGTGGTCTGAGAGCTAGCGTAGAGGGTCTTGCCATCAGGTGTCAAGCTGAGACCGTGGTTGAGACCCGAGTTCTGGTAGAGCGTCTTGGTGCTGTTGATGCAACCATCCGGACCGAAAGTGTGGACCGAGATACCGGAGCTGGCTTGCAAGACCAGCATGTTGCCGCGAGGGTCGAAAACGATAGTTCGGGGCTGGCGGAGACCGCTGGCGATCTTTGTCACTTGCCAGCCAGAATCAACCGTGTAGGCATACCGGGGAGACGCAACGCCCGAGCAGCTGGTTGGGAAGGGGAACGACGGAGCGCTCTGGGACAGGACTGACGTATCTAATATTAGTGTTGCCCCTATTCTTCCTATATAAGCAACCAGGACTACTCACCCTGGCCCACCAGGGCAGTCACCACGGAGGTTGTTAACAAACGCATATTGATATCCAATCTATGACAAGTACAGAATTAAGTAGTTAACCTTAGTCACCTGACGGAACGCGAAGTCCTTTGAAAGAAGCTAGGATGGAGTGGGCTATAGAGGAGGTGCCATGTTATATAGTAGTTGATCTACAGCTTCACTCTCAAATCCACTCCTGATGATGCAACGCCATACTCCGTACGCAAGCCATCTTGAACGCGGAGAGCCCACGAACCGGGGTTCTTGGCGCTCTGAAGTAATTAACAGGCAGGTATCTTGAGATGAGGGCCCAAGGAGACGCGAGGGCTGATTGGACAAGCTGCTGACAGGTCGGTCATATTTAGGCAATGGGGGTCAAGATTTCCTTATATAGCAGACGCTATACCACGTTATACCATGTCGTCTTAAGCTAGAGGATATGTAATTATGGATATGACAAAATAAGGCGTTGTTGTTTTCGGCCTGCGGAGGCAGATCATCTTATTGATGTAATTAGGCGGAAAGACAAAATGCAACTTCACAAGATCGAGTCTCGGCTGGGGTCCCCCGCAGGCACTCGCCTCTCACCGGCAGATGATGAAGAGAAGGCTGCCTGGTCGAGTAATGAACAACCGATACGGTAGAATAGAAAGAAAGATATAATAATAAACCTCGCTATCAAATAGGCAACCCGTCAGGAACGAGCGGCATGAACAACCAAGACGGTGTCGTAAGCTTGGGGGTGAGGTATGAGGTATTCTCGAAGACGAGATATTTTTAATACCTATACGGTGACCTCACCACACCTCTTCTTCATGATCATTATATTAGATGCTCGTGGTAGATTAGTCGTGTGGAGTGTGATACCTAATACGGGGAATCGGACTGTGAATATTTTAGATCTTTATGATACCTGATATCATCGTCATTATCGTCACTATCGTCATTTACATGTTGATATCATGGAGTTCCCGAGCTCTATCAGGTGCGGGTGCCTTTAGGGGAGTTGGCTATTTATAAGATGCCGTTAGTCCCGACGACATCGTGTATCCCATAGGAACATCACGAAATACGCTGCTGCATAGGACGCCAAGTGGAATATGCCTATAAAGTCGTAGCACCAACCTTGTCGTCGAGGAATATCAGCTTCTTCGTAGGTACCCGTTCAACAGAGCAGTAAACAACTGAAGCTGTTGAGTCGAGTGGATACTGCTCTGAACCATAATAAGGCAACAACTTGACCGAATTAATTTTTTGACAAATTCTAAGATAAAACTCGGTTGCCGTCCATAACCCGCCTCTGGAGAGAAATCGTATCTTCAATAAAGGTCTGGAACTTTGAAATTCTGGAGAAATTCTGGGGAATCTCCAAAATGGATTCGCCCTAGTGTTTCACTTTGCATTACTTAAGCACGTACCAGCGTACCTACCTAGGTCTAGGTAAATGCCAGGTAAGTGCCCGGAAAAAGATCTTCGCCGCTGTGATGTACCTTGAACTGCACAGTGCGCGCCCTTTGCCACGTCCTGCCACGTCCTGCCACGTCATGTCTTGATTGGTTATTTTCCCTTCATAATTTGCTGTCAGCCTGTCAAACATAGCTTAAATTGTTAAGGTTAGCTCAATGCTTGGCTCCTAACTGGCAGTTCTTTTCCCACTGTACCCCCTTGGTCTCATAATCTCATTTCTATTTCTAAATTTTTGACCTCGTATCCATATCTGGTCTTTCATTCAAACTTCCAGCCCCAAACCTAGAACCCCCTTTTTTTTTCTACTCTCCCCGCCTCTCGGCAACCTTCGCGCCTCGTGTGTGGATTGTCCCCGTTCAACTTTATCGACGGCACCAATGCAGTCGTTTTGCGATCTGCTAGATTGATACGATAAAGTTCGACCCGTTGATCGGTTGGACAGCGCCAAAAAAAAGAAGGGTAGCGTGTCTGACGCGTGTGCGTTACTGACCGTCTAATTGCCTATTTTACAACCAGGTACCTATTCATCGTCAATCTATAATCAAATACCTTCGTCGCGATCGAGCCTTCCGACGGGGAATTATCTCTCTATTGTCGCTCGCTACTCTGCGCATTTCGATCAATACAGATATACGGATAGACGGCGGTAACGGGAATCTTCATGTATAACTGAATAAGCCATCCTCGATCACGAAAACGACGATATAATCAACGAATTATCGACTGCATGAAAAAAGAAGAGACGACTATAATAACTGATATAGCTTGTTAGCAAGCCCACCTTTCTGACTGCCGTCTGCGAGGGCGTCGCTGAGCTCCATCATGGATCTGCTTCGGCGCGCTTACAGGCGTGTGCCTGCGGCCCTGAATACGCCCCAGCTTCCTACCGCGGGCGAGAAGAGACCTCAGCTCAACAGGTTAACATCGCGGCTCGCTTTCTTCAGAAGACCTCTTAGATTAAAAGGCAACTCCAGCATTTCCGTTCCCTTAGGCGTGGTGGTTCTATTTCCATGCATTGTAGTTGTCCTTATCCTCGTATTATTCGTCAGGCATCCTAGCTCTCCAGGGAGGATATTGATGCCTGCTGGTGCTCCTCCAGCTATCCGGTACGTTATTTATTTATTTTATATTGTACACAGTTGCTAACTGCTGTTTCTGAAAATAGTAAGATCAGCGAAGAACACGACAAGGTATTCGTTACAGGCTGCCTCGAACCCGACACCACGCAAGAGCGAGTAAATGGCGCGTTCGTCGTCCTCGCCCGCAACAAGGAGCTCGAAGGTGTTATTCAGTCAGTCAAGTCTATCGAGCGCCACTTTAACCGGTGGTACCACTATCCTTATGTCTTCCTGAACGATGGAGACTTCAACCAGACTTTCAAGGATGTTGTTCGTAACTACACTTCTGCCCCGGTCGAGTTTGGCAAGGTCGGGCCAGAGATGTGGGGATTCCCAGACTGGATAGACCCCAAAGTTGCGAAGGAGGGTATTGCTAAACAAGGAGACGCTGCTGTGATGTACGGTGGTTTGGAGAGCTATCACGCCATGTGCCGGTTCTACTCTGGGTAAGCAAACAAACACGACAGTTCTCTGGACTCAGCTAACACGGTGCAGATTCTTCTATGATCACCCCCTTCTTGCCAAATACGAGTGGTACTGGCGTTTGGAGCCCGAGATCAAGTACTTCTGTGATATCACATAGTATGTCTTCAACTCGAATCTTGGATTTTCCACCGGTACATACTAACGCCAATATGTAGTGACCCCTTCCGTAAGATGATTGAGTATAATAAGACTTACGGTTTCACTATTGCCGTCAAGGAGCTTCGCGAGACTGTCCCTAACATCTTCCGTTATGCCTCTGCCTACAAGCGCCTAAATAATATCACGTCTCAAGGACTGTGGGAAATGTTTGTCGAACCCAAGCCGGAGAAGCCGGCTCCCCCTGAGGACGACCCCAACTACAAGCCACCACTACCTGAAGAGATCTTACGAAGTGACCCGGGCCGAATGAACTTACCCGAGATTGATCCCGAAGCCATGGAAGGTGAAAGTTATAATATGTGTCATTTCTGGTCCAATTTCGAAATCGCGAAGCTCAGCTGGTTCCGAAGCAAGGAGTACAAGGCCTTCTTCGAAATGATGGACCGCAGTGGTGGTTTCTGGATGGAACGAGTAGGTCGACCCCAATAATTTTGAGGAGAAATTCAATGTTGCTAACTATGCATTAGTGGGGTGATGCCCCTATTCATTCCCTTGCTGCCGGTATCCTTCTATCGCCTAAGGACATCCATTATTTCCGTGACTTCGGTTACCGACATACCACCATCCAGCACTGCCCGGCCAACGCCCCTGCTCGCCAACTTCCTCGTGAGCCTTTCCTAGAGAAAACAACCGAAGACGAGCGGAAACGAGTGGAAGAAGATGAGTATTGGGACCAGTGGGACCCAGAGAAGGAGAACGGTGTCGGTTGCCGCTGCCGCTGCGATACTGACATTGTAGACGTTGAGGGTAAGGAGGGTTCGTGTCTGGCTGAATGGGTTGACGTTGCTGGTGGGTGGGCCAGCCCGTAGTGAGAGTCTGTCGGCTCCAGACATTTGGCAATTCCCATTAACAACAATTACGGTTGGATACCAAGTATCTTCTTAGCGATCTTTTTCCAAGGCATTGCCCGGCACAGAATTCTAACGATGGAACGACGATTGTATTTGGTCTAGATGTGCTCTTGGTCGCTTTTTGCCCGCGGGAAGGGGTGCTTAGAAATGTTGGGTTTCGGATAACGGCGCAGCGAAGGCTGATAGGAGTGTAGCATATCACGTATTAAAGGGGATAAATCGTCTGCAACTTATATGGCCTGGTGGTTTTGCCATAGAAAGGCGTCACGAACCTAGAGGCGGTTTGATAGGTTACTTGTCGGTTACCGCCTAGGTTAGGGACGGTAAGCATCATAATTGTGCATGTAGAAGAGCTGCACCCTCGTGGTCCAGTTGAGTTGGCATACTATATTGGGCTTGACATCAATCGTATATAATATTCTCGTGTTAACAAAGTGATTCGCTGTTCCTCTAAGCATAGCCATTCGGCATAGATGTGATTGTAGATACGAATTCACGCCAACTTATAATGATTCTCGTTTGAACTTTACGCATTTCCCTTGGGAAAATGTATGTATTTACATCTTCTCAAACTTGCAGGCTGTATATAAGAGGCTAGATAAATCACGAACAATAGGACTCGTGCTTAAACATTGAACAGGGCCAATGTCTACCGAGCTTAAGTATCGTTACAAACGGCAAGTTGCTCAGTGTATGTTCATCTTACAAGGCAGTTTAAGACAGGGTTATCATCTCTTAGACGTAAAATAAGTTACTTGTAACGTGGCACTAGTCTTCAGATGCAGACATTCAAGACTCAAATGTGCAGAGCAATATCTCTTGACCTCCTTTCATTTGAAGGCTTCTAACGAGGCGACTACGGTTCAAAGCAAATACTCCATTGGCTATTCCCTCCGCACTCCACGAAATAGAAACCGTACCCTAGTTTAATAGGAGATGGTTCTTAAAGGCCTAAAGGCATAATTGTCTTTGAATTTATTGTGGAGGTTTGTTTTCAGTTCGGCTTCGGGGGTTCTAAAGGGGAGATTATAGAAGTCAGACTTTTGATAGTACTACTGAGGGAGTTTTTAAAAATCAAAACGACGAGGTGTTCGACTCTCTTGGAAACCCGAGTCTTGTGGTGCAGGACATACCACACAGATGCTAGGGTGTCAAGAGCACTCAAAGAGTTGGGCATGAGTTGATACGGGATAGCAAAATTCGAGTATGGCACGAATTTGCTGTTTCTCAAGACAACTCCTAACCAAGATCCTAGCCAGAGGATTATATCGTTGGATGTCTCGTTGAGTGTCTAATATTGAAGAGTCTATCTATATATTTTGGAGTGGTATTCCGAATAATTTGATCATCGACACTCCTATTTCTAGTGACCTATCTTTGTAGAAATTACTTCAAGCTGTCACTCAGAAGTTTATTACACTAGGCTTAAAATCCACGACGACAGAAACGAATGAATATCGTACATATGTCGGGGTGCTCAAAAGCTACCGGCAAAATGTGTCAATTTAGGTATCGTAGGACCATACCTACCTACATGGTCAACGAAGTATCATACTCCAACGAGGGGCAGAACGGCGCTCATAGGGTGTAGATATCTCACGAAAGGCCTTGTTCAATACTATAATTCCAACAGGATATTGCACATGCAAGATCTGAATACCGACTTTGATGGTAGAACGACTAGTTTTCCGTCAGTTGGATGGCTATATGCCGGTGTAAGCAACTGAGCAACTACTAGCCCGTCGTCGCTAGCGAGACAGGAATCTTCATGTGCATTCGGATGAAAAATAACATGATAATCTGTCCGTGGTGCCTACAATAAATGCACCAAATGCAGTCCCTTTTCCAATAGATTGAATTGGAAGTTATCAGCCTATAAAATGTGATTTATACCGTCTACTCTTATAAACAATGGGCATTATCCATTACTTAGGTTTTCACCGGAACTCCAATAGGATACAGCCCTGCAAAGAGCTATTTGCACTCTACGACTGTATTAGCTGGCTGTTTAAATACCTTCTTCACGATCACAGATGATGCTGAAGGATTCCTTGTATGAGTGGTGGATTATGTGTACCCCTAACTCACAGAGAGGAGTTCGACTGCAAAGTCCTGCCTATACTCGCTATCTACCAATGATATAATCGTCGCCAGCGTAGTATTCATCTTGCGGTAAGATCTTCATACGTCCGCATTTAGTCATATATATGTATATCGTATTTCTAATGATCTGGTAGGCTGTCGACCTCTAACTAGCCAGTACGGCATTATTTTCCGAGACTTCCCACGTGCATTCCACGTATCCTTACCAACAAGTAAAACCCTTAAAGGGTCTTTTTACGGTATACTCAGCGAATATAGCTAGGACATATATTTGCCTATCTATGGGCCCAAATGCTTGGCGGACAGGACAACATGATCAGACTTTCCACGTAGCCATCTACCAATGATGGATGAGGGGTGTTTATGCATCCCCTCAATGGTTATGTAGGGCTAGAGCAACTGTAGGCGATACGAGGCACCGTGGCGAGGTGAAAATAAGTACCTAAGGCAGAGACGGGAACAAATGATGAGGTGTATAAGACTAGAGAAGCTATAGCATCGTAATAATGCTCGCAAGGCTCACATCACTTAAGGTTCCAATCGCGGGGGCTTTCTGCTGCGTCCGGTGCATGAATATACCTACCAACCATATGTTGTCCCGCGATGGTAGGTTGGGAATAAAGGCGGAGGAGCCAGTTGCGCCACGCATGTTAACAAAATCAGATGTCGGTGAAAGAAGAGATGCTTCGACCGCCTCGTAGGCGCCTCACATGCTATACAGGCGGCATACTATATGTACCTACACCTGGGCGGCATGAGATAGTGAACCGATATTTATCGCACCCCCTCACCAATAGAATGGCAAGGTAGTATCGTGGGAATTTGCGATGCAAGCCGGGGTCAAGGAAGCTGACAGACACATGGACAATTTGATGAGTCGGCAACGTCATTAAGAAAAAGGGGGCATGATGGCGCCAACATAATGGTAATGGTTAAAACGAGAGGAAGTGCTGACTGATCGCTTGCACTAATGAGAAGGCGGCGAAGTACACGTCGGCTTCGGTAAGATACACCATCCCTCCTATGCAAGACTACTTCGACACGATGCAGGGAAGGGACAAGCAACCTCTGACCATCTGAGTAGGACTTTTGTCTAGTGATCGATGCTACGAGGAATTAAGACGAATGGGGGGCAAGGGATGGGATGGGCTGTAAGGTGTAGCCGGCTTTAACTCCTTAAGCGCATGAGGATTTCAATTTAGGGGGAAGGGAAGGGGAATGAAAAGGCAAAAGCGGCATACGCTGATCAAAAGACCAATACTACTACTACTTCTCGCGTACATAGTAAGTTAGGTAGGGAGGGTGAAAAAGAGACATTCAGGAGACATGAACTTCGGTGTGCTAAGGCTACTAACGACTTGATGCAAATTAGAGAAGGTTTCTATTTGTGCAGAAAGGGACCTGTGAATGTGATGGGCCTTTTTTTGGGCTGACACCTTAATAACACAGGATTCAATTATCACAGGAAAACAATAATGATCCAAGGGACCTCGGGATTGCTTTTGGGTCGCGCTCGGGTAGTAGGCGACACTTAATTCACGTTCGCGGAACAATCCAGACTCTCTACACAGTAGCGTCGACGGCGCCATCGATTCGCGCTTATCTTCCCTTCCCATAAACCTGACCCGTCGTATCCGATACCACGGGATAATGTGATCCGTTAGTTAGCACGGCAAAGTGATACACATACCTCCTACCTGACCTAGTAGCCTACGAATGAATGTGTATATGCGCTGAGCTGAAAAAATGATGACGAAGGTCGCTTGCGATGCTTGGAAAAACTGGAACTCGGACCCAAGGACTAAAAGTAAAAGGGCCAAGCACGAAAAGGTTTTAAAGGGGAATTGGGGGGTGGCGGAGGAGGGGAATAGAAAACGTTTCGTGATCCCGTTCATCAGACATATTACGACCAGTCCGGGCTGGGTGGTTCGGGAGCACCAAATGGGAAAGATGATCAGTGACGATGTGAGCCTGCTCCGGGGGAGCGCCACTACTGTAGTGTAGCAACCTTAGGTATGTAATGTAATGTATTTTATTTGTACGGAGACAGGCATCGATTCCTCCCGCTAGGAAGAGGGAAAAAGGCTATTGTTTCGTTGCCGCTTCTGAGGCGTTGTCTGAGAAAAGGGGGTCAAAGAGATAAAAAATAGGTATCGCGGGTTTGGACCATTAGCCTACGGGATGGAAAGCCTGATTCTAAAGGAGACGGTTCTTGCGCCGTGTTAATAGTCAAGGAGGAGGAGAAAAAAAGAGACATATCATCATACGCAGGGCGATGATTAGTGGCTTCGATTTCCTCTCAGGGTTTAAACAAAGCCGCCGGGCGGGGCTCAAGTACCCAGCGTTGCGTGCGTGCGTGCGTGTGTCTTAAGTTCTAGATGATGTTCGCGTGCGTACAATACATACTATGTAGAGTAGGTACTATGTGGTTAGCATGTAGGCTTCATGTAGGTATGGAGCGTCATGGATGCTTCGAATGCGGCAGGTCAACCCAATTCTCCATTTTCCATCTTCCATCCCTAGCCTAGGATAGCATTCGTATGTATGTATTCGTATGTAAGTAGCGTAGCGTAAAGTGTCTGGGACCGGGGGGATCCAAGCTAGGCTGAAGAGAACTATGACTCCCAAGATGCGTCGCCGTCGGAGCTAGAGTATGAAGATCGAAAGGGGCGGGCAGGTTGAGTAAGTGTGCGTGTGTATGTGCGTTGTGTGTGTGCCCGTCCTGCCTGTTGGAAATGAACCAACGAATGATATGCGCTTCGGAAACGAGGTTGTGCAGGGAAGACATCTAAGGCCGTCGTTCGATTGCACACTAATATAAATTATTTGACGCAGAGCCTTGGATACGAAACTTTACGTGTAGAAGGATGGAGTATTTTCTACTAGAAAAACCTGTACCCGTGGAGAGAACCTATTCCGAGAAAGATCCTCCCCTGCACGAGGTAATGGTTAGAAGAGAGCTGGCACCTATTCCTTGAAATACTGGGCTGTTAAACGGGTTTAATAGCAGGTAGGGATCTACCAAATTAGGAACCCAGCAAGGTCAGTCACAGTACTATGTATTCTCTCTAGCTTATTAGATATACCCCCTTTGAACTACATACGCAGATACGGTACGGTAATAGGGAAGAAGATAGGCTCTATATAAAACATGATGATATTATATTGTAAGCCTATAGTTTCGTTGGTGCGCATAGCATATAACTCATGTGCAGAGCTTGCTCGGTTTAGGCTTACGATCCACAAAGCCACAAGATCACCTACTATAATGCTAATATCACTACCATACAAATCAGGCACCTAAATTGGCTGGGTAGTTGAAAGTATATCCGCAAAGTGCAATGCATGTGTTAGTGGTGACGCTACCACAACAGAAAAATTGCAGCGGGCACTGCAGCAGCAGCAGCAACAGTAAAATAATTGTGATCACAAGAGTCGTGTATCACCGGGTGCTGCGGAGCAGCCAACCATATTCATCCCTTCGGTATGGATCAAAATCGAGTCAAGTCAGGAATAGAGAGTGCTATGTTGCCGAGACTTTGTCATTAATGATCATGAAATACCTATTGCCCCTTAGCTTCTTTTGCAATTTTTCTTTGGCACGTAGCGCTTGGTAAGACCAATATCTGGGCTTCTGACTTAGTACCAAGCAAGATTCGTGTGATAATGGCGGGTTGAACTTCTCGCTCCAGCGGTTAGGATCTGCGCCAACCGGCTCTTCTGGGTGTGGCGGCTGACTCGAGTTGGGGGTTTCATGGGAAATACTTTGATTACATAGCACTACTGTGTATGTAGTATACAGTCCGGAACGGGCGATGAGGTCCGTTGCAAGCATGTTTGCCCTTTTGTCTTTGCCGGAACAATACCAAGTTGGTCTAGCGAGATAAATTTTACTTGGTCTCGTGCCAAAGCTGGGCTATATGTAGACGCCGGTTTGGGCGGCGGTGGAAAAAAACGCTGATAATAACCTCATAGTGACCGCCCAGCGCCGACACTACATGATATGTAAGTGTATGTCCATCCCGTCCACGAGTGTGTGATGTCTAAATGTGCAGTGGATGTAGTCCAGATAAAACAAAAAAAAAAAACTCCGAGTCAAATGAGAACCACATTCATTAGCCAATGGGATCTAGGCGGCTTAGACTTGGATGCTATTACAATAGCAACATGGGTTCCCGGTTGCAATGTGCATTTGCTAAAAAATCGCTGGGAGTTGGCATGTACTTAATAGCAAATTCCTTAGACGGAATGCCACTGCGACCACAAATTGGTTGCGTTTCATTTGACCCAAGACGTGATGGGGCACTTCTAATGCCATAGGTTAAGGTAGTAAATGAGCGAATCCTTTGAAAGGCCGGGCCTCCGGGAATAGGTCACTTTGACTACGATTTTAGTGCAGCTACAGCTAGGACCTAGGACTTATTAAACTAACGACACGCAAACTAGTACATAGTAATAACGCTGTGGCCTGTTTATGTCAGGTTAGCTTAGGGTCAGAGGGGGCAAGCGATGCTTGTATTGTATTGTACAATACATAATAATATCTTAGAGCTTTGGTCGATGGGGTTGGGAATGGCCTATTCTCGTCAATAACCTTGCCTGGCCTTGCTTATTGTTCTAACTTGTATTGCTTCACATATGACTGGTAATGAGTGATAAGCACGGCTAAATATCCGAGTACAAGTCTTAAAATTCATATGCCCTTGCACCTCATATGAGATATTAGATATTAGATATTAAAGAATATATTCTCCAGCCTGGTAGTGGTCTCACCCAATCAAGTTAGGTACTCTGGCAATATCGGCACGGTACAATACAATACTATTACTATTCAAGGCTAATAATGATGCTAATATGGGACCTGCGTCTCCTCGGTTGCTAGAGGTGGCGGTGACGCGGGCATGCCTATAGAGAGGGTATATCAAGCCACACCGTCTAGGAAGTCATTGTAATCTATCAGAGACGGACGGTGCTATGGTGCTATGGTGCTAACTAGCATGCAGCCGCTTCGTTTGCGACTATGGTTTGGGGGATTAACCCTCACCTCGGTTCATATGAGTTCCCGGCTTGGATGGGCCAGACCTTCGGGTATCAAAGTCCTAGCCCTCCTATAGCAAGGGCTTGTGGTATGATAGCGCTTGATGATGTCGGCTCGGATGCGGTGGCGTATCAAGGGAATGGGCGCGCCCCCTAAATTGTTCCTATGAGATCCACTTGGGAGAACTGATCTTGCCCCTTTCGTACCGATATGGATTCCTTGGATGTAGGTCTTAAAGCCGTGTCGGCGTCAGGATACCGGAGAGGGTCGCCGATGGAGACCGACCGCTAAAACCGGCAGCTCGCCGTAGTGGCAGAGTTGGCTAGGACTAGCATCCTAGAGAGTAATTGCAGCATCGGTTGGCTAGTGGAGGAAATGCGGTCAGAAGAGGAAGAAGGCTATTGGGAGATGTACAATGTAGCAGATGAGTAAATGGATTAGGTATAATACATCTGTAATGAGGGGGACCACTACCATAGGTATTATCCAGGTTACTTGGCAGCGTGCAAATACATACAGATAAAATAGTGTGAAAAAATAAAATAAAAATTGAGCAGAGGTACTTAATACTTTTCGGCGCTGGACATTCCATCCCTGTGCTCACGGTCGTTTTTCTATGTATGGTGATGATAGGCACACTCCCCTGAACCATGGGTGTAGGGAAATGTAGCGCGGGACGAAACCAAAGGAAACAAGGGTTATCCCGGTGGTTATACTTTGTCTACAATTAGATGTCGTACTCGCTTCGTGCACATGTGAGAGAAATGAACTCCAGAGAAGCAATTATCGGGAGACCAGGTCGCAGTGACATCTACCCGTGAACCCTCATTACGGAAAAGAGAGTGGTAGAAAGAAAGAGGAATGAGACTCCGGCTCTGCATATTAGAACACCGATGATCATCGGCCAAAGATGGAGACAAACTACCTAGGTATGTATCAACCTCACCGCAGGAAAGTTGATATGCACGCTATCTACACTACTGTCATGCTGGGATCGGGGTCCGTTTCGATACACGTGAGAGTTGTGGATGTCCCGGAGAAAATCCCCTTGTCAAATCAAGATGGGGAGACGGGGGTGAGAAACACAATGACGCTTGGAATCGACAAAAATAACATTCTCTTCACACAAAGAAGCGCCGACCGTAGGTACATAGTATTGGACGGAATATGGTTTAAAATCCAGCTTATATAAAGATGGTGGTAACATTGGCGAGGATGATGAGGAAGAGGAATTAATGGCATGTCGATCTGACGACTGGTTCTGAGGCTGATGCTGCAGTTAAGTGGTTAAACTTTGTTAGCGGTCTACGTAATGAGCCTCCACTCCGGCTTAATTGACGATACCTATTTTCATAGATGTTAGAGTGTCGGGAGGGGGGACAGGCTCTTCGGCGCAGACGACCCACGAAAATAAGCCAGGGCGGGCCGGAGATGTAAGTAGGTATTGTACTGTATGCATATTGTCCTGCTCGGATTTTGGGGGTCAAGATTGGGAATCAATTAACCGCAATGCTTTCCCCCTGATGAAATCTTGACACCGAGACATCTCATGCAGGCTCTTTTCTCGAGTCATTAACTCTTAAACGGATTCGAGATTGGCTGCTTGGCCCTTCGAATCGTACGTAGACTTACTCATATAGCAGTGTGGGTATCTGCTAACGATGATCCAATAAGGATATGAGCAAAGTTCTCTTTTGGCGGGCAAAAGAGGCTGGCCCCTTGGCAGGAAGAAAATACATACCTAGTAATGATACGTAACCTTTTCTTGCCAACAGGGATATCGTCGCTATCGAGTACCTATTATGGTCTCTTGTCTATCACGTTTATTACTCTATTCAACCCGTAACAACCCGTAATGTGTTGTCTATATTTCTACTGTGTTTGGTCTATGGTCTGTGTTAGAGCATAATCGACGACAAAGAGAAGGCCGGAAAGAAATGCATCATCTACTACATCCACCACTTGATGATAATTCAGGACCCTTTGATTCTCAAATGCTCGTGTCGAGAAGGCCCGTGACATGACACATGTTCTGGTGATAAATATTCTAAGTATGTACCTACAATCTTTACGAACCGACTTACATCAGGTGCTAGAACAAGTTTCTGTTAGATCCAGCCAATACGATGGCGATGGAATGTCGAATTCCATCAATTCCGCAAAGACTGCGCACTGTCGTATCTCTCATACGGGCGGGCTAGACTAACAAGGCTGGAGCAAGGCTTGTCAACATACTAGTATTAAACTATTGTGTACAAACCTCCGCTCCGCCGCCTCTATGTCAGACACTGTTATGAGAAAATAGTGTAGACAATCCGTCGCGCCAGGGCGGTCCGGGTTTCAAAGCCTAATAACGCTAAAAAGCAGGCCCGTAAGGCGTAAGCATTACGTGGTATTCAGTGTGGTATTCCCCAGTCGCTATCGCCGTTTCCGTTACCTATTCCAACATATTCCAAGTTATGAAGTCTCCAAATCATTAGCTGAAGCTGACTTGTTGAACCGTGCGGCTAGGCGCTATGTAATTTGATGCTTTAGATTCCACTGGCTACTGGAATTCTGCATGGTGTTAGAACGATGCATTATCCACAACATCGGATGCGCTCATTTCCCAAAATGCGGGATAACCCTCTCAAAAGCTTCAAGGGGGTCTCTGCTAAAAGTGCTTTAAAAGGGATTGAGTGATTGAGATGCAGGCTTGCGTCCGTGGGGGTGGCCTTAGCAAAAACAAAGATTGTCTATCTTATTAGTTGTGTAGCTCTTGTGTGTGTCTGTGTGTGTCTGTGTGTGCATGTGTATGCTTCCATCAAAACTTCCTTTTACTTGGCATTTCCAAGATGGCGGTACCACGCAAAATGCATCTCTCTACGGTTTACCCCGGACGCATTAAAACATGTCCGTTTCCAGCCCAACAAGCTACAAGGCTTGTTTGAAGAAAGTTGCATATTGCACACTCAAAACCGAGTTACATCAGGAGCGCTGCTTTAGCTCTGAGTGCGAACTTCCATGCAAACGGAGGATTCCGTTGTTGCTGAATAGAAGAAAATTACCTCCATCGACTTGTTTGCGAGTTGGTTCACCGATGCAATTTACGAACCCACATGTATTGGGCCGTCGTGCACATACTTATGGTACACGAAGAGACAAGTTCAAGACAGCGCTATTTTATTCCTCATTTGCAAAAGTCAGGCCTTTGAGATGCAAGGTTTATTTAGCATTCCTGGTTGATGATGATTGACGTAGCCCTGTTTCTCATCAACCGAAATGGAGTCATTTCAACTAATGTGTGATATGTACTTGTTTTATATGGTAAGAAGAGAGTATATAATATATATTAAATATCAAACAAGGCTGTGGCTAGTCGGTAAAAACGTACAGATACGGTACATGACATTAGCATGGCTCAACAAGTTGGCATCTAGGAGAACTGACTCTTCTACGACCCATGCCCGGCGACTTTGAATCTTGATTGACGATCGATCTCGACCAGTCTAGTCCCTTTTTTATTTTCTATTTTTTTTTCTTCAAAGAAAATTCCTATACCGCATACTACAATAAGATGCCTCATACAATATACAACAACTTATTAAAGCGCTTACACTTACAATAGCATCCAGGTAACGGACGAGGCGGCACTTGTAGCCGCATCCATCATGTGTTACGTGCCTATCACGTACTTCGCTTCGTACATACGATATAGTAGTAGCAGCAGTACCTAAGTTGCTCTGTAACACGAACTAAACAATTCGGACGTAGGAATGATTCGGATCGGACCAGCTTGCCAGTCTGCTAGCCTAGCTGTAATGAAGTTTCTCATGCACATGCTCAAGTAGGTAAACTCTCCAACCAAATCGCATAAATGCTACGGTATGAAATGAGTATTATATGACCAAGTAACCTATCTCCCCCCCTTCCCCCCTTGTAAATGGCAGGTAAAAGACACAGGATGTTGGACTGATTGTAGTAATGTGTTTAACGATTCCGCCGACGTCTCAACGAAGGTATGGTGTATCATCATCATACCAAGATCCTAAATAGGTATAAGCGAGAAATTGATTGGTTACGATAGGACGAGAGTAACAAGAGGGTTAAAGGAGGATGTCGTAAGTAGAGAGCCACTTTTGGTCCGTTTACTCCCTCCATCTTGCCCATCTTCATCTGTTTTATCCACACCCCGGTTCCTCCAATCGTGTTCTAAGCCCCCCCTTTATTACGTTTTCCGAATTCATCCTTGATGATTTTTTCTTCTTCTTGGATTTACTAGTGAAATCGAACTTCGTCTCGGTTATCCTTTCTAAGGTTTGCCTTACGTGTTCCGCCTTGTTTCCAACTTAGCATTATCGAGTAATTAAGCAATTAAGGAGGAAGCTAGATAGGTAAGTAGCGAAATGAAACTAGACGGCGTCCTCAAAGCTTATGGCCGAGATTAAAAGATGAATGTAAAAACGTAAAGAAAAACAAAAAAAAACGAGAGTTACCCGCACATACCCAAGTATCTAACCAAATACCTAACTTACCATAATAAGTAGTGTTAGGTATATTCCAGACATTTCCCATTTCCTAATGAAACCCACTTCCATCGTCACATTTTCAGAAAATATTCATCCTATGACAACACTTAAATAAAGCTTTACAGTATACAATATATGCATACGTGCTTGCATGGTTCGTGGTCATTGCATTCATCCACCGTTGTATTATAGCGTACTTTGCTGTAAAGGATGGATGCGCCGACGCACCCACCGGAGAATGAATAGTTACAAGCGAACGATATGCGCTGTTCGGAGAGTAACTGTGCAGCTAAAATGGCCTTTGCGGTAAGGAGGGGGCTTGCTGACTCTTTTTTTTTTTTTTCTTCTTCTTCTTCTCTTTCTCTCCTTCTAGGCTCCCCTGCCTAGCCAATTATTGTGTGTCTAAAACCGCACTAATTGATGTATTGTAGGTACCTAACCTACCTAGCATAGCAATAGGTATTGTACCTAATGAAGTTTCTGTTTTTCATATTGTACTATGTAAGTGCACACCCTAGTAATGTCTCCGCTTTTTATCATCTAAGGAAGGCTAAGGTTGTATGATACATTCGTATTGTATGGTAAGCCCAGCTAGTCCGGAGGTACTTTCCTAGCTCACTAATGTAAATAGATAAATTGGGTTTGGTTTTGGGGGGTTCCTTCCAAAACACTCCCTAGGGAATCTTGACGAATCCAGTCGTGACTACTGGAATAAAAGCTGAGATAAAAAAGCTAGTTGCGCGTCTAACGCCACCCCCCCAAATTGTCACTTCTCTCTCTCCTAGTCAGGTCCAAAAAAAAGCCTTGTTCCAACTTCCAAAACGTTCAACAGTCCGCCAATTCGCTTGCCCGCTTTAAAACACTTGGTCCACAAATTGTCCACTTTAACTTAACACCTTTTAGAACAATAATACACATTACACTACACTACAATAGGGTACGCACTCACGCCTCTTCCATTTCACCACTAATACCACTAATACCTAAACCTCCCTAGACTACTACTACTACCTCGTAAGGTAAGCCCTTGGCTCTTGGGCGCCTTCGATCCCGTATCCACGGCCCCACTGTCCAATGGTCTGCGGTCCACGGTCCACGGTCCAACCAATCCATCATCCGCTTGTCAGCTTGGCCACTCACACGATCCACCGCTCACAGGGTGTGCTAAGATGGAAGCAGAGTCCAAAAAAAAGGTACCTGAGGGAAGAAGAAGGAGAAGAAGGCACCAGGAAGGGCTTTGATCCACTCTAACTCACTCACTTGCTTGATGCTTTGGTGCTTGATCCAATGGAACGCGCCAATCAAGGACCGATGAGCAACCACACAATCCAGCCAATCCGGCCCAGTCTCAATCCGGCTACCTGCTACTACCGCTGCTACAGTACCATATAGTACAGTACATAGTACGTGAAGTAATCACTGCATAGGTACTGAGGATACTGAGGTCCAGCCTTGATGTGTAAGTCCATTGTACATTACAAACAAGCCCTTCGTTCATTCAGAATAGTCATTCATTCATTCACTCATTCATTCATAATATCTAATATCTAGTATCTAATTCCGTATCCCTGTCTTTCCCTTGGAACATTCGTGACCTTACTATTTGTCTGTATATTACTTATTACTTTCATGATGCCCCAAGTTTCAATTGATGAATCCTGTTGTTCATGGACCCCAGTTACCACCAGCTAGGACAACCCTGTCGAACGTGAACATAGGAAAAGAAGTAAAAACAGCAGTCGACACGACAAAGCCGGCCAATGAGGTATAGAAAGAAGGGAGTCAATCTGGTAACCTAATAAGTTGCCCGTTCCCCTGTGCAACGGCATCACTGCATCACCACGGCCAGCATCACAGCACCTTGTCCTGTCTGCAATTGAATATTGAATTATATCGAGTCTATTTCCATTATTCAATATCCACATCGTCTCAACCGCAACCCACCAGCTGGGTATTCTGGAATCAGGAACGATCAAACCCTCCCACGTTTGCTCTTTCCTTCTCAGAACCTACCTTCTTATTCGACATGGCTCATCAGAGATGACCGTGGCCCGTCACTAATAAAAGTTAAAAAGTAAAAAAAAAAAAAAAAAATACTCATCCGTACTGTACCAACGTCTTGTTACCTAGGAGAACCACACAGCTCAGGCCGTTCCAGAAAGCAACTGAATACTGAGGTGAATGGAACACAACAGTCAGGAACTTACTTGTTACTACTTCACCAACGTCACCCACGAACACAGATACGGATCCTATACCTAACCGCGACCCTGACTACCGCCTTCACGACAAGAGAATCCATTTAATCCACTTCTTTTGTCTCCTAGTCCTCTTCATCATTCCTCTTCCACTCCAAACGCGAAGCCGAATTGATCCCACATGTCTTCCGTCGTTGTGCCCTCGAGCTTCCGCCCATACCTCCCGTCTCCTACCTATACTGCAGCTTATCCACCACACCATATTCGAGAAGATAACGGTAATAACTACGAGAAGCTACGACCTCATCCGCAGCTCCACGGAACCGCCTTCTCCAAGGGTGGTCTTCAAACGCCTCCTGCCGAGAATAACATGAGCGCCGCATATCACAACTCCGTGTTGTCGAACACGTATAACAGCCATGTAGCTCTAGCAAGACAGCCCGCTGGCTTGGTCCATGCAGACCGAACGGGAGGAGTATTCTGTGATGTCGTAACTGGATTCTCGGCTGCTCATCCGACGCAACAATCGCAATACCAACAACAGCATTATCCCTCTCAGACGGTTTCCCAGCAACCACACTCGTCTTCGAGACCATCGACTAGACCGACGACCCCTGCCTCTACTGGTTCGCTCAGCACACACTCAGAAGGTACAGTCTCCAAGAAAGACTCGACTATGGTTACCCATAGTCTGCAACTTCCCACCTGTATTAGTCCAAACGGGGGGAATCTGGACGACTTTGCTGCACTGGTAAGCTCCAACCTGGGTCGCTTCAGTGGTTCCTCCAGCTGACATGTTACTAGATGACCTGTTTCTTTTGGTTCGAGACCATGGATACGATTAATGCCGCGGAGCATATCAAAGAACGTTCGCCCTCCGAGCCAATCCCCCCGTTGTCTGCATACACCGAACCCTGCCCCGCGTACAAGCAGTGGGTTAATAAGACGCTCTCTACGACTCAAGTAACGCAGAACGTGATCCTGTTGGCGTTGTTATTTGTGTACCGGCTAAAGAAGGCAAACCCGAAGGTGAACGGTAGCCCAGGTAGCGAGTATCGACTCTTGACGGTGGCCTTAATGCTGGGCAATAAGTGTAAGTGTCCTCGATACCCATTTTGTAGTATGCGCTTTTTAACAAGTATCGTAGTCTTGGATGATAATACTTATACGAACCACACGTGGGCAGAAGTTTCTTCTATTTCGGTGAAAGAAATCCATGTTATGGAGGTCGAATTTTTGAGCAACATGCGATATGGCTTGTTGACGTCTAAGGAGGAGTGGGAGGAATGGTTAGAGAAGTTGGCCTGCTTCCACGAATATTATGAAAGAGCGGTTATGGAAGAGAAGCGTCGAAATGCCCAGCCTCCCATGCCGATGACGGTACCTTCGCCGATCCACACGAGATTTACTCCCCCGTTGCCTTCACCGACTAACATGGTAGCGTCAACTGGACAGAATACAACATTGGCTCTCGCGTCTGCTTATTCTCCCAGCTCGGTAGCGCATGCTCAAACCTGGAATTCTTACCATGGCACCCCTATGGTCTCTCCACTTGCAGTCAAACAGAGTTTAGGTCATCCATTGGTGCGAAAGAGAGGGTTGGAAGGAGGAGACATGATGGAACCTGCTGCGAAGCGAGTCCCTCACCACTCGCTCGTTACAACAATGCCGCCGAACCAGCAACCTCAAGGGGCTGTCGGTCCTCTTCGACTACCTATGCCGCATCTTACGCTCGACACAAGCCAAGCAGTCATTCCCTCGGTATATCAACCACAGTCTACCTATCCTCAGACGACCGTATCATTGCCGCCTCTTGGGGCTGGGATGAAGGCCATGTCCACGGTATATCCCGCTACGACTGGATGGGCGCCCCCGGGCTCAGTACTCACTACATGCGGGCCACAGATACCATCTTACGGTCTACCGTCAGGCTACGGCACACCGACGAAGCGACTTAGCCCTACGAGTTTAACTCCGTTTGGTTCGTCCCCGTTAGCCGAATCGTTTGGAAACCACACACCCACCTCGAATTCGCCGCTGGTGTACTTGCAGCAACGAGATAGTCCTTACAAACCCGTTCGCCGTGTAAATACTCTGCTTAACCCTCCTCCTTCTATTCCTCTCTCGCAGTATCACCTGGGTTCGAGTCAAATGCACTATCAGCCTCTGGGCCGACGATACGACTTACGCTCTGGTATTGTACCCGAGTTTCTTCCTACATATGCCAATCAACGACCTTCAAGTCATTCTCATTAATGATCAACTGCATTCATACTTTCGACGACATTTCGACAGTAAGCGGCATTTCCACCCCGTGTATTTTTATTTTATTTTGTCGCCATATCTGCATTGGCATTGGCGTTGGTCGGCGGTATACAGTCGATATAAACTCGACACCTCACGGGATAACGGGCATGGGTTTCGGGGTTTGCTTGTTTTTTTCTTTTTGTTTGCAGCATAGCTGGCATCATACTACGGGCGTTCGGTAATCCGAGGGGAAGCTTTCTTCATGGACCTTTAAAGCATGAATTAGAGGGTAAGAGGTATGGTATGATGCAAGACTTCCATGTGTCCGAGCTGAGTTTAGGGGAAACCGGCTAAAGGAAGTTTATGGGTGGGCAAGAAAAGAACAAGGAAGAAGCAAGGGTGACATATGGCGAAACGACCTGGGGACTGAATGCCTATTTCGAGCAATCAGTTTTTAGTATGTCGGATATGACCAAATAAATTACCGGAGACGGTAGCAAACCAGAAAATAAGCGCAAGAAATTCCTTTGGGAAAAGTCACTCTTGATATTAACACCAGTTTTGACTGTTTTCTTTTTTTTTATTGCTGTGTGAAGTATTTTCTGGTAAGGGCGTTATGCTATGATGATGTCACAGAAGCTAAAAGTCTCCAAATGCATCAGCTCGATGCGGGGAATCGAGATGGAGATTACCCCTCATTGGGAACACGGTGCCTGTAAATTATCGGAGAAACCTTTTTGCAAGCTCTAAAGGGTCACTTACCTTAGGTAAGGTTAGGCACCTACCTCCTAGTCCACCATGAGACTTGTTCCGAGGAGATGTTAGCTCCTAACAGCAGCATGTGAGATATTACTTCAAAATAACATGCATTCTGTATTAATAACAGTTTCATCTTAGCGTAAGAAAAAAAAACCAGTCGCGTTGCGAGAAACGGGTAAGTATATCCTGTCGGTATGCGGCACAAGATGTTTGTTACCTTTTAGAGTTGCTTGCTATTAATGTATTCGTGAAAACCTCCCTTACTGATATGTGTAATCCAGACACTTTCGAGCAGAAAGGAAAAAAAGTAAGAAAAGAAAAAAAGAAACTCGGGTTTGGGAGGGGGAGAGTTACCGAGTTAGCCTTACATCCGGGAACAAGTCGACGGTGAAAAGGGAAGATCTCGGGGTTGATTTCTAGTCTTAAAGCATTTCCGCGGAAATAATGGTATTAGTTAACTATATCTTCTAAAAAATATAACTAACTTAGGTACTCGTTATCCGTTATTTACAAATCATCACTCGAAGCATTATTATCTATAGTAGCCTGGAAATATCACAAAGCAACATCGAGATAGTTACATTATATACTCTAATACGCTAAACCACCTACATACCTTGGGTTAGGTACCTAACCTATAAGTCAAGCCTTTAATATAGACAATCTGTTAATGCAAATGAGCGCAGCAGCTAGGAGATTAGCGACCATGGCAGGCTCACGGATGAAATCATGGTTCCCGACCACCGCATCCCCTCTTATAATTAACGCGCCAATGAAAGGGGTCGCGAATATAAAGCTGGCTACTGAGGTAGCCAAGGTCGGAGGCTTAGGTTAGTTACTCTCTTCATTATACTATGTAGCATCTATCATACGACCGGTTTGTTGTTCTCTAGTTCGCTGATAGTTATACTAATACTTTCCCCCAGGTTTTATTCAGTTCGGTCGAGACTTCGAACCGGGCTCATCCACGCTAAAGCAACTGGATGACGAACTAAGTCAAGCCTGGAAGCTGCTCGGCCTAGAGACATCTAAGGATGACGGTAGCACCCTTCCCATCGGCGTGGGGATCCTCACCTACATGCCGTCTGCGCGGCACTTTGGTGAGACGGTGGTACCGATACTGAAGCGCCACAGGCCTGCCGCAATCTGGCTCTTTGCGCCCTCGCCCGAAACACCCGAAACTCACTCGAATATCGTCAAGGAGATAAAGTCTCAGGGAAGCCCGTGGAACCCCAAGATCGTGGTCCAAGTCGGATCGGTAGCGGCGGCTCGAGAAGCGGCCACTCACGGAGCCGATATCATCGTCGCGCAGGGCGTCGACGCCGGCGGCCACCAATGGGCTCAGGGGGCTGGCATAATAAGCTTAGTTCCCGAGATCATTGATGTCGTGCGCAACGAGTTCCCCGACAGGGAGATTGCCGTGTGGGCGGCAGGCGGTATCGGTGACGGCAGAGGAGCGGCGGCAGCACTGGCTTTGGGTGCCGAAGGAACTGTGCTTGGTACAAGGGTAAGTTCCTCCGTGCCGGAGTTGTTTCTCTACCCCATGGAAAAAAAAAAAAAAAAAAAAAAAAAAAGACCTGAGGATTGTTATCAAGTCGAATTTCTAACGTCGAGTGTTTAAATAGTACATCGTAGCGCTCGAATCAGACGCGCAAGACTACAAGAAGAAGGCCATCATCGCTACGTCAGATGGAGGTTTCAATACGGTGAAGTAAGTCCATATCTGCGACTTCTATCACTTACCTTACCCCCTTTTCTCGTAAACTATTACCTACCTCCTACCTGCCTAGGTACCCCAAGGTACACACCGGAATGAATCGTATATACTAACATTAACCGACATCAAGGTCCTATTTCCATGACCATGTTCAAGGCGATTTGTCCTGGCCCGAGCTCTACGATGGTCGTGCCATCGTCACCCCTACGTACCAAGATCATGCCTCCGGCGTGCCTCTGGAGGAGAGCCAGAAACGGCTCAAAGCTGCCCAGGAGAGCGGCGACGTGTCTAAGCTGGTCACTTGGTCGTAAGTAACCTAGCCTAACCTAGTCTTATCCCTTCTCGTTGATATAGTAGTTAGTAGCTGACAATCTACTAGCGGGACGGGTGTTGGCTTGATCAAGAAAGAGCAGCCAGCTGCGGAGATCACGAAAGAGGTGAGGGAGCAGGCGCTGGGGGCAATCGCTAAGGTGAAGTCGTTCCTCTAGGCGGGTTCTTGGTCGGAGTCCTTCATAAAGATTGTGTAGCTGTGCACCTTTGAGGTTTATAGGAGGGGGGGTATCAAGACTGACGACCTCCCTGGTACTTAATATACCTGATTATTCGCATTCTTAGATTAATATCCTCGTAGCCTCTTCAAAGAGCTTAAAAAGTGATATACAGGTACCTAATTTAATAAACTCTATCGCTCCTTCATAAGCCAGGGTTATACGAAGTTATATGCCGCGCACAATAACGCGATAATTAGAGTCGCACTGCTAGCTTTACTCCTGGCTGAACCGTTGTCTTCGTCTTTGTTAACAGTAGTCTTGCCAGCAGCGCTGTCGTATCTGGGCTGCGGTTCCTCCTCGGTATCACCAGGGCCGTCAGTCTTAACGAGACTCTCGGTGCCAGAGTACTGCTGACGGCCGGGAGTCAACCGGTACTGGCGGTCGTTCAACCACGCTAGACCGCAGGCGCGGATCAATTTACCCGCGCTGACGTCTTCGGGATTATCATTCTCGTTCTCGTCGTCGTCACAGTCGGCCGCTGCCAGGGAGCAGCAAGAGCGCTGCTATGGAGGACACCGATGTCCAGGACTTCATTTTTCTAGTATTTTCTAACGGGATGTGATTAAAAATATGCGAGGAGCTCGCTGGTTCGAGTATCGTGATTACATAGGTACCTCGTACATAGCTGGTGAGAGCGGCATCGAAGCTTTATGTACCTATCAACTACCATAGTAGCTTTAACACTAGGAAGACCATCCTTCGACATCATCAAAGGAATCACTGTTAAGTCCGAAATTTGTAATCGCGGTCGGTATGCGCAGGGCTGGCTGGTTATGTTATCCACATATCCTTTATTACTTATTACTCCTAGTGTAGGATTACCCGATGAGGTCTAGAGTAGTACCCATTATGTACCTATCAAGGAGCCGTAGCGGCTAGTTTGAACTGTTGGTTATTACAATGGATAGGCGGGTAGGTAGGTACCTAGTAAGAAGCCTTCGAGGTCCGGAAAGGCTATTGGCCTAAAGAAAGGGGTATACGTAGGAGATATAGAAAAAGAAATCAAAGATAAATTAGGCTGTAAATGCAAGACAGACTTGACGGTATTTGACGTTGAAGCAACAGACAAGCTCGACTTAGAAGATGGTTTGAAGCTTCAGCTAGTTACCTGTTTAGTTAACAACAAGTTAAGTAATATATATATATATATCCCTGGGGTCATTTGTCCCTTTCCTCTACTCAGCCCTCGACCTTCTAGAAAACTCTAGTCTATAACTTGACACGTCAAGTGTCATAGTCAATGTGAATGATGGTCATAGTGCTAATACTTCCTAGAAACTTAAATTCACGACAAGAAAGGGGGGTATAAATTTATCACTCGCTTCTTTTGATATAATTAGTACCTGGGTAGGTACCTAATCTAAGGGGCAAGCCCTTGGGTTGAGTCGGACACATATGAACGTACTAAGTGTGACTTCTCTGGCCGCCCTTCACTTTGGTTGAACATAGAAATACTCCTGAAACCCCCAAGGAATATATTTTATCTACTGCGTTATAGCTGTAGACCACCTGTCCACGGCATCTCTGGAACTAGGGGCTGCCAATGAGTCTTTCAAGCCCATGCCAGGTCTCGTGTTGCCTGGCAATGGTATTGCTGTGAAGGATAGCCAGAAGAACCTAAACTTTCCGCATAGTTTCGTTGTCGCTAACGCTGCGTATACTTCCATAACCAGGAGGTATAGACGCCCTTACTTGCGTTGTTAGTTGCTATTGCCTACAACCGAAATCAGGCGATTCCTTACCCAACCGAAGACGTGACACCACCGACAGAATACTCTCCTATTCCGTATAGGACATATCCCTTGACAATCTTGGCTTCCTCTTTCTAGGTAGTGCTACGAAGAAGCTTCTGTTACAACAGGCAATGTCTCACTAGACAGGTGTACTGCCTGTCAACTAGCACAAGCTCTAGTGCCAGAGCACTGCATACTCGTGTCTCGGCTGGATGCTGGCCGGGCAGTCTGTCCAGGGCTAAGTCGGTGGCGTGGGAGACATTGGCGCGGGCGAATTGTGGCAGGTGAATAAACGTCACCTAACCTATTTAGATGTTGGATAGCAAGACGAGGGAAGGGTGACATTATAGGATGAGGTGATCCAGTTACCTTAGGATAGGTAGGTCTGCTACGGACGTGTCGCGTTATTTGAAGCTGACTTATGAGATCTGAAAGACTTGGCAACCCAGCCCGTGGAATCGTGTCAAGGACCCACCTCTGTGCCTTATGCATAGAAGGTGAGCATCTGTTGTACTACAGAACGGGTTGTGGCAGAGAAGTGTGTTATAGTTGAAGAAAGGGCTATAGTGGCTGGCCAAGTTCTGACATGATTGGTGGAAGCTACGTGATATTGCGCGACAAGGGAGCTGAGTTGGCATAGGATGGGAATGAATGGGAATGCAGCAGGGTGCCTGATATACTTATTGATGGCAGTTATGTTGCATATGTAAAGCGTTTCGTTGGGCATCAACGCTAGATTGACGATCAAAGAGCGTGGGGGCGATGAGGCGGCGATTAAGCATTCGCCTGGAACTGTAGCGTCTGGACTGGGTTCCTTAATAAGGAAAGAAGGAAAAAAAGAACATAACTGCTAGGCAAGAAATGCATCCGAAGAGTATCACGGGGTGACCGTCGCCCGCTACTCCAATTCAACCCCAAACTCCGTTCATACCTCATATAGATCTTGTTCTCGTACCTATCATACACACATGGTAAGTCCGATCCCAGTAGCCATTACTCATAACTCATAACAAGTGTTCGTCCATTCTGTTGTAGTTGTCCGCCGTGTAAGCCGTTCTGTAGCTATCCGAGAGACATGTTCCATAGCGTCGTCCCTCTACCATTCTCATAGGGGAATTATCGCCGGATATCGTAACTTTTTTTTCTTCCCAAAGCCACATAACTTCATAAATCCAAAAAAGGGAATCATATATGGTCTGCTACGCAGCCGCTGGGGGTTCGCCTCCGCCGGCAGCGCCTTCCGAGTTCTTAGAATTCTTCGAGCCGGAAGATTTGCGACGATGCCGCCTTTTACGGCTGAAGCGAGCTGACTTTCCGTAGAAGTATACAAAGGTAAAAAAGCCGATCAGGAAGACTGCCAGGAGAATGCCAACCACAACACCAATTGTCGTGTTTACACTTGCCCCTGATCGTTTCCGTAGGCTCGATGCATGCTCGTAGGCAGCCGGGAGCGCACCGAAGGTACGGGTAAGAATCCGGTGTGCCCCGGACGAAGCTGAATTGGGAAGAGGGAGATTACGATGTCTGATAAACTCGTAGACGGACTTGAGGTCGAACTCGAGCCTTGAAGCCGAGGCCAGAGGGGAGTCGGGGTGGAGAGAGTTCGTCTGGGGTATGTACATTTCAGGCAATCTGCGCACCGACGGGGCGGGATATTAAGAGTGATAATGTAGAAGCGTGGCGCGCCATAGGCACAGTGAGGGTTAAGAAATGAAGCGAGAAAGCCGGCCACGGGCCACGAGGAGAAAAGCCTACCAGAGAAGAGAAGGGTTGGGCGAGAAGAAACGAGAGCGATTTTATTCTTTTCCAACCAGCTGCTAAGGTCGCAGCGTGTAACTACCTAGCTAGCGATCACAAGTCTTCGCGTGGGCCGACACCAAGTGTACAGCCGAATAACTGACGACGATGGCGGGGTCGTTGATGAAGGCTGGCGAGAATCTTATTCGTCTCGCTGTTCGGCAACGGCCAACGACGATCGACCTTTGGGGGGAACATAGTACATGTATGACCGACGGCGCGGACGGGGAATTTGTGATAGGTAGGGTCCATGTATGCAGACGCAAAAAGTAGCAGGACGATATAATTCGTCTATAGGATCCTCCTTGAGCTGGCACGCTGTAGGTTCCCGTCTGTAAGAGCTACCCTTCGGCGCCTACAGGGATCACCGTAATAGGTAGGACATGACGATACCTATGGGAACCCCGAAGTTACCTAAGGTAGATCTCAGCGAGGAAGTCCATACCCCGGTACACGGAAGGGATGGCCAATCTGGCTCAAGCGAAAGGTGGCCGAGTGCCAGAGGAGAGATTCTATTCGCAGCAGCACGACGAGTGATTATCTACGACCCGGATAAAAAGAGTTGATGCTCAGAGGCTGTCCAAACAGAAACGTGCGGAGATGGATAAGATAACAATACCAAAAGCGAATAGGCTACCGGAATTTTCCATAGATCATACATACCTTAGGTACATCTCGCGTCCTTTTTTTGTAACCGGCACCGGAGAGATGCTTGCAGGTCAAGATCGCCAGGTTGGTCGACGAAAGGGTTATTTTTGCCGGGCCCAGGAATGGGGGAGCAGAGTGAGACGTATCAAAAAATTAGGTGCTCCTGCGGTGATTCATTGCATGTCGAACGGGGATTGGATTAGAATTGGCGATGCTGCAGACCCTTGTGCCCTCCGTCAGATTGGAGACAGAGAGAGAGTCTACCACATGCAGAGAGCAGCATGGCATGGGCTAAAAGCTGCCAGCTCATCGTTCAACCCATTGACCATTGTCCATTGAGGAAATTTGAATGAGGCGGACAAATTCGGCGGTGGAACAGAAAATCCAGTGGGGTTACGGCCGTGGGAACTAATACCTATATGAATGAAGCCTGTCATATGGACTTGAAGGATCGGGAAAACGAATTTGTGGAGAATCTAACTTTGAATTGTTGAAAGACATGTTAGGAGTTAAATATGACTTGTAGGTGATTTGATATGATGCATTATAAAAGAATGGGTGGATTGTTGTTTGCTCTCATGTCAATTCAGGGGTATGAATCCGTATAACTAATGCGAAAAACAACTTAGAGCACTTGAGCTGAGAGAATACGCAGACGTGGCGGTGTCTGTGGCGCAAATTTATCTCTCTCCTTTTTTTTCCTTTTTTTTTTCCTCAATTACTAATAATTGAATCTCATCTTACCGAAGTCACCTAAACAAATTACATACCTTGTAAACACGACAGCTTCACCATTAAAAGCTGTTTGCATGCGATCTATTCAGGGTTACTAAAGGTATCTGCCTAAAATAACTATGTTGATATAGCTTTGCTCATAACATTTCCTTAAATCTCCTCCATGTATTCTTTATAATATTTTTCTTAATCATTCTCATCCTTCATCTCCCGGCGCGAATCGTTAAGTATGGGAAACTAAAACTAAACCAACTTGGTGTCAATTCCACGGTAGCGGAGCCACTATCATGCGGCCTTTTCAACTTGGGGTTACAGCGAGCCATAGGTTCCTTGACCCATCAATGCATGGCCTCGATTCTATCAGGGACATTATTGGCCATTGGTTAACCGGACTCGACATCACACGCTTAGGATCCCTCGCCGCGTGCATCGGCGCGGCCCCCGCAGCGTGGCGACTTCTAAGGACCGCTTGGCGTGAAGTGTATGGTTGGGTCCGTCAGTTCTTCATTTCCTCCGTAACGATACCTGGCCGGGATCCGCTGAACAGGCATGTAACGAATTGGGTTCTAGCAAATGTCGTGGAATATCGAAGCATACGGTCTTTTACGGCCCGCACACATATACAACCCGGTGCTGTCGCGGACCGAGCCGCGTTGCTGAAGAAGACTCGTCGCGACATCCAGTATCTGCCTCACTTCGAAACTGTATGGTTCTGGTATGAGAGAAATCTGTTCGTGGTCAGGCGGTCGCTTGATAGCTTTAACGCGTCTATGACGGACTCTGCTTACGATGGCATTGGCGGAGAAGAGCTAACTATCGGCTGCCTTGGACGGTCGACGGAGCCCATTAAGAAGTTCATTCAGAATTGCCAAGAGTATGCAGATAGACAGGCGCAATACTATGTCATTATCTATTCACGAGATCGTTACGGCATGTCCTGGCAGCCAAAGTCTCGCAAGCCGATTCGTCGTCTTGAAACCGTTCATTTTGACGATGCCCTTAAGGAGGAACTCCTTGCAGACATAAGAAAATATCTCGACCCCAAAACCAAGAAATTGTACCAGAGTCGTAGCATGCCTTATCGTAGAGGTTACTTGTTCTATGGACCACCGGGTACGGGGAAGTCATCGCTATCGACCGCTTTAGCGGGCGAGTTTGGCCTCGACCTATACGAAGTTAAAATTCCAAGCGTAGCGACCGATCAGGACCTTGAGCAGATGTTCCAGGAAGTTCCACCGCAATGTATTGTACTTCTAGAGGATGTTGATGCTATATGGGTGAAGCGCGAATTAACAAATCGCGACCCGCATCATAATGAGGTCGCATCGAACTGTACGCTTTCCGGTTTGCTCAACGTCCTGGATGGAGTCGGGTCTCCTGAAGGCCGTATCGTAATTATGACGACCAACAAGCCGAACCGATTAGACAGCGCCCTAGTACGACCCGGCCGTGTCGATATGAAGGTTATGCTCGGTAATATCAGCCGAAGCTCGGCTGAGCAGATGTTTCTCCGCATGTTCACGTCGGATACCGATATGTCGCCATTGTTGACATCTTCGCGGAGGGATGATGGTAAACTAGGCGAGGAACCCATTACCCAGGTAGGCCGAGAGCTACTAGAGAAGCTCGCTTCAGAATTTGCGACGCACATCCCTGAAGACACGTTTACCCCTTCTCAGTTACAGGGCTTCTTTCAACTGCACCTAGACAATCCTATGAAGGCTGCATCGCATATTGCGGCGTGGGTTGAGAAGGAGTTATCTGCAGTGTCGTCGGATGACGATATCGAAATTTTAGGGAATGGGACGACCTAATCTACTAGGCTCCTAATGTATATGTATGATATGTATACATTAGGGAGATATTGTATCATGTCAAGGGTTATATTAGAATTAGATGGGATAGCGGTGTTTGGGAAATTGTTAGATAATGCGTTCGGCATTAAGATGAATTGACTACATGTCACCGCTTATAGACAATAATAGATATAGAACCTAGATGTTTCTAATTAGCGGGAAGCGCACCTACGCGTTAGATAGAAGCAGCTCTGAATGTACTATGGGATTAAGGCTGAACTGTCTGATATTGTCCAAATACCCGGGTTTCCCGAGTCCCGACTTCTCACGTGCACCCGGGTCCGATGTCATCACACCTATATGGCGTTATTCCAGTTTTCGTAACCAGCAATGATGTATAATACCAATATTCCGGGCACAGAGTTGCGACAGCGCAAGTTAGAGCGAATATCGCTGAAGGGTTTGCGCATGAAAGTGAACATTATACTTAGTATTCCATAAAACCAAGTTAATGTATTCGAAACGTTAAACTTGTATAATAAAGAAAGCTTGCGGACCTCCTTATTAGGTTCACCGGTAGTAAGTTAATCGTGTATTACGAAAACAATAACGTTAAGGAAAGAAACTAGCCAAAAGTTATTAGCAAGGAATTAAACCTCATTTCTTTATTGGATCACTAGTTTTTAATTTTAATTTTAATAGAGGGATGACCATCTATGTAGGCAGCTTTGGACCTTTCAACATACCACTTACAGACATCGTAGCCATCGAAGAATCAACTCTCCTCCTCCACCCTTCCCTCCTTTCCGCTAATCCCGGTCCTCATGGAAAGATGGTGGGCTTTGAGGTTCAGGGTATGGGGTAAAAAAGGTGGGAACACCGACGTCAACTTACCGCATAGGGCTTACAGCGCCGCTTCTGATTTGTCCGTCAGCCGTATCCTGTCAGGGAACCTTGAAATTCCCGTATCGCGTCATGATGTAAGAGAGCTTGAAATCAGGATTTTAGTACGAGCTTTTATGTATATGGCCTACCCGAACCCTTCTAAATCGACATATCTTACTAGATAAGTGGTACATCGACTGGTGACGTTTGAACTTTTCAGCCCCTTTCGTCGATTAACGTAGGTAACGTAGATGTCGAGGAATCTTGTTATTTTCAAGTTTTCCGGGACCCGGGCTTGCTCTTTACAAATAAGTACCTGAGCCTGCACTTCAACAAGACAAATAATAAAGTTATCTTTTGGTTATTCCAAATACCATTCTAAACTCTCGTGTAATTCATATTCACCCCGTAGAAAGTTTTAATACTCTTAGTTTATTACTCTCTTGAACAACAGCTTCACCTAGTTAAGTTTACAAAACTTAGGTACTTAACTCAAGACACAATGTCTTCCAGCGGCGACGAGCATCAACAGCAAGAGCCCCCGAGGCAGCAGACGGCGACCCAAGAGACCGACCACTCGGATAACTCAGACCAGATGTCCGAGACGTCGCGACCACCGCGCACTCGCCGTCGCAATCGACGTCGCCCCGGATCGGTCCAACCCTTCCAGCAGCAAGACGACCAGCAGATGCTTCAACAGAGGCAGCAGCAACAAATGATGCAACAACAGCAACAACAGCAGATGATGCAGCAGCAACAGGGTGGTGGCAGTGATAAGAAGTCAGACACCCTCCGGCTCCGTCTCGATCTCAACCTCGAGGTCGAAGTTACTCTCAAGGCTCGTATCCACGGCGACCTGACCTTGGCGTTGCTGTATGTGACCTCCCCTTATCCATGCCTCTATTATACATGACTATTAGCTAACCAAACCTCTCTTCTCCAGTGACACTTAAGAATATCCGAACCCCCTATGGCGTAGTGCTTTAGCGCCTGGACGTGCGATCTTCCGACGAAGACATGCAAGTGGGTTCGAGCCCTACTGGGGTCAAACCAACGGTCCGACTTTAGGTTTTTTTCCCTAGGCTCCACCGGGCGCGTGCGAGGGTGATTCTGACTCGTATAAGAAGGGGTTCGGCGGTTTTTCTCCTGGCTAAAAAAGTCGGCTATCTAGGGCCCAGCGATCTTTCGGGACTAGATAGAGCTAATGTTATAGGCAGATGGGGACGGAATGCAAAGGCAGGAAGTGGAGGATCTCTTTTATGTTAAGCGGAACTCTAGCTACATCTCCTTTGAAGGAGGTACTGTAGACGTCTTAACACCGTTATTGATTCGGTTCTAGGGTGAAACTTGTGTGGATTATACCTATAGTGTACACAGCCCGATAGACGTAAAGGATATCATCATCACCATCATTAAGAATGCCTACCCGAAACAATACGATACGAATATTATGACACTTAATGAAGGAATCCCACACGATTATGATATGTCTCTATCAAAAATGAAACGAGAAATATTTGACGACGTTAAGGTTTGGTATTAATATTGGAGGAGCCAGGCACTCACATTGCACTATCTCTGTCATTCTCTTCATAAGTAGTACTCGTGCTGCGATGGAAATTATTTGACAAACACGCTTGATGAGATTATGTACAGGTTACAGTCACATAATCAAAGATATCCTGGCAACTTTCAATCATAAAATATTCGTGGCTTTCGTAACACGTGTATGTGTAAGACAATTTCACCCATCCGTAGTGGCGCTTAGGAGAGAGTCCGTAATAACCAGCATCTACCGCAAGTACACCTTCATATGCCATTATGCATCTTATACCTGATCGAGTCCTGTTATTTTTCTCTGGAGCACCTGGGCGTCCCCATCTGCTTTTTTCTCATGCCGGGTAGTAATGTGGTACCAGGCACAGACTGTAATCGCGGTGAGCCCGACCGCGAGCACGGCGAACAGCCAAATATACTTGGACACAACGGAGTCTCCATCTTGGGGATTCCAATCGAACATGTCCATCGAGAATAGAGCCTAGTAAGTTTGAGCTAAAGATCTAGACTTCTTTTCGTACCAACTTACCGCAACGCTGGAGAAAGGCAGGTATATCATTGACAATATAGCAATAGACCTCATCTGAATACCCTCCCGCTTTGTGTCAAGGGCGACCTCCGTGTTTACATGAGCAATGCGAGTGTTAAGGTCTGAATCACGCATCGCGATTTGGTTCCAAACCTAACAGTTTTCAGTATTATTCCACAACCATTAGGGGTCATTAAGTGTAACGTACCGTCTGCATAGCCAGCGTTATATTTGCTGCGATCATATCACATTCATCCATTTTACCATCGTACTCATTGATAATGTCGTGTAGTCTCTTTTTCATCTGGTGTCCCATTTTCTTGAACCAGCGTTCTCTCTCATTTCTCTCATCATGATGGCTATCATCGTGAGAACGCCTCCCCTGCTCGTCAGAGGAAATATAGTCTTCGAACTCTTCTACCTCGGCTAGAAGCTTCACCATTTGCCGCCTTACAGCTTTCATGTGGTCTATAAGGTTTCGACTTTGTAGACAAAGCTCCAGGTGCTCCTGCGTTTTCTCCTTGTTCATATCTATGGACGGGTCCCAGGATCCATTCTCCAAATGCTCTGACCGTAAGGTAAACTTATCTAAAAGCTGGTCGGCAATAGATACCAACCTTTCTTTTTCAAGCTCGAAGAGGATTCCGATCATTGACAGTGGATATTTAATTCTGTCACCGGCTGATCGGACGCGGGATTCGATTTTCTTTATCTGGTCCTTATTGCAACCATACATAACAGTATAGATGGACTCGGTGCTTGGGATATAAGTAACGGACAATGCCAAGTCTCCAGAGAGGTACTTTGACGTTCGTGCAGTAAAACCTACAATGATTTAGGTAAGATAGGCCTCTAGGATTATGAATTAAGATCTTTATACTCACATATTTTCGTACCTACTCCTTCACTCTCCTCGTAGCATGACGAAATGCAAGCAACCTGCCTCGCTATCGACCGCGTGATACCTCGATCAATATGGAACAATCTTGTAAGTCTTTCCCATGTGTCTCTCGAGACCGAGACGTACGAAACTGGAGCATCTTCATCAAATATAGGTGAAGCTCTACTTAATAGCCTATATCACTTATCAACGCGATCTTCGAGAGGCATAGATGGAAGCTTCTTCTTACACAGCATAGAACTGATTTGATTCAGACGCGGAACTCATAGCCTATATTCATACGAGGTAGCTATTAGCCTCCGAGTATGAGTTTCTCGTGGTAGGTACGTATATCCATACACAGTCGAACCAATTCTCCCACTGGTTCTTATCTTCAAGCAAATTTTTGATCACCGTCTAATATAAACTATGTTAGCAATATAGCAGATATTGCATGTCGCTACACTTGCTGTGTGTGATTCCAATTTTCGTAGAACGACAGTAGGTCGTGTTTCAAACTCAAATAGCCCCAAGTCGGCGCTAGACCAAGGCAAGTCTTCCATAGGCCAATCCATCTTGTTTACTAGGATTTAGAATCGGCGTGGGTCGGGGCCGAGGCTCGAGTGCGCGTTGACAGAAGGAGGCTCTAGGGGGTAAGATCGCTGCAAATTGGGGAAGTAGGATCTGTTGAGGGCATTCTGGCAGAAATGCTAATATTTCTGGAAAGCCTTGGTGGTCACCATCTTAGGTTGCCACAGCTGGCTGCCTGGCTGCCTGCATATCTTACTGCATGCTACGACATAGATCATATCTGATTGGTTCTAAGTCGACCAAGATTGTCGTGATGCAGGTATGTATTGGGCTGAAATGCCGCACATGTCATACTCTGTCAAACGCTGTCCAGTTGGTCGCCGGGAGCCGCCTTCGGTTAATTTTTTTTCTTTTCTTTTTTTCCCCACCTATGCTAATATCCCTCACTGACCTTCGTTGTCTCTACCTACCTAGGTACTCATATCAACAAGTGCACTTTTGGAGTCAGTCTTCATTCAGATTTTGGCCAGTCTTTTGCGGGCTTAGGAGCGCCGAATTAAATCAACAATGCCCGAGTCACAGTCACAGCCACAGCCACAATCACAGAGCGAGACATGGCACGAAGTCGTATTGAGGCAGAAATATAACGATCCCCTAAAGCTGAAGAACTCCCTCGACAGTATGTATGGCCAAGATCGGTACAAAGTGAGGGTAATGCTACCAGGACCCGATTCCAACGCACCGTGCACCAAATTAATCTCCCATATAGGTAAAATCCGGTCGATACATCCTTCAACTTAAATTACAGGAACCACCGCCCGAGGTAAATATTGTCATGCTTGATCCTTCTATGATGTGTGCTGAAAGAATTTGATTCATAAGGGCCAGATAGCTGAATTAGAAAGGGCAATCAGTTTTCATTATAAATAAGGGGTAGGGGATAGGTAAACAGTATTCGAAAAGGGGATATCATGGCGTCAAGAAAGTGATGTGCAACGCTAGCCATGAATGTTAGTTTGGCTGCTAGCATCTGGAATTCTTGGAACTTACTGGTGGGATATATATCGCTATAGGTGAAAAAGGAAATTCAAGATCACTAGGCCCTCTTAATACTAATTCGGGTCGTCTTTCGACACTGCTTGATGCCTTTGGTATGCATGGCGATAAATGCTACCTCGCATGATGTTAACCAGACCTGGGCTCGCCTTTCACCTCCAAATAGAAGCTATCGTCTCCTTCACATGTTCGTCGAAGTAGATCCATCTCCTTGACGAGTTCTGAGATGTGGATTCGGTTGTCACGTTCTGGCTCAAGCATCTTGTCCCTTATTATATCAAGGAGTTGGTGCAAGTACCAGGTACAATCTTTGTGAATTTGGAGCTGTATAATCCAATCTTTTACGCTCTCCTTTAGGATTGGTCGTTCGCCATGCTCACCCTTGAAAATGTTGAAGAAAGTGTCCGAGTCGAATTGATGGATATCTTTGTTAATTCTGACGTTGGGGAAAGTCTCAGTCACGCTTTGGTTTCCCAATAGAAACCATGTGACGTATTCGAGAAATACACACCCAAGACTAAAGATGTCGGATGCGCGGGAGATTCTGCCATCCATGAGGTCAAATTCGGGCGCCCTGTATGTCTCTGTCCTGGAGATATTCTTTGGGTCTTGATTTGATCGCGAGACTTTGGTATGCAATCTTCCCAATCCAAAATCGGATAGAGCAAGTTGGCTTATAATCTTTGCCAACGAACTTTCACCAGAAGATGTTGAAGATTGAGGTGAACGGAACCAAAGAAAGTTGTCCGGTTTGATGTCTCCGTGACGTCCATACAAGTCCTCGGTATCATGGGGTTTTCCTAGTAGGTTATTTTCAAGCGTGCTTTTATCGATGTGCTTTAAGGCCCGCTGGCGCTCGTTATGGACACACTTGAGCGCCAAGCAAAGTGAATAGAGTTCGTGAGACATCCATTTGCAATGATCCCTAGCCGGTCTTGGATTGTTGTTGGTCTCCCAGAATTTGTTGAGATCCCCCTCTGCCCAGTCGAAGAGAATATAATAAGTTAAGCCGTTTACCGTGGGATCTTCGACTTCGAATGTTGCAAGAGGTTGTATCATGTGCCTACTGGCATCTTCATCGATTGACATATCCATGCAGAATAGCAGGGACTTAAGCTCCATATCCAAGCTTGACCGGTCATGGGAAGTGAGTTTCTTCAAGGCGAACATTTTGTCTGGATGGCGGATCTAGTAAAGGGTTAGATCAATCATCGATAGTACCACAGAAGAAACTTTAGTACATACCCCGATGTTTCCAAAATCATGGTGATCTTCGTCAATTTCGACTTGATATACCTCGCTAAACCCACCATACGCAAAACATGCTTCCTGTATCTCAGCCCCGTTGTCCTTTCCGTTCGGCTCTTTCTGATGAAGCCTACCACCGGGCATGGGGAAAACATCACCAGCGTGTAGATGGTAGTGTGAATGTATTTCTTTCGTACCGATGATATGTGGAGCGATTAGGCTGTACGACCACTGCGCAAACTGTTTCCTGCAGTAAGATCGATCTAATTGATCGATAGCTGTATGATGCTTCTCATGGCGTTGGCAATAGAGAGAATAGTTCCTATCCACCACCTTCCTTACCATCGGAAGGCACCCATCATCCATTCCCTCCTTGATGCATTTCGGAAACTCCTCCGGCTCTCTTATTCCAATGAACACAGCCAGCAGCTTCAAAAGAGGCTTTGAATTGGAATCCTTTGAACCATAGTAGATTTGCGTGGCTAGTTTTTCCTTGTCCTCGAAATCTTTGTAACAAGGGTGTTCAACAATGGCTCGAATCTTCTCGGGAGTAAGAATAATTTGCAGTTTGTGTCTCGGGATATAGGTTTTTTCATAGTCCATAGCACTAGGGATCTGAGCATCATCAAGTTCCTTCGCGATGGTCTTAATGAGTTTGTTGATTTCGGTTTCGGTAACGTTGTGCGTACTTGGTTTGTCTATCAGAGATTGCTGTTTGTGCTGAGCACTACCAGCAGTCATAGAAAAAGCCTCACCACGGTCGTTGATATGCTTTACTCTTTTTTCATTGTCTAGAACACTTTTTGATCCGATCATCGTGATACCGAAGCAATGGGGTGAGTGTGTTAGTGACAGTCAATGTGTACGTTGTGACTAAGATGACCAGAAATAGAAAGGGCAGAAATAGAAAGGGAGTCGGAAACTCTACTTTGGAGTTGTGGTTACTAGTGTGTAAAGTACTACTTCCGGGTCTGAAAAGAAGTAGGTATAATAGTGTTATGACAATACCTTAGAATTGAAAGACTGGAAGGAATGCGGACACTACCTGGACTTCAGGTTAGATATATCTGCTCCAAGACCGCTGCGTCATATTAAACAGCAATTCTTACCTGCAGACTAAATTGGAGTCACCGGCTGCCTCAACAGTTGCCTTACTGCCTAGAGATAGATGTATTGGCTGATATGGGATCGTTAACAGCTGTGCGCGAACAAACCGAGCAGCAGGCTCTGAAGCCACAAGGTAGCACTGATGTAAATCTTACCCGCAGCGCCGGAGGCCGGCGACAGCTGAGCCAGCGTTTGCATATATACTATCAAGGTATAAAATCAGTAGCCTTGTGCTAGTATCGTCTTTTAGCTAAAGATTAGACTCTTTCACGAACAAAGAATTTTTATATTAACACTGACAAAACGTCTCTAAAGTTACAATAGAACTATCAAATCGGAAACTGTTAATGCTAGGCAAGTCCCTGACCAGGTAACAACGAGCAAATAGTAGATGAATAGGGAGTAATCAGGTATAAGGAGACAGGTGATATAATTGATACAGAAACGTATCGGGCTAGCAGTGAGAGGTTTAAGTATATGTAGGTTAATATGTTATGTACTGCTCATCGTCGAACATAGCATACCATCATAGTCTCGCAATATCATAATGTCACTTCCGGCTATGTTTATACCTACCTAGGAGGTATGTATGCAGGCTGACAATTGTCTTCAGCTACCGTCCTAAGGTTGCCTTGTACAGCCACAGAAACTAACCGGGCACGGTACTTTCCTAATAGAGGAAATGATGCGTAGAGAACCCCTTGGCTCACCAATATCGTACGTGGGATGGGAGAAACCCCGTCCCGGAAAGTAGTCGTGATGTTGTTGGGCGAAACGGGTATGAAATATCAAAATATTTAATATCCTCTCGAGTGGTAGGTAGTAAAAACTGGGGCGGGGGGGGCCCCCCCCCGCCCCCGCGCGCGCGCCGCGCTGAACGCCGGGTCCGCCGCACGGATCATGTCCTCGGTG